CTAATTTTAATTAATCAAATATTCTACGATAAATGATTTGTAATATCATTTTTCGGTGAAAATTCGCGGTCATTACACGCTCGTCGCAAATAAAGGCATAGAGGCCACCGGATATATAAATAACATCGGAATTCGAGTTACTCAGAATTACATCGGAGCAGAATCTCGTTGACAGTTCCTTTTCTCTCGAACGTCAAGAGCAATCTCGCGATGGTCTCTCTCTCCTTGCGATTCGCGTAAATCCATCGGCGCGAGTAAATGTCAAAACATAATTCTCGCCGGTGTCTGTCACTCCCTGTCTCATCGCGTTATCTCATCCTCCGCGCGTCCTCATCGTCGTCCGAGAGAAGACGACGACGACTCGCACGTAGGTAGGTAGGTATCGCCGATAAAGCGGCGCGGCGTGCATCATCAATATGGCGGCGAATCTCGAGGAGGAGCAGAGTTTACGCGAGTGCGAGGAATACGTTCAGCGACACAATATCCAACAAGTCCTGAAAGACTGTATAGTGCAACTGTGCGTCGGCCGGCCCGAGAACCCGATCTCCTTCCTGCGGGAGTACTTCCAAAAGCTGGAAAGGGTACGTACATGACACTATTTCCTCGGCGACCCGCGACCGATCTCGTCGACGTGCGTCGCGGATTAACCTCGACCCCGTCTCGAGAGACAGAGAGATACGTCTTCCCTCCTGGGAATGCTTCTCGCCTGTCCCCCTCGCCTGGGAAACGTCGCGATCCCGAGGGAACATCGAGAGGGTTAACGCTGTCAATGACAGCGAGACGAACGTTCGTGTCAATATGACGTGACAGTGACGTGACACGCGCGATTGGGATCAGGGTGATCTCGGACCTGGTGTGTTCCTCGAGGACACGTCTCTTCTGACAATGTTCTCTAAAGTGTGTGAATTTGACGTTTACATTGTTATCAATTCGTGATCTTTGAAGTAGGATCGGCCGAGTAGTATTTTCCCGAGGATAAAATGACATTTGTAGAAATAACAAGCTGTGTTTGTACAATAGAGATGTACAAACAGAAGATACTATAATTTGTCTCTTGCTCGTTATTCAATTCTGCGAATAATTGCATCGTAAAAATTTATTTAGCGTAATATAAACGATAAATATATCTCGTAATTTTTATCGAAACTGTATCTTTCTCACATGTGTAAACACATTGTAATCCGCGGGATTTGTCTGTTTGTGTAGACCATTATTACGTTATCTGAATGTCGTACCATAACAATCATTTGCGCAATCGGATTTTGGGTTCTTTAAAAAGATTTTAGCGAGTCATTTATATGTGTTCTCTAAACAATTTCTCTTATCGCTCTGAGCAACATTGACACATTAAACAATGTTGGTTTATCGATTATCGATAATGTTATGGCCTGCGAAAGTGCATGTAGCAAGTGCTGCCATCTCTGCCAATTGCATATAATTATTTTGTTCAATTATTATGAAAGAGCAGATTGCCTATTATATCGATATACGGTAATTATTAAGGAACAAGTGCCTTTTTTGATTCACTATTAATTATGTAATCATGTTTACATGGATATGAATGTATTGGGTGTTGAGTTGTGTCACTGCACTTTCGATTTATATTCTCTCTCTCTTGATTTTCCAAAGCATTTTTCTAAATGCAACTTTCAACACAAAAACAACTCAGAGTAAACGAAATATTGACACTTGAAAATTTCTTCAAACATTCTTCTGTAAAAACATTCTTAGACAATAAATAAAATAACATATCTGTTTATCTCGGCACTCTTGGAGAAACAAAGTAAACAGAGGAAATTCTAGAGGTTTCAAAAATTATATTTATAAATTTAATATAAATTAAAAATTAGTATGTATGTAATTTTATATATAATTTATTATTCTCTATTATTATCTCTAATTTTATATAAAATTATAGATGTATATTATATTTAAAAAAATTATATATAAAATTATATATACTAACTTATAATTTATATAAAATTTTATATATATAATTTAAAATAATTTTTTAATATAATCTATTTTATATAAATTTAACCTTTTTTATTCATGATAAATGCACGTGACTATCCTTCGCGAAACTCTTCGAGCTCACGATCAGGCGATTCGTGATCAGATAGAAGCAATTAAAACTTTGAGGAAATTGTCGAGGGACGAACATTATATCTTACATCAATCAAGCTGCCTTCCGGGTAGCATAATCTCCCCGAATTGTACCTGATTCCAGTGTGAATAGTGCCTTGATCCTTGATTAAGGTTTCTCGAGACCTTTCACTACCCCCTTTAGTTACCTTTCCCATTTAACGTTATATGGCGATAGCAATTACCCTCGGTGTTTGTACCGCGGCCACCCACGCGTGACGGATGCGACGCATGTGCTCGCGAAAATTGAAGGCTCGTCCAAAACCGACGCAAGAAAGAAACGGCCGCCAAAAATAAGCGATAGCCACTGACGTAGAAACTATCGTCGATATTTCGTAAAAACGCGCAAATCCTACCGCGTGTTTGTAGATTGAATCCGCACTAAAATTACCTAAGATTTCTCTACTTGCGAGAAGAAAAAGTTCTTGTCGCAAAAAAATGGATATCGAAATTTGTGAAAATTATAAATCCCAAAATTAACGATATTATTCTCTCGCGTTTACATTTGTTAGCCGCTGAGTTTTTATAGTTTTACTATGAATTATTATTATTTCTCTCTCTCATTACTATTATTACTTTATTTTTTTCTTTCAACAATTCATCAAATATAATACAGTATAATTTGCTCTTTGCAAAGTTATGTTTATCAAGCTGTATGATTATGCGTAGGCTGTGAAGGCCATTTCGGAGGCAGGAAGAAAAATAGCACGTGAAATATTGCTGTTGCGAAAAGAATCAATAAGAGAATGAGCAGTTTCGCTACGAGCTATCATATTTTTTAAATCTCCTTTAAAATATTACCTTTATCGATACTAAATATATGTCGTTCTGTGAGAAAATTTATGTGTGTTTGTGTTTTTATTTATGTGTTTAATTTATGTTTCAATATTAAATCTTTTGCGGAGGCGACATAAATCTTCATTTACCTCTCCTTCGTGATAAGAAATTACAAATTTATCGATCCGCTTTTGAAAAAAGGAATATATAAATGTATCCTTTCCCTGAAAGAAAATAACATTTTATCTTTCAAAAGTTGTTCTAAATTTTCTGTTCGTATAATATGGATCACGCAAGGGTCTATCTTCGATCTAGTGTCTCCGTTATCGCATATCAATCAGTGTCATTGTGACAGCTACTGGTGGTGCAACGTGGTGCAGCGTCGATGCTGTCAAGCGAAAGGCGAAGACGCGGGGATCATCGTCGTCGCGTGTTTGCCTTCCGTGCTTATGCGGTATACGCGATAAAAACTGCGCGTAGGTGGAAAAGAAAGACAGAGATAAAAGGCACTGGATGGAGAGGATGAAAGAATGAAATCTATTCCGGAATAGAAATCTCGTCGGAATACAAACGGAAAATATGGGCAAGAATAATAATCGCGAGAGTTCGACGGGAAAAGGAATTGAGAAACACATAAATTGACGTATAAGAGCGAAATGTAAAAGATGAGAGACGTAAAATGGAGAAATAAACAGATGCGCGCAAATATTAGGATAGGAGCTTCTTCAGATATCGTAAAAATAATGCTCCGGTATAAAATAGAATGAAATAAAATTGGAGAAAAATTCGAATTTTGCTATCCACTCGTAAAAGTCATTCTTTTTCAATCGCTTATATAATTAAAAATTATTTCTCGGTAAAAAAAGAGATTTTAATTTTATACAAATTTTTTAAATCTTATCATTGTATAAAATTATAAATACGATGCATTTTTCTAGCTATGTTAATGTCATTTACCTTAAACAATTATACATTTTTTGCCGAGATCTGCATATTAGAAAAGCAATTCTTTACTTTCAGTCTTAGAAAGAGTGAATGTAAGTCTACTATAAGAGAAAAAAAAGAGAAAAATGTCAAAGAGAGATGAGAGATGTATGCAAAAGGAGAGAGGGAGAGAGACAGAGAGAGAGATTGCAATGTAAGGGGCATCTGATCTAAACATAGAACACGCTCGAAATATAACAAGACGCAACCTTATAGCCGAGAGAGTGAGAGAGAAAGAGAAATGGAGAAAAAAATGATGCGCAGGAATTCACAAAAATGTGGAAGACGGCGATCTGGTCGATCTAGTCTCTGCTATTGTTCTTCCTCTTTTGCGCGTCTCGACGTCTGTTTTCTCCCCGATATCGTCGCCAGGAACGTCTCGGCGGTGACGTCTCGGCGCCTCTGAAATTATGATAACATTACTAGGCGCGTTCTGTTCATTCACGTGACGACTAGGAATAAGAAATTGACATTCCACACGTTGATAAGAATAAAGCTCTATAGCAAATAAAAGAAACAAAGACGGCCTTAACAACATCCAACAATATGAGTAATACAATATGACGTAAAAAAAAAAAAAGATAAAATATTAAAGAAATATTCAGGGAAAAAAATTTATTTATATTTAATTATAAATATAATAAGTTCATATAATAATAATATAATATTAAATATAATATTATATATAATATTAAATATAATATTAAATATAATATTAAATATCTTCTTATCTGAAGCGATATTCCAACTATCGGAAAACTCAGACAAGTATTGATACAAAATTGATGTGATTGCGAAACATGCTTCAAGTATTAGATACAAGCGATTTTGGGAGCCGCGGTCTTGGAAAAATGCCGCCGGCGCAGATCGATTCGCTAACGCGTAGGAGAGGACCTTACTTACCGACCATCAGGCACAAGACGGCATCTCGGCGGCACCATCCGTCCTGTCCTGGCGCCGAGGCAGCCAACGGCCGCGGTCGCCAGCAGTAACCGACGCTGTCGCGCGGACGGACGGACGGACGGAGCTTCGCGCGCGCGCGCGTGCTAGATCGCCTCCGACCTCTAATTGGATTCCGTCCGAGGCCTTATAAAATCGCGGAGGTGGAGGACGAGGACGAGGAAGACGCGAGATCGCGGCGGCGACGACGGTTCGATCCCCTTTTACTCTCCAGGACCCGCGGGAGCGTCGACTGCGACGCGCGCTGCCGCGAAAGACGGCACGTCTTCGTGATAAGTGTTACCGCGATTTTGCGAGCGGCAGAAGACGCGAACGAGATCGACGAGGGAAGGTAAACGAGGACGTGGATCGAGAGCAACGATGAACAACGAGGTATGCGAGAGACCGCCATAATCGCTCGAGTTACGCGCGTATGATTGATCTCGCGTATGATAGATCACGTCGATCGTCGGTGAAGTCTTGTTTTTCAAGTTCCCTTAACAAACAACAATGAGATTTATTCCGTTCCGTCTCAGAAAAGATTATCTTGCGATCATCTTCCCCGTAAAAAATCGCGGTTTTAAAGTGTGTATGTGAAAGAAAACAAATTTTCACGCAAGTGAAAATCTATGAAATTTCTCGCTAAACGTGTCATTTTCGTAAAGTCGTAAACTTTCGTAAAGAAAAATTTGTCATTTTGTCTAGTTTGTGAGGATTACGTGATTGATCCTCCGATCTCAGCTTCGAGAAGTCGATCGTACAATTGTTGGGTGAACTTTCTTACGTACGTTTCAATTCTTGACGTGAATTTCACAGAAATATCTCGTCGTTTCGTGCCAACAAGTTTTATGCGACTTACACTTTTTTGATAAACTCTTCTAACAATCGTTGAACTTTGTAAACGTCATCTAAAGTCTTTTACCGTGCTGTTTGCAGCAGCTAGTCTTTTGCAACGAAAAATAAAAGCGTGATATTTTTTACAGTCTTTTTACAGTCGTTTTCAAATGGAGACCGGAAAAAGAAAGAAATAAATTGCAGAGTACTTTTAAGAGAGAAGAAAATCGATATGAGAAACTCTCTCGTCTACTGGTCACGCGTGTTATTTAAGAATTATTATCGATACAGATATATATTTATCTCGGAAATTAATACATAAATCTTTGTATCACATATCTTATATTTCGAATTAGAAATTTTCCAGAATATTTTTACTTACATTTATATTTATTTATATATCTCTTTTTACTTATATTTATTTACATTTATCTCTTAAGTATTTAGAATGCATTTATACGCATTCTACGTATTCTTGATGTACTACATTTGATATACCAACTTATGTATATCGTATTCCATGTACGGAAAAGATCCGAGTCTGAAAAACACTTGCGCGAAGATGAGAAGAACAAGATTCTTTCGTGTCACGAGTGTGTTCAAGGATGCATGTGTACATGTATGCGTGCGTATATGTGTGCGTGTAACACTTGGGAGTGCAACCGATGGCTATAGATCATCATAGACCGGAGAGATTGTATAAGAGCATACGTCTTTGTTGATTCCGTCAAGTTTCAGTAGAATCTAATATACGACGTGTTATATATATATGATTGAATCGCACATAGAGCTTACATAGTTATTTACAGTTATGTACACTTGGATGCATTTCTCTCTCTCTCTCTCTCTCTCTCTTGCTCCGATTATATTCAATTGCCTTGAATTCTAAAGTCCATTTTCGACAACCGATAATTCATGATAGCTCCGGCGCAAGATTCTAATGTATTATTTGATATCTCGTGTAATGCACGAAATACATTTGCAGAATTACGTCTGTAAAATTAGACCGTGTTCTATTTTCGTACGAACCGAACGCGCTCCAGGTATGCGTAGTAAACTGACAGATTTAATAAGATCGCGATCCACGGTTTAAAATTTCAGTTGTATATACGCTGTTTGCGATAGCGATGATATAACACGCCTTTATTAAATTGTAATTATGCATGTAATGTGTAATAATAAAAAGCCACGATGATTTAACGTTTCGATTTAAAGATTGATGTTTTAAAAACAAGAAAAAAATCAATTTAATTTTGTGTATAATTTGCATAGTTAATAATTTTTTATGCATAATTACAAGTTGAATCGAGTAACGCAATATTTTTTCTTAATGCAATTATATTAATAATTTGATGCATAAAAAATTACAGAGAGAGAGAGAGAGAGAGAACGAGAGCAAGAGGTTCTAGGATTCTATCGATTTATATAGGTTTTCTAAAATTTCATTACATGTAATACATGATAACATAAATGATCGATAACGATTTCAAAAGATATGACAATTTGTTTGATGTATCTGTTGGATCATTTCAGAAATTTCGGCCTTCTATTTTGAATTACGTAACAGACGCATGTCACTTGCACACGTCTTTGGAGGCGGAAACGAGCGATGAAGATTTATCGGATCGTTAAGTTTTATGGTCTCATTAAAAACGACGTTCACATTACGTTGAACAATTATTAGCGAATCGCGTTTCTCGTATCAATAATTGAACGATATTGGTGATGATAACTTATTTATCAAAGGTCGATCGAATTTCTTTCCTTTTAAAGAAGAAAAATATAATTCCATTACTGACATTTAAATAATAATACTTTAATGAAACTCCTTTTTTTACAAAGAATAGATGGATTAAAAGACATGGAAGGAAATTTTATGATCGAGTCTTTTACAATCATTCTGTATTTTCTTCTGATTTCAAGATTCAATATGTCTTGGATCTGTGCTTGTTTGCTCAATTTTACGTACTACACTCATTCCTTTGATTATTTTACCAAAAACATGTTTATCATCAAGCAGTGTTATCTAATTTCAAGATTCAATGTTATTCTTCATTTTTCATAAGCTTAGATAACAAATATGTTTCAAAAAAATGGAAAATTTCGTGTGCATTTAATTTAAGCATTCGATTAATATTAAACGAATAATATCCGAGAGATATATTACTAGCTCAGGTTTAAAAAATAAAGTCTTGTCGATCTTTTCTTTTAATCCAGCTATATATATATATATATATATATATATATATATATATATATATAGTTGCAATTAAATATCATTATTATATATGCAAAATATAACAAATATAGTTAACTATTATATGCACATAGCTATTACATGCACGTAATCTGTAACAATAAAAAATTCCGATGATTGATGTCTTAAAAATAAGGGAAAAACAGGGAAAGAACTCGATTTAATTTGTATATAATTTGCATAATTAATAATTTTTTATATACATAATTGCAAGTTGAATCGACGTAACGTAATACTTCTTCTTAACACAATTATATTAATAATTTGACGTCTAAAAAATTGCAGAATTGAGAGAAGGAGTAATAATAATCACGTTCGCGGGAACTTCCGAGACGCGGGTCGTCTCGTATACGTTAGCATGCGCTGTGCATTATTACGATAATCGAAGGGAGAAATACGAATCTCGCTGATTTGAATATTCCCGTTCAAACGACGCACGACGCTCAGCGTCGAGAGAACCATCAACAGAGACGACGCGTTGGTGCGTGAAAACGCCAATTGACCTATGGCATTATTCCTCTCTCTCACCCCTCGATGGTGCTCGTATCAACGCAACGGTACAATATCTAAAGACCTATATAATTTATAATTTTACGGTAATTTTGTGCGGGGTAAACACACGTAAACACGAGGCCTCTCGAATGTCGGGAATGGCTGGAGCCGCGCGGTCGTGGTTAATGAATTATTAATTTGCGCTCCGCTTTTTTTTTTTAACACCCCACATCGATACACCGACGAAACTCGAGTGTGCGTTTATCTGCAGTGACCTTAACACGAGGAGGCTGTTTTCACGCGTTGCTCCGGTTATTGCGACGAATCGGCAATCTTCTGCAATTAATTTTTTTGTAATCTAATTGTATAGTACATACATATATTGTAGAAAAAAATACGGAGATGCTTGAAATGCTGCGTAGATTTTAAGAGTCTGCAATGGTACCGAAGCTGTGATTTTATTGCGCACTCGATGCAGCCAAGATGAATTTTTATATTATTTATCACGCCGATCGATAACCAATTCTCGTGGGAGTTTACATGTATTGCTTTTGTGAATTAATTAGCTCTATTTTAATTAGGATTGAGAAATTTCTCTGCTTTCATGCATAATTAATGTTTCAAGAAACCGAAGAACCTTAAGCTAATTAGATTAGAATGAATTGAATTAATTAAATTAATATGCCAAACGACCGTAATCTTTTATACAATATCTATTATAAATTAGTACTCGTGATGATTTCCATGCAGCGTAATAATACTAAATTTAGATTAAGTAATAATAATATACACGCATACATATTGACGTAGGTTATAATTGATTTGAACATGCTAACGCGTTAACGAAAGTTGTCATAATGCGCATAAAAATCATATAAATAAGTTTACTGAATGAACCGTACCTATATTTCATAAAATAATAACGATTTTCACTCTTTATTTATCTTGTTAGATACCTCTTATCTGAGGTTTTATCTCGTTTGTGCGCAGGAACAAGCTCACGATGCAAAGCAACAGATCGCGACGAGTCCGGAGGATACAGAGGACATGCCCGCGGGTCAACAGGGCCCGCAGGTGCCGCGACGAAGGGGCGGAATCTCGGCGGAGCCGGTCTCCGAGGAGGACGCTACCAGTTACGTCAAGAAGGTCGTACCTAAGGACTATAAAACCATGGCTGCTTTAAGTAAGGCCATCGCCAAGAACGTGCTGTTCGCGCACCTGGACGAAAACGAACGCTCCGATATATTCGACGCGATGTTCCCCGTAACCTTCCTGCCCGGGGAGGCGATCATTCGTCAAGGTATGTGCTGATCGAGCATCCTGCTTGCGTGCACTTCTATCTTGTGTCGGCTTATCGTTGACTTATAGAATGAATGAGCGGTGTGTGTCTTTCAAGGCGACGAAGGTGACAACTTCTACGTGATCGATCAAGGGGAGGTCGAGATATTCGTTAATGGCGAGCTGGCGACGACGATCGGCGAGGGTGGTAGCTTTGGCGAGCTCGCGTTAATCTATGGAACTCCCCGCGCCGCCACCGTCAGAGCGAAGACCGATGTGAAACTTTGGGGCATCGACAGAGACTCTTACCGCAGAATTCTCATGGGTTCCACTATAAGAAAACGGAAAATGTACGAGGAGTTTCTCTCCAGAGTCTCAATTTTAGGTGAGTTTATTCTCTCAGCATTTTGACTCCAAATTATTTCTCTCAACATGTTGGCCTTCAAATTATTATTCCTTATTACATGTCAAAATTTGATATGATTAGAATGTATTTCTATCAGAATTCTAAAGATGATTAAATTTCTTGATTTTACAGGATTCTCCATTTCGTTAAAATAGCAAAGATTATTTTTATTCTATTTGTAAGGGATATGAAATTATATGAAATGGAAATACAAAATTTTCTTGTGAAAGAAAGAACTATTATTGATATTTACGATGTATTTCTCGTCGCACAGAGTCCTTGGATAAATGGGAAAGGCTCACGGTAGCAGACGCTTTGGAGCCGGTAGCATTCGATGACGGCGAAACGATAGTCCGACAGGGTGAGCCGGGAGAAGACTTTTATATAATCGTCGAGGGAACTGCGGTGGTTCTTCAGCAACGCTCGGAAGGAGATGAACCCGCGGAGGTCGGCCGTTTAGGACCATCCGACTATTTCGGTGAGATAAGAATCGGAGCAAACATCTGAGATAACATCGAGAATTGGTTACAGAATAAAAAATCTTGCATATATATTGCGATATTTCTCACAGAAATATCTTAGTACTTAAATATCTCTTTTAGATCAATTGTCAAAATATATAAACAGAATGTTAATAATCTATGCATCTATGTCTAATCAATTTTACACAAAAAAGCGAAACTCGATTCGTTCAATGACGGAAGCTTTTCTTCTTGACACAGGGGAAATAGCGCTGCTGCTGGACAGGCCACGAGCGGCGACCGTAGTGGCCAGGGGTCCGTTGAAATGCGTGAAACTGGATCGGGCACGGTTCGAGCGGGTCTTAGGCCCGTGCGCCGACATTCTGAAACGCAACATCACCCAGTATAACAGCTTCGTGTCTCTTTCCGTGTAAACGGATCCTCCGTCTCTCCCTCGCATTCTTTCCCTCCTCTTCCCCGTCCGATCCCATCATCGCAGTCGATCGGTTCGCGCTACCGATAATCACCAACCTTTCATCTCTACCAAGGGCTGCATTATTTCGCCGTACCGTATAGTTAACACTTTTTTTTATTTGATTAATATTTAAGTGAATTAATGTGTTATTACGATCAGCTATCAATCAGATGTGTATACAAAGACGGTATCGTTAGAGAGAGATACTATTAATATATTTACACCGTAAGGCTATTTACGCACCGTGTAACTCGCGACTCGACGCCGACGCGCACGTGAATTTATATTGGCGTTGATCTCTTCCGCGCGATCTGTTCCTAATTGTTACGTGCACGAAAAATTATTAATCCGTTAACGTCCGGGATTTTTTTTATGTGGTTTAGGAAATTTGATTTTCGAAAGAAAATTCACAATACTGAATCTTGATAAAATAAGCTTTACATTATCAATATCTTATCCGATAATAATGGTATGCTTCGTAATTAGATTGTTTGAATTGAAAAAATATACTCAAATTTGTCAGAATGTCTCTTCTTATCAGAGGGTACCGAGCGTTAACAGATTAATCTACGGTTAATGGCACGTTGTGTATGCGTTTTGAATGTATTGTAGAGATCTTTGAACAAAGTTGATAAAATGTAGAGACGTGGTTTATAACCGTAACTCCCAATACGAGGCTACAACAATTTGCGTCAAAGATGCAGACGTGGTTTACATTCACGTCATTACACGAATAGAATAAAATCATGTATCAAAGTTAAATTATTTAAAAGATATTTACGATTTCTATTACGTCAGAAGCGAACAATTGTACAAATTGGCCCCATTTGCATGTAATCAATAGAATGAACTAGTAAAAATATATCAGTTTCTTTCCTTCTAAAATTCTATACTTATAAGTAGTTTCTTTCTGTAAATTTAGAATCTTAAGCGAGAACGAATTTATGGCAATTGATTTAAATTCAGTTTTTAATTTTATGGTCTAAAAAGTTTAGATAGATTTTACATGTCCATTCTATTGAATACAAATATCGAGAATAATATATTGCGACGCATCATATCTATGAATCATACGTTCGCTTCTAGTATTGTAATGATATAGCTGCAGCGGGGAGCCTTAAATATTGTAATGATTAGAAGATAGATATTGAAAAAAAAAATGATGTTTTCTCGTTTTATATTTATATACTTTAAATGTTCTATGTTCTCTCTCTCTTTTCGTGTGAATTGTTACATTATTTAACATTTAAATTATTTTGTTGACCGATTTTAGAGATTATAATTAGCAACGAATGTGAATGTCGGTCGCGACATGCAGTTGCTTTGACGCAATATGAAGGAACAAGATATTTATTATTGAAATTTTATTATTGAAAGACGAAACAAAGACGATGTGAAAAAACCGAGTCGCAATTTATATCTTCTCTAAAAGTGCGCTAGGTCTACAGTATCATGCGACAAAAGTGAGGAGGGTATAAAGTCATAAAATTAAATAATTTATTATGCACAACATAGTATATCCAAAGTAAAATATTGTACAATGAATCATCCCCTTTCCGAATCCGTAATTATAATGCAGCTGATGCATCTTCTATACGCGCGCAAAAACGATAAGAAGCATCTCGATCACTTGAGTCCAGCAAAAAAAAAAGAGATGACTCTAACGTAAAAACGAGTCCATCGTCGTTTCGCGCACGACACGGGAACGCGCACTAATTAAAATTAATTATGCAAATGAAATTAATTACAAAACTACCTACACTCGATTGGAGAATCAATAATCCCGCTTGCATGCAATAGGGACGATGCTCTTCTTGGTCTTCCATTTTCATTCTTCACTCGGATGTCGTCTTCTCGAATCGACATATTGTTCATCCACAAATAATCATGTTCGGGAGAATTGACGAAACAAAGACGATGTTGAAAAATGTATTGACAAACGATCCTGCCCTTTTTCTCCTTCTCCTTCTCCTCTCTGACTATCGACGACCTCTTCTTCGATCTTGTTTGAAAAGTAGCACTTAGCGAGATTGGGAACGTTGTTTCATTGACCGAAACGAATGTTTTTCACGAACACAAGTGGCACGAACATAGTCACCGTGGAGTCTTCTCCTCAGACGCGATTCGAGTCTCCGGATTTGTGAAATGGAATCCTCATCCACATTCTCTTCAAAGCTCTCTTCTCTTCAAGGGAAAAAATGCTTGTGTTGCTCGGCTGCTCGGGGCAGCTACAGCTTTTGTTCGTGCAGTAATACTTAAAAGAATACTTGGAAAATCGATCGAGCACTGTGGCAGTGAAGCGTGTGTGCGTGCGTATCACGTTAATAAACGATTGGAAAGGAGAGAGCGATTCGTGTTTCTCATCAACGAATCGTTCCAAGCCAAGAACAAACGAGAAAAAATGGGCTTTTTTTCTTTTGCGAAGACCGTAAATCCTATTACGTTGTAAATATGATTCTCGACATGTATTATATAAAGAGATTTTTTTCATTTAATCTTTTTTTTAGTGAGGTAGCGCCGGATTAATGGAAACACGCGATCCATCCGGATTTTGTACAATTTCCACGGGCCCCCGGCAAAGCGATCCACATATATGTCCTCTTGTAATTATGTACACGTGCACGTGGAGAAGGGGAAACCGCGAACGAAGGAGCGTATACATATGTACAAATTCACAGTCGGAGCTGTAGTCGAAGTTCCAAGCTTTCGATTTTGTGCCCGACGGTGATGAAATTGATGTGGGACGACGATTTGAAGATACGTTTGCGAAAGACAGAGCCAACACATGTAGGGCTTCCAAGAGCGAGGAAAATTTACAAATTGAGATACGCGTACCAGCGAAATGGAAGATACTTATGTAAATATGTATGTATATATATATGCATATGCGTCACACAAATGTACGCATGTCCGAAACATATGCATATACACATAATGCAACACACACGTGAGATTTATTATAGATGCACGTGTGTGGTGTGTATGTGTGTGTGGTGTGTGTATGTATGTGTGGCCCTTTTCTTTCGCGTTTTAATTATCTTCCGCCATGAGAGATAAAGGTAGGAGAGTAGATTTCGGCTTCTACCAACTACCTAGACTACCACTGCTTGCCTTGCAGTCGATTTGTTGTCGAACGAGATCGGCGTAAACCAAGCCGAACTCACTGACAAATTCATAAAACTTGTCCAAAGACTCAAAGGCCAATTCCGCTACGACGAAACGAACCGCCAAATTTTGCCGGTAGCTAAACAGCAGAAGAAATGCAAACGTTAGACAATAGCCATAGATGGTAGTGTTGCAGTGAATACATAAAAAGACAATTAAATATGCAATTTTTAACTTTGGGCTACGACGTCCTGTAACAGAAATCTGCAATTATAATTCATGATCCACAATTCTAGGTAGGTATCATTGGTTAAAGCGTGGCACTAGAATTGCATTTAATGAAATGTTTAAAAAAAAAAGTCAACCTTAATTTAAAATCATAAAAAGTATATCGATTAAATTTCGTTATACTTTTTCAACTATGTATGTTTCGATAAATTATAATAAAATGCGAAAAAGAATTTTTTTTCAAAAGCAAATGCAAATATAAAAAAAATAATATATCTTCATTTGCTGAAAAAAATAAACTATATTTTTCAAAAATATATGTGAAAACAACCAAGCTTTTATCCTGAAAATCGAATGTACATTTTTTAACGAAATTATTTTATAAAATGATAAAATCATATATTATAATCTTATTCTTCTAAATTTTTGTTGCATAATTGGAAATACCATCTTATTATTCCGCGTATTAGTTTTTAATTGAAGAAATTTTAATTTTTAAAACTTCGAAATTTGCGAAAAAATAAAATTGAAAATTGAAACAAAATTTGATAGCAAAATTAAACTCAATAATTAAAATAATACTATCTCGATAAATTTTAAACAAATAAAATAATAAATTTTATACTTCCTTAAAAACGACAATTTCATAAAAATAATAGTTGCAGAAACATTCAGAAAATTGTAATAATAAATATGTGGAATACGTACGACTTTATCATAAATTTCAATGCTTTCTTTCGTTCTCTTGCGACAAACCAATCCATCAAAAAGGCAGACATTCGCGGTGCCGTTCTATACAGCTTGAAGAAAGCATGAAAATTACCCAACCACCATGCTGAGCGTATTTTCAAAGCATGTTTTATACATTCATCGTTTTTATCTTCTTCCGAAAGAGATGCTAAAATTGTTGTTAAATCTGAAATCACAAAAATGTTAACGCGTAATATTATTATAAGAAATACTTTAATGTAGCGTGCGATTTAATTTTAAAAATTATTGAGATTATTAGTCTCATTACCAACCTTGAGTATTCTTCGTAAAGATGTAATATAATATCCGATAAGCAATAAATTCACATCGGTTTTCGCCACCGAGATCCTGATACAGCATTTTCAGCTGTGTCTGACACTGATTAAATTCTTCGTGATCGCCACGTTCTAAAGCTACACGGGCGTGAGTTTCGTATACATGAACTGTAAACGAGTCCCTGATACCTTGTACGGTAAGATCTTGTCGGATGGATTTCAGTTGATCGCAAGCATATCTATAGTCCTGCTCGGCTAGCCAACGTTTCTTGACATGGGCCAAAGAATTTTGAAGTACACTTACCGGTCGAACTGCAGAAGGGGCAGGAGCCTGTAACAATATTATAATTTTGTCATAAAAATATGTAATAATAAATTCCATTAAAATTTAATGTATAGTATAAATATAGCATAACTAATTTTATCTAAATATTCAAAACAATATGTTCCATTTATGTTCCATTAATCATGAAAATAATATAAATAAATATTGACATACCGATGTGAGACGTAAATAGGGCTTTTCTAGATCCTTGCATGTGCCAACGATATGGAGCCCAGTAAAATCAAAGTCCGTATTTGGGTCGTCTCTAATAATATTGCTGCTGACCACTGTCCTGGAAATGCCATCGTTGAATCTGGCAGCACGCTGTTGTAGTTTCTCCTTGGTGCCTAGCTCGTCTGTATTGCCTGTAGCTAAACCAAATTCGGAATAGAAATGTGACTTAGCCTGCTTAGTCTTCTTGCTCTTCTTATTGCTGTGATTTGCCTTATTGTTGCTGCGCGCGGACTTTTTTATTTTGAGCGCCTTGTAATCGTGCTCTCGATCGCTAATATTCGACGACGAGGATGTGCTACGTCTGTTGTATCTGCGTGACGGTGGGCTACGTGTGCGCGAACGCGTTGACCTTGACCTCGATCTCGAGCGCGATCGCGAATGGGACCGCGACCTTGACTTAGATCTTGATCTTGACCTCGATCTAGATCTCGACTTGGACCTAGTCCTCGACCGCCTGCTGTGTGTCACAGAGAGACGCGCGCCAAGCCGAGCCCCGAGTGAGCTGGAGAGACCAGGCTTGCGCAAGCCTCCCTGTTGACCATTGACCAGTGGGCTCGCCAGAGGATTCGCCAGCTTTAACGCCGGTTTCTGAGGCTTGATCGTCATAGTCATGCGTTCGCTGTGGATGCTGGGCAGAGGCTCTTTATCCCAGTCCTTTACCCAGAGCGAACCGTCATTTGCAGCGCGTGTGATTTTTCCTTTCAATATAATTTCAACCTGATCCTTGTCGACTGCCGTCTTACATTTTTCGTAGCATCGGTTCACGTAATTTTTCAGACTATCGGGCCAATCCCCAACCGGACTGGGGATGACCCCGATGGAAGTAGCAGCGCCGGCGCTGGAAACCGCGTTACTAGCTGTCGTGGTAACGGATGCAACAGGACCAGGTGGCTCTTCGCTAGGCGGCGGAGGAGCCGCCACTTCGCACTGCGTGGGAGGCAGCGGCGGCAGTTCCGTCGGCTTTGCGTTAGGTCCGTTAGGTATGAAATTAGGGCTGTTCGTCGAAGCATTTCCCTGAAAGCTATTGTTGAATTGAGCTGCTAAATTTTTGTTCCGCTTACGTTTTTTCTTCGCAGCGCCACTATTGCCGGATGGCGTGTATCCGAGACCAGTTTTCTTGTTTGGCAAATTAAAACGAATTTGCCCGCTCGAGTATTCTGTAGCATATTAATATGTAACACATATTTAAAGAAATATGCCACAGAAATAGACAAATATAGAGATTGGCAAAATAAACACATTTGGAAATGTTTCCCAACGACAACAACAAACGTCGATGAGTCATATCATGACTTATGTATGATAGATCATATAAACAAAGTGAAAGTCATTCATTGATTCCTCCGCGTTTTGTTTATATACATATACCGATATTCTTCAAGTTTTTTTTTTTTTTTTGAAAATTCTATGTATAATCTAAGTTATTTATATTATAAGTATGTTAAACTAGAGCTAATAAATTTGAACTTGCTTGCCAATCTCTGTTTATTATGAAAAAAGTTATGAATGGTACTAACGAGGAGTATCATTGTGTATTCCATTCCAGTTACCATAAGGAAATGAATACATCAATCCTGATGGATAAGTCATCGATTGTTGTTGCATATGATTGTTATGCTGTTGAGTTGATTGTACCGCTGGTGGTGGACCAGGAGGCAATGGAGGAAGATCAGAATCATCATCTAAAGCCATGGGAGTACCAGGTATGGGAGGTTGTTGATGTAACTGCTGTTTTGTTTGATTATTTCCTTGCTGCTGCTGTTGCTGCTGCTGCTGTTGTTGCTGCTGCTGCTGCTGCTGTTGGTGTTGTTGCTGCTGCTGCTGCTGCTGGTGGTGTTGCTGCTGCTGTAGCTGCTGTGGATTAAAAGTTTGACCATATCCTGGCATCATTGTATGATAATAATTGAACACCTGCCCTTGGTGCTGCACGCCTTGATACCCTGAACTGTATATTTGCCTGCAAAGAAATTACATTTTGCAAAATTAAATATTTGCAAATATATAACTCTGAGATTTATAACAATTCCGCAACATTTGCAATTCAGAATCATTATAAATAATATCGTCGATACAATAATACACGATTAAAACAAAACTTGGTTCGAGAAGGTCACTACAAAAATCTTTGGAGCAATTGGAGTATGTATGATTCATCTCAAGCTGTAATCATATATCTCCTTTCTATCAATTTATGGCATATTTCATATTGGAAAATTATGTATATCATAAACGCTTGTTTTTTTTAAATCTTATTTCAAAGTCAAAAGCACAAAACTAAATTTCGCATTACAACACATGACATACATGACCTTCACGCTCGACGTGAGGCATCCTTATATGTACGCATATCCGAGGCTTCTCACACATATTACATTCGTCTCGCGAATATGAATATTCTCGGAAACATCTGTATTTTAAAAGGTGATAAAATTTCGTTCATTACGCTTGTTGAAAGATTCGGTGCACAAATGAGTGTGCGACGAATGCAATATTCGAGTGGCGTAATGGCCGACACGATGGCGAAATCGTCGACGCTCTTTAATCGCTGCCGTTTTAACGACTTACCCCGGATACGGAGGAAACATGTTGTGCATATTATTAGGCGGATACTGCCACGCCATGTTCGCCATCGGGCCTGCTCCGATGTGATGCTGTTGCTGCGGATGAAACGGCTGCTGCTGCGCTTGCTTCTTCTGCGACAACGCCTCGCTCTCTGACATATCGTGGAAGAAAAAATATCAGAATCGCTTAGAGACGGCCGTCCCCCCCTACTTGCGCGTCGCTATCGCGATTTCACGCTGTCGGATTACCGCGAGTGGAGCCGTCGTGATGTATTTAAAAAGGAAAAAAAAAGAAAAAAAGGAAACGAGACAATAATATGCACTTTGGATAAAATTCGTCACTCCTATCCTTGCCTTCGGGCTTTCTATCGTCGCTTTCCCCGCGTTCAACGACGCGAGACGTTACACTCGAAATGTCATGTCCGAAGCACGGTGGAGAATGAATCAAAATGGCCGGAACGCCACGATTAATGATTATCATGGCGGCTCGCGTCTCTTTCACGAACTAAATACTTGAGATTAAGGCCGGTATTCATAGTCCGTTCTTATATTTAAGATCATCTTTTAGGCCCAGTTGCACTAACATTATTTTAGTTTTAAAAGAAACTTAAATATATTTCTGTTTTTATTTATTTAGAAAGAAAGATAAAGATAGACATATATTTAAGTCTCGCTTAAAGGTAAAATAATTGATGTAACTGGGCCTTAAGAACCGACGAGATAAGTCCCGATCTACAATAGGTAATTTAAGCTCTAAGCCTTAAGAAATTGACCAATTACAGTCGAGTATTCTCTTCATACTTGACTGTGATTGGTCAATCTCCTAAGGCTTAAAGCTTAAATTGCCTATTGTAGATCCGGCCTAAGCCTCTTGCACAATGCTAGGCAATAAGAACAGAAATAGTATCTATTCTCTGCTCCTATTGGCGAATATTTTCTGTTCCGCGTATTTATTGGTGAATAGTTTTTATTTCTTATTTCCATTGTCTATTGACTAGTATTGTGCAAGGAACTGTATTGTTAAAGACCGACCCCTGGATAAATTTTCATGAACTCACCAAGTCGGCCCGGTGAGCTCGGAGATAATAGAAGATTGATGATATTACCGACCGTTTTGATTATATTGAAGACAATTACAAGAGTTATTTCAATCATACTAGTATTTTAGGTCATTCAGCTATTGTTTTATTATCGAAAATGTATAAATCTTTTATGTACCTTTTTCAAAAATGATAAATTATGTATCAAAAATCATTATTTTATTATCGACAATGTAAAGATTTTGTTACCTACAGCAGCACTTTGCACGTTTTTTTCTGATCACGCTAAATCCCATAAGATCATCGGTCTTTAATAGTATCTCGTCGGTGACATAGCATCATAGACATATAGAATTGACCGACCTCTACCGTAGGAGGCAGTCTTGAAAGATCTAAAGGATAGAGAGATCTAAAGGATTCCGGGTATCTCTGTCCTTCTCTTTTGTCTCATGGTGGGGACACTGTAGGAGTTGAGGGGAAAGCAGTGTGCATACTCGTTTCATTTTCACTCATCCCATCAGTGTCCCCACCACGAGACAAAAGAGAAGGACAGAGATACCCGGAATCATCTGTATCCTTTAGATCTTTCAGACTGCCTCCTACGGTAGGGGCTGGTCTATTCTATATGTCTATGCATAGCACAAAACTAGAAATTGTGCCACGCCAAAATTTCCAAAAGTAAAATTTCCAATTTATTATAGTTTGATTTATCTTTTTCATTATACTTTTTTAAAAAGTATACAATTTATATTGATATTAAATCGATTTATTTTTCGTCATTTTCTTGATAACTTTGACGATTTTTTGAAAACATAATTGAATTTCTTAAATCTCAAAGAAACTTTGCAAACTTTCCAAACAGTTAAAAAATTCAATAATTTCAAATTAGAAAAATTTTACTGCAATTCAAATAAAAAAATCATGTAAATTTTATTTTACTGTAATTCGCATAAAAAATGAATTAGAAAGAATTCTCAACGCATATCGATTTTTTCTACATCTACACACAATCTCTTAAGCTTTGTCTACAATCTCTCAATAAAAACAATGAGTAAAATAATAATAAAAATAATAATTATAATATAAATATAAATATGAATTTAATAAAAGGAGAAAGAGAGAGTCATGTTTTCATTTCTTAAATTATACAAATATACATCTTACTACGTTAATAATTTACGAAATGCAATAAAAAGAGAGAGAAAACGATAGAAAATCGATAGGCAATTAAGAATGCATCTAATCTGTAACTTCTAACAATGATATATTTTGAAACATATTGTCAATGGGGGGATAAACATTATGATAGATAAACTATATTTCGAAATGTAAGATTAGTGTAAAGCCGGCGAGTTCACTGTTCCATTTCGTTCCTTATCTGGTAAAATATGTATGAGAAGAAAGGTAAAGGAAAAGGGAGGATAAATCTAACGAACAAAATAATAAGATCTGGATTCTAGCTCGAATGCTCGCTAATCAGTTGAATATTTAGGGAATCTAAGTACGCTTTATATATACATATAAGTTATACTATTGTATAACTTATGGAATGAGCTGAATTTTGAAAAAAAATCATATACACATATGAGTAAATTCGAAATGAAAAATTATACTGTCCATCTCGTATGGATATAAAATAAATTAATTCACTAGGATTATACTTAAACACTCTGATTCAAATTGAAAAATTCTTGATTTAATTTTAAATATAATTTTTAGTCTAACAAATATATAAGAAATTTAGTAAACTCATAAAGAGTATAACAGAGTATACAATATGTTAGAAATTTGTCAACAATCCGCTATGTAGAACAACCTGTAGTTTTTCAATAAGTAACTATAAATAATTTAGGTCTAATAGCTTAAGATTTTCTTTCCAGCTTCATTCCATTCTTTCTTATCTAACTTATGTACTATAATTGTGCAGTTCTCGATAACTCTCTCGATTTTAAGCGCAGAAAATACATGATGAACATAATGTATCGTTAAATAAAAAAATTAATATTTAATATCTCAAATTTTATCAAATTAAACATTGAGATTATACGTAAATTAAATTCTAATTAATTAAACATTATCTTAATAGAATAAAAAATTAAAATTCTAAGAAATGTTCTAAGAAATTCTTGTTAATTCAAACAAAATTTAAATGATGACATTAGAGCCGTTAGTCTTAGATATTTGCTATACAATAAAATACATATAGAAATCATTTTTGCAATATTATCTAAATGTAGATTGTAATACTAGTTTCAACTTTTACTCCGATCAATTTTTAATTTGTAAAATTCTTACTCCAGTCCTCTTAAACTAAAAATCGGTAGTGATTGAATGAAACTTTAGATTTTTTTCATATAATGAGTAGTATAATCTCCACTTCAGTAGTATGTGTAATCTCGTATCAATAAATCGCAAACAAAAAATGTTTATTATAGTTAAGAAAAATCTAGATAAAAGTCGAAACTAGTACCATTATGCCTAATCACTTTTATATTAGCCCTAATTATTCTTTAAATCTTAATCGAAATTTAAGTTAACTTATATAAATGAGATATGTAAAAATACTTATATCGAAAAAGATTTATAACAAATAGACAAATTTTTTTTCACTTAAAATAACGTTATATTATAAATCGTCGTCACATAGCTGTGCTTAAATTCAAGAATATCAATTTATTCTTACAGTACTACGATATATCTATTATACGAATAATATTCGGAAAAATGGGCAGGAGAATACTTTTTTTCTTATATGATAAACATCTGTGCAGTGAATTTACAAAAAAAACAGCGTTCTTTTTCCGAATTCTTTCAGATTATCAACCAAGAAAAAATAAAGAATGATATTAAATATTTTGATCATAGATATCGCATAAATTATTCCGATATTTTACAGACTAGAAAAGTACAATTGATACATTATGATGCAACAGAAAAGTGAACATTTTTCTCTATGTTACTTTGTAGGCACTTTCTACGAGTAACCGGAGACTCTCAAAATACGATAGAAAACAAAACCCGTGACGGTATCTTCAACATTAAAATTAATTGTACATCTCTATATGACATGATGATTATTTGTCCTACGTATAAGAAAATTAAGAACGATTAGGCGTACATTGGAAAACGTGCAACATTCCCGCGGATCCTATTGATAATGATACTATTTCTTTTCCAGTCATATAATTATTAATGTATGCAGTTTTTTCATATTGTATATTGTATTTTATATGTTTATATCTTAGTTGCTTATCATTTCTTCTAGTTGTTCGTTCATTATAGATTTATTGCTTTAAATATAATTGCAAACTGATAAGATACTCACATAATATACAATATTAACTCTATATCGCTAGATAGTGATTGGAAAGAGATAATTTATATATTTAAAGATATTTTTTATCGAGCTATCGAAACATGACATTCGTATATTCATTATGTATCAAATAAGCTTTCAATATATATGACATTTTCGCACATTAGAATTATTAATACAGATGAATTTCCGCGAATCGCGCAAGTTCCAAACCATCCATAGAACATAGCTATTATAGCCTAGTATAGGGAAGTTAACAATTACAAGTGTTTCAATGACTGTAGCTCGATATTAATAATTCACGTTTAATTTACAGAACTTTGCCCCCATCGATAATATTGCATAAAAAAAAACTATTCCATCCATTATGAATGTGAACCATCTCTAATTGTAGATTATAATTTATTGCTATAGGAGTGTAATTGTTATTTTGACGTTTTATCGTATGGACGAATCAATATTGTTTTATTTTCAATGTAATTACACTCTGTAAAGTATCCCTTTAAGATTGCAAATTAGAATTTCTCTACTAAAATGCAAGTTGTTCAATTTTTTTTATCAATATTTTAAATATATGAATGTATGTAATGATTTTCTTTATTGATGAGAAACAGAAATTTGATGCCTCCTTTAATTTAGCTACTTCTTGTTCATGGTTTTTTTAAGGCACCTGATATATGTATGGTACGCAATGCAATATATATTTATATACAAATAAAATGTTTTATAACTAAAAATATTATTCGCGCCATTATTGTAACTTAAAGATCGGACCCCTATCCCGACCGTATCTGTATTGATTTTTGTAAATTCTAATTCAATATTATTATTTTATAATATTAAATAATAATTTTTTAAATATTCCATATTAACGAAATTATAATCAAATATCCAAAACAGAAAACAAAAAAATTTATTAATATATAATTAAAATATATAAGCATATAATATATATTAAATATAATCACGTATACACACAAAACATGATATTATGTCAAAAATTCAAAAAAGAATATACACAACAAAAGCAGATAATATATAAAACATAATCGCGTCATAGGACAATTATACATAAATGCGCACTGCCGCTCCTAGAAACTAAAGAATTCTTATACTTAGATGCGTATAATACTATAATAGCCGTTAGGTTCATATGTATACTAGTGAAATTGGCTTGGTAGGATGAATAGAGTAGTACCGCTTTGTGATCTGTATATTTATGTAAACGATAAAAATACTTTTTGGATATATTGACTAGTTTCTGTCACTCCTCTTCTGCTGCTTCTCCCTTCAGCGAACTTTTAGCGCACTTCAAGCTCTCTATCTAATCCATATAACGTCAACAGAACACAAAAGTGATCCACTTGGTGATTCGTCGGCAATAATGTTTATATCATATTACATCTATATTACAGCTCTTTACGGAGTGGTCGACGTTAAAAATGTAGGATCTACCGCGGCTACCTTTGCGGTAAGAAACGCATGCATACAGAATAACAAGTTTTGCAACTGGGAACACTCCAATTCCTGTTGAAATGTATGCAAGACGTAAATATACATTTCTCTATATTGAACCTTTTAATTTGCCACAAAATTCAGTTTTACCTTCGTTTCGATAGCAATACTATCTGGTTCTTGGAAGTGTAATTTGAGCCTGCTTTTACCGTCGTCGCTGGACCCTCTCAATTGAGAGAATTTGTAACGCCACGCAATTTCGCCGATCCCTTCGTACGACAACGTGAATCCTTGAGTCCATTCCAACGTTAAACCTGCGCTTCTGCTATTAAAAGTCACTGGGAAAGTTTTGCTCTGAAAGGAAAAAGAGAGAAAATACATGAGAAAAGGATGACGATGTTGAAATTGTTCTAGATGCGGATCACGACGCACCTTTAAATATGTAACAGCTGAACATATGGCGGTGTGCCACGCTGCCTCGACTCGCAGGAGTTCTTGTCTAGTCTCGACGCTCAAGTAACGTGGCGGTTTTCCTGGACTTTGCGCCAAGAAGCAATGCTGCCGCTCGTCCACATTCTCCGATTCGCGCATCACGCGAAACATTGTCTGATACACCTTGAAAGTTAACGCGCAGCGTGACCAATCGCCGATATTGCACTGAAAAACGACAATAATATGAGAATATTTCTTCGATTTAACACACATAATTTTATGATATGCATACTAATTCTCATGATTTTGTATTGTTTTAATTATAGATTAACATAGATTTAGATTTAAAAATAATATCGTTGACCTCGCTTTTTGCGCCTAATAATTTTTTTTAATTAATCCAAAATAAACGAAATAAAAAATATGCAAATTATATATAATACATACAGGAGGTGTTTCAAACAGCAATAAATCCGGTCCCTTTAGAGCCAGAAACCGCGGTCTGTAACTCTGCCACGGTTGATTACTATTGCTAACTGCCTCATTCACCCAGCCCATGTATTCTATGCGTTCACCGACTCCAAAATTGCGATTGTACAGTTTCATCTAAAATGAAATTTAAGCTCAATCCACTCGAAATGATACAGATAGCGAAGTATTAGTCATTAATTATTTGGACTATTATATGGAAAATATGATGCGTTCAATCGCATTATTTATATCACCTGCAAGTGCGTTAATCCTGTAATGTTATCAGTTATATATTTTAACCATTGGCTCAGAATAGCGCTATCATCGCAGTGTATTACTCCTGTACGCGCTCCGTTAAGACCTCTCACTTCGAATGCGTTTCTTCTTAATTTGTCGGTTCCAAATATATATCTTGTGACATACGCCATCATTAATGGAACTGAAAATGCCACCATTAATCATTTACGTACTGTAAATATGCGTACTATATATTTAAATTGCTGCTCGATATTTTTAACCCGAAAATACATATCATACATATATAAAGTGTTTTAAAATAACATTTTTAGCAATACATACAATCGCTTTTATAATATATATAAAGTTCAAAAAGTATTACAATTAGCGTCAAATATAAAGGAATAAATGCGACTCGAATCTTAAATTTATCTATTTATTTTAGAATGAAAATATAATTACCCGTAATGACATCCACCCATCTTTTATATTGCATCGAGCTCGAAGATGCGTTCGAACTTTGTCGACTGTGACTGCATCTGGGACTGCCTCCTTGCCTGTTGGGCGATATCCATCCGTCTTCCGCCGTACCATTGGCAACATTATCCAACTTTTCTTCCTTCTCTGTTAATAAGCATTAAGATATCAACAGATAAATACATCACAATTTATCAGTCAATTATTTTTGTAATAATTTATAATATTATAGTACCATTCTTTTGTAGAAATGGCTTGGCCGCTCGATAATGTTTGACCGTTAAAACTACTATATCACCGGCATTCCTTAAAATATTGACAGCATCGTCGTGATTACACGCCGTAATATACTCTCCATTCACTGTAGAATCATAGAGCATGGATTATATAATTTAATAAATTCTCAATATTGTCATAAACAAAGAGTAGCACGTAATAAATAGAGAGAGAGAGAGGGAGGGAGAGAGGGGAGAGGGGGAGGGGGGAGAGAGAGGGAGGGAGGGAGGGAGAGAGAGAGAGAGAGAGAGGGAGGGAGAGAGAGAGAGATCCTGATTGTTTCGAATATAATACAAAATAGCATCGATGTCAACTTTTCTTTCAATAGGAGCGAGCACATTGACACAAGTAGGAAAATTGAAATCGATACTCATTAACTGTACAGGGTGCTATTCAACTATCGTCAAACTGTCAATGTCGTATCACAGCGTCGGGGCAAATAATACGGAGCAAATATTAATAGAAGATATCATAGCTTTCATATAGACTGGAATAATCTAAATAGAATTAAATTAGCGCGGGAAGCAAGGAGAGATAAACGAGGATAATATAATGCCAATATCGAATTTTCGACTTATCTTAAACATTTAACGTCAATCTAAATTAGAGAAGGATAGATATTTTATGCGCATGTATCAGATAAATGTAACATGTATAATTTATGAAACGTGTCTCGTACTGATAACGGAACATACATTATGTAATATTACATAAGCGAACACGTGCGTACAATTTTATCGATACCTTTAATAATTGCATCTCCTACAAAGAGTTGACCGCACTGATCGGCGGCCTGACCTTTATAAATCCTCGATATCAGCACTGGAAGTTTATGTTCCGCTCCACCCTTTATGCTCAGTCCCAGACCACCGACCTTCTGCCTGGTAATTTGCACCATGCGCTCCTTGGCGTCCAGAGGTGGCTTATTGTGATTCGCTGCCTGCTAAAATTTAGTCTCGTCTTTGGCACATATAATACAGTGATCCGTGATCGATAAAATATCACATTTATATCGACGCGATGGTTATTCGTTCTTCTAAATAGTTAATACACACTATCGAAAGGCACTTTACCTCCAAATCCTCTCGTTGAAGCTTCAATACCTCCATCGACAGGTGCAAACGCATCGGGATAGGTTTACTCTTTCCATCGCTAACCGTCACCATTCCCGTTCGTACCTATCGATAATAAATTCAAATGGTCAAAAACCATTCCCTGTCATCGAGGACTGTCATTTTATTCGCTCGAAAAATATGAGAAAATACGCGCTCGTATCTAAATGGAACTTCGAGAAAATACGGAGCAGATTTAGTGACCTGAAAAATCATATAAATTGATTGTTCTTAAACTAAGTATAAAATCGAATTTATCTCTTCACAGTTTGTTGAAAATACTCCATTTTTATGAGTTGCGGCTTCAGATTTAAAAATAACAATATACAGCGTTCTATTATTTTCTCTGCTTTTATTCAGAACGAAGTAATTTGCATTCAACAACGCTGAGTCGAAATAGGAAAAGCAAGATAAAGACTCGCTGAATTAAAGAGAGAAAATAGAAGCTATTTTAGAGATGCTCTCGGGAGAGAGAAAGGGGTGCAGGGTACATACGGACATAGTTCCAAGATTAAAAAAGAAGAGGCACGTCGTGATGTGCGATACCGATATTAATGGATTTCTATGCATATTGATTGATTAACAAAGTCACTGCACGCGGCCAAACATGCATTTATGCATGAGAACTTGAGAAAGGTTCCGATAAATTCTTAATTGGATGTCACTGTTTTATTGGGTTACAGCGATCGTTTTCAATTATTCCGGACGGAATTATCGTTATTACGTTATTTCCCGTTCGTTGGCCGGTGGAACGAACCGTGTGATCCGGCCGTTACATTTGACCCGCGTGAGACCGCAATCGGCTTAAATTAATTCATATTTGTTAATTTGCCGCGTGCGGTTCGCAGGAAATTAACCGCATCGTAGTTCGTACGATCTACAAATGTCCATTATTTTTTTTCCAATATAATAACAGCTTCGTTTTATTAATCAAGCTCCCTCTCCTTTCGTTTTTTTTATGAACAAACACTCCCTGAATTAATCAATCAATCACGATTCGATGTTGACTCTCTTTTTTTTCCTCGATGATGAGGAAGAGAAAAACAGTTAAATGATTTAGAGAATCAGTTAACATTTATAGACGTCATAACGTATATAGAGTGGGATGTAACTCAGCGCGAGCTATCTTTCATTTATGAGGTTCTTGACTGTTCTTGAATTTTGAATCAATTTGTCTCAAGATATGATCGATAGGAATCAATCGTTTGCGATAAAAGTTAGTGATATTCTACACATTAAACTTCTATACAAAATGCACTTAAAAAAAGTACATTTTATTAAATGTAAAAAAAGCGAATTAAACGAAGAATAAAATACAAAGATTGAAATGTCAGAATGGTTTATCAATATGAATTTATAAAAAAAAAATCCATATTTTTTTTACGTAGCGAACGAATCGATCTCGTCAAAGAAAATCATACTCAATTGGTCGCGAAAGTTCCGAAGAGTTTCTAAATTGATCCATTCTTTATATATATGTATTAAATGTGACAATCGAAAACGCGGCTGATAAATGAAATTCTTCGGGGTCATTAAAATCAGATAAAACGGGACGACATTTTATATTTTAACACTTTTCCCCGTCTGAATGCCCTCCTTACACATATATATATATATATTTTTAGTAAACGAATACAGAGCGTTCGTTATTTGTCCCCGTTAACAATTCGTCCGTTCCAATTAATTCGACATTAATTATTACCAGGAACGCTAAACTATCCTCGAAATATGATCCATTGAAACGTGCAGAACGAATTCTCGATAACGATATCAGTTTGCGTGAAATTCACCTAATGAATTCTATTTTCATGATGTTTCCTGATACAACATTACGATTATGCGTTTCATATATTTTTATAAAGTATTATATATTAACAATAAAATGATGTTTCTCGATATAAATTATAATTATGTATATTACTCATATATTTTTAAAGTATTATATATATATATATATATATATATATATATTAATATATTATTATATATATATATTAATATATATTAACGATAAAACACAATAAAAATAGAAAAGACCGACTCCATAATTTCCAAATATATCATGCTGTTTCGCGCATTTATTATTGTATACCTTTCTCTATAAATTCAACGTGTGAAATATTTAACAGAGTTTCGCGGTTTTCTCATTGCCGCGACCTTATTCGTAATAATCCTCAATATCCGAGAAGAGGGCAACGCGAAAATGATCGATGTCGTTCGTATAAGCTTTTTTATCTCCTTTCTGATTCAAAAAAAACCAACGTGAAACACTCGTTACACGGTTGCAGAACGAGAATTTTATCGCAAAACACGTAACAAACTATCGTTGTTCTCGTAAAAACATCGTGATATAAAAAGAAGTCGCGATTTCTCCGAAAAAATAAAAATGAACTCTAAAACGAGTGATACGTTATTGGTGCGCCAGATTATTGAATGTAACAATTTTTACGTAATCCAGCAAAATGTGATATTACACTTTATCAAGGTATCATTAACATAAAACATTATTAACATAGACAAAGTAATTAAATTAATTGGTATTCGCGGCACGAATATCGATCTTCTCTTCCACAGAGTTGTGTTTAATGGCAAACATCAAACTGCCAATTTGGAGTACATACGCAGGAGCATCTATCAAAGCGAACGATAAGGCTCGTTTCTCGGAAAGCATCAATTAAGCGCTGTGTTGGGGGTTCCTTAGGCTATAAAGTCTAGAATCCTTCATGCGATACTAAAAACCACCAAATAGCCAATTTCATCGCAGAATTGTTGCTGTAAGCATTCGTTAAAATTAACTAAGATTTAACTGTCATCCCCCGACTCTTCTTTCTGCATTTAGAAAGTAGGACATGGAATCACGTTAAAACTTTAATCATATTTAACTAACGTTTATGGAAACGGATCGATTCTACCAATATCGATCGATATCCTATAGTCTATCGCTATCGTATGTTGTAGCTAGTATGTAGCTAGTATGTAGCTATTACGACCTGGAAGAAAACGGGAAATCTCGGTGAAACAACGAATCGAGTTTAGGGAAGATTTTCGTTAATAAAAACGACCAAACTTTTCGCGCGCCCGGCGAAACTTTTCTCACCATTTTGCAGTAATCGGGGCGAATCGTCGAGGGCTCGTTTACGGGAGATTAATGACGTTTCGATCGAGAAACATTTTATGCACCTGTCGCACCGTGAATTTCATCGGGATGATGAAACGTGTCGATTGAGCGCGTAAAGAGAATAATTGACGCGAGAAGATGAGTTGAAGATGTACGAGCGCTGGTCCAGAAAATTCCAAGTCCAAAACATAACTCTCAGATGTAACCGCATCTTCGACTTCTAAAAACGTAAAAAAATACTTAGATGTACACCTTGAGAGACAATTTTTTCTTATACGAAGCAAGAATCATCACGTACGAAGTGAATTATTTATATGTCTGATAATTAAATAAAGTAATTAATAAGATAATTAAAAAATAATTAAAAAATAAAATAATTAATTATATTAAATTAAATTATAGATTTGATAATTAAATAAAAATTATAAGATAATTAAATATATATTAAAAGAGATTTAATATTTCTATTTTAGAGACGATTAAGAGAGTCGCACAGTTTTCGTTCTAAATGCTTTTTTTGCACGAATGATAAACCTCGGGGAAGATACACTCTGTGAATGCGTCTACTAATTATGGGGTATCCAGATGATATTACTTCATCAGTATGTAAGCGTGTATCTGCTCGGAGCGGACGGTAACGAGTAGAATTACGTGTGCAACGCGACCCGACTAAAATGCACCGCAGTCGCATATACGACTCTTTTGACCTTTCATTCGCTCTTATCGTATGCAAAAACACGAGGCCACGCTCACATACCGTATCTAGCGGTAAATGCTGCCGTGACTGCAATCTATGATTAACGTTTAACGAAACATTCATATATGACTATGAACTGACTCGAATTGAGACTCGGACTGACTTCGGATGCAGAAAATAAGATCGTATTATTTGCGCGTATCAGAGAGAGATAATTATGTCGAGAGAGTTGCATTTTTTTTTACATATATTTCAAGGGAATAAAGCTCTCGAATACATTAAATAATTGGATTCAATGATCTAAATATCCAATCGTTATATAAGTATTATGTTAACGATACGTTTCCCAACGAAATTACAATCGATCTCATCATTAATCAAGACAAATTAAACGCCAGATACGTTAAATATCTCCGAATTAATTTCCGGGAATAGTCTTGGAGATAATTTTAAGACGGACTTTAATCCCCTTTAAGCCCCGATTCGGTCTCTAATGGAAAGTGACTCGGTTTAATACGTCGAACGCAATTGTATCCGGATATCCAGGAATATCCAGCGCACATCTGCTCGAAACGAGCCTCCCGGAGACCAGGCATCGCGGCCAGGATTATGCGACTAAGTATGCGAGTAGGAGCCGCGGATGCGCTTTATTATTGATCATCGAAGATCGACGGGCAGCGTGCGAGATCGCCTTGGCCCCTCTTCCTCGGGAGACGTACCTTGAGCTTCTGGTCAATCTTCTCCTCGATCGGAGTGCTCATCTTCGTCGCGTTGATTCTCATTATTCTCGGGCGTGATTAGTGAGGTGACGGCACCCTGGCGTTTCGTCCGAGGCTCGTACCGCTGCTGCTGTCAGCCTCGGCGACGGGACTCGTCGTGGTCACCGCTGGCGACATCGGCGGCTACCGCACTATCGCGACTCTCACTGTCCCGGTGACGGGCTGTTCCTCGCGACGGCAGCGCGACGACCGCGACGGCCCTTCATCGTAGCGGCTCTCCCTGCGCGAGAGAATGTATATCAGAGAGGGAGGGGACGAGAGGGGGGGGAGAGAAGCTACCGCGCGCGCGAGGATTGATATACCGGTGCGTTTTCAATTCCCAAGAAGCGCGAAAATGATCCTTACGACTCTCGTATATAAAAAAAAAAAAAATCCCTTGACTCCCCGAAATTAAAATTCATGACCTCGAATCGTTGGACTGTCTCTCGGAAATTGAACTAATTTACGAATTCGATTATCGCGAGGACGTTTCCTGAAGAAAGTTCGTCTTTCCTCGAAAAATCTACCCCCTCGACCGAAATCGACAACTCCGATTCGAATCCCTGATAGGGAACGATCGAGGGGAAGAGTCACGTCGAGGCTCGACGAGAGTCCTCGATCCCGGGGGTCAGCGATTATGCAGCCCTACCTATGTGATCGAGTGGAAAATTGGTGTCGAACCGGTCGTCGGCGACGATGTCGATGCGATCGGAAAATGCCTCCAGATGACGAGCGTGAGCCTGGCGGCGAGCGCGAACTGGCCGCACGCGTCTGTGTCTGTCAGTGCGGCGACATGTGCGCGCGCGTGCGTGCGCGGACACATATGTCGCGCGGCCGAGAGCCTCGGCGCATCGATTTATGCGGGGCGCCGCGCATAAGCGGCGTCTCGTTCTGGCTCCTTCAGGCGCGGATCAAAGCAAGCGTTGTCCTTGCATTGACCAGGCCAATCTGCCTCCTCCTATCGACCTCCTTCCTTCGACTCGCGCTGCAAAAATTCAAGATACATCGGGATAATTTCATCTCTCGCGATAACTCGAATCTTAATTATGGACATAATTTTATCTATACTTCTCTTGCACTGATGTTTTTATTCATACACTCGTGTCCGAAAATATTCTACTGCGAGTTTTTTTTTAATATAGAAGTAAATTTATAGAAAAGGAGAGCGTTTTGATATAAACTGCCAGTGCTGAAAATCTATAGTATACGTGACGTAAACTATAGATCTTCAGTACTGGCAAGAAACATCGGAATACAGCTATATTTAATTTGGCGGGAATTTTAAGGATGTACATTGAATATATCTATACATAATTGTAATGAAATAAAATACTGTAATCGATATCGAAATTATATTGTATTTTGAACTACTTTTCATATCTCGGTACGAGTACATAACATGAATATTTAATTAGTCATATAAATATTGTTTGATATCTAAATGTATATCATTGTTCGATTCTTTGTGTCTTTGAATTATTTAACCATACAATTATAACATTATATCATGTCACATCTCGTTGATTGAATTGTTATATCTCGCTAAATTTCTATCATGTATATCACAAAATAAATATATATTGACATACATATGACATTATAACATATAAAATTAATATCATATGAAGAATTACGTTGTATTTAAATAATAAGCATTTTGTATTTTGTTCCTTCTCTATACTATTTTACATATGTGTTACTGTAATAATAAATATTCGAATATTTCTCTTTATTCTATTTTTTGGATTATTGACACACAATGTCATATCACACATTACAAATCGTGTCACTGCGTTCTAGATATAATTATAAGCGTTTCAAAATTCAGAGATTTTCCATAGAGTATTTCTGTATAATTGTAATTAAAGAATTTTTGTATAAAGTATATCAATATACATATAATTATATAGTAATTATATATAATTTGTGGACTAAACACAAACAGGGATGCTATAATTATAGTTTTATCAACCATAAGATGAGAAATAGCATTTTGCTCATGATTTGGAGCAATTTGCTTATCTTATTAATTGGATTGTAATTATTTTCCATCATTAGTGATGTATGTTTCAATTATATGCATTTAAAAATTCACATGATAAAGTTTGTAAAATTTATAAAGTAAAGATTAAATTATCAAAGATCTCTTTATAAAATTATCTATCTATATGTGATTTGTACATACAAATCATACAATATTTTTGTAAACAAAAAGAATATGTTTTATAAAATCCATTCTGGATTATTCTTATTAAAAAGGAAACAAGTCAATCTGTGACAATGTTTCCAAACAGTTATTAAAGGTAGATATTAAACTAGATAAAGTTTTTACACATATATATATAATAGATTTCTTTCCTATGTGCAATCCTGCATATTTATAGCAGGAAGAATGTGCGATATTCACATCTTGTATCTTTCTGCATAAGACACAATGTCCTACTATTATCTAAAATATATACAGCAGGAGGTGAAATAAATTTCTTAAATACAAATAAAAACACTTTTTTCTCCATTAAATAATTTAGAAAATAATGCTCTTCAAGAAATCATATGATGCATTTATCACACCCCAACTAATGAAAGACCTCATGTAATTCAGGTGTACGCCTTTGTAAAAAGAAGATAAACTTCGATCTCTGGAGACATATAGCTCGCGAATCACAACGTGGAATTTCTCGAAGTCACCACCGATCTTTGTCTGCATATGTATTTTAATTACATTCATCGGATAAAACACTGTACTAGTAAAGCCACCAATGAACGCACCGCTGATAAAATTAGTCAATAATGAATCTTGTTCACCTATCAACACTTTCGATTGATCTCGCAGAGTGAAGAACATCAGATTGGACAAGCCATTTCTATATATGATAGGAACCATACCGCGATAACATTCAGAAATACCGTAATTCGTCAACAGATACCTAAATGTATGGGATGTGTTTTTGAATTTGTCATGATATCGCCAATCTTGAAGTAGCGTTTGTACTCTCTCGAGCGGCATGAGCACAGCCTCTATCGTGCCGGCTATATTCGCCGCCAGTACCTTAGCCAGCACGTCGTTTTTGGTGAGCAAGCATAATCTCTGTTTACATCCTTCGTATGTGCTAAACATTAAACTGAGGGATAGAGTTTTTTGGCACAGAGGTGGTAAAATTCCACGATATAACAATTGTATTCCCTCTTGCGATATTTGCCCGATCGCAGCTCTCATTGGTACTCCCTCCAAAATCTGTATCGTAACATAATCAAATGTATTTCTATTTAAATTTTATAAAAGAATTTCTTCAATTTTTCAGATATTTTTATTCAAAATTTCCAATAAAATTAAAGAATTTTTATATGCAATTCTTGAAAATAAGTTTTTTCACTATGTATTTTATTTATATAAGTATTTTTCATAAGAAAAATAAAGAGTTACTTAAATTTTAAATGTTAAACTTAAAAATATAATGGAAAAAACTAGCTTTCAAAAGATAAACATTTTTTTATTTGCATAGCATTATTACTAAAAATTACAAAAAAGAATTCACTATATATTCCGTATGTTATGTTAGAATGTTAAATATATAAATAAATATATATATATATATATAATTTTTTTTAAACATGTATAAAATTCATAATTTGGCCAATTGATTGATTATATGTTGCTGAATGCTCGTAATATAAAAGCAAAATTATCAAAGAGAGAATTTTTTAAAAAATTGAGTATCAGTACAATTTCAGAATTCTTTGTCTTGGTTTTTTTCTTGATAAAAAAAGAAATCTCTGAAAAATCTCTTTTTCTTAAATATTCTATGTTGTCATGATGTACAAAAAAATATTTATTAGTGTTATTTATATTACGAACCTGTCTGAAAATGATTTTATTAATTGGAAAAGTGACAGTGACGTTAATAACAGCAGCGCCCCAGCCACAAATAAATTCATTGAAATCATCTCTTCTGATTTTGAGAACTGAATACAATGATAGCTTTTGCGACGTGACGTTATTCATGTTAGTATAATTTTTAAGAACACAAAAAATATTCAGAAGGAAAAATATTCGATTGTCTTAATATTAAATGTACTCTAGAAACTTTTTTTCCAAAGATATTTGTGACAAATTGCATATTGAATTAGGCATCTTTTTATCTGAAAAATAAAAACAAAGATTAATTAATTATTAATATCCAAGCCGCTTACTTCTAAATCTCTCATCTCTGATATGGATGAATTTGTATCAATGAATTATGCATTATCATATCTAAATGAATCTTTTGCATTTATCTAATTATATTTTCTTATACAAGGAAATGTAATTTCAACGTACATAAATTTACAATTATACTCAGTCATTTGCAATCTAACTTGAAGTAAGACTGAAAAGTAAATTTCATATTTGGAAAGCGTGAAAAGTCTTCGCGCGAATACATTATGTAACCTAACCTAATCGTATCACGTGTTGACAAATTCCCAAGACATCAATTTTCGACTTACGTGTTTAAAGTTTCCTTCCGTGCCATTCAACCCATAGTTTCAAAGACATCTAAAAAACTTTAGGTATTAACGGTGCCGAGGACCGTGGCACTCGTTATCACGCATGTATCATTATCGATGACGTGCGTATGTCAAGTGCCGCCATGTTGGGTCTGACATATCATCTACAGCTGATCAATGTTCGATCGCGGCACTGGAGAGGGAGCTTTCCCTAAAGAAAATCAAGACCAAGATTAGAAAGAGACAGATATATTTTTGGTTGGATCTCTGTCTCTTTTTATATTATATCATTTAAACTAAAAACATTTGTCATCAGATAACACAGTGAAATAAATATGGAGCTTCCAGATAATTTTTCGGTTTTATTTGCGAATGTAAACAGTGACATTGGAAGATAAATTTTACTTCTTTTATTCGTTAAGTATCTCTACACATAAAGATGCTTTTGATCAATGTTTTTAATTATGATACTAATCAACCTATCCGTGATCAAAATAGCGATTTACCTAGTGTCTATATATTTTTTTCTATGAATTGGATTATTCCTGCACCATTGAAGGCTCTATGTTACAGAGCTCAATGGTGTAAACTTCCTTTGGAATCATTCTACGCCACAACGACTGAGTCGACCAGTTGATTACGATTTACGATATGACAGTATTCTTCGTATCATTGTGACGTGCAGGTGTCGTAGTTGTCTCCTGCAGAGTGAAATAAGAATTATTATCGATATAACAATTTTATATTATTATTATTATTATCAGAATAAATAAAATATTCAGACAATGTTTCGCATCACCAAAACGCTCTCGTCAGCTCCCAGGAACTTTAATAAGGCTCTCGAAGCGCCCTTAGGACTTTGGAACGCATCAAGGTGACACGATTATTTCTCATTCGATTGGCTCAACCTGTTGCTAATCTCGAGCAAACTTTAAAAATTATGTTATTAATACTTGCTATTTGACTATTTTCAATTAATATGATCGTATTTCATCGAATTTGAACCATAAAAATGATTTTAATGTAATTTATACATGGTATATTATATTTGTTTATTATTACGTGGAATATAAATATTTGTATGATTTTTAACGAATCAATTCGCATAATTTGCGAAATTTATAAATCATAAGTTTGCACTTCGACCCGAAATTTTGTATCGATGATATTTTTAGTCGCAAGTATATGTGTCACATATGTGAACTTTGGACTGTACTTCTCGCAATACGTATACGTACATGTGCGCGGGATTGTCGAGCATGCATACGTCACATATTGATAGTTTGGAATTTGTAAACTGTTTACAGCAATTATTGTGTCATTTGATCTATGATCGTTGCATTTTATAAATAGAATAAAATAGAATAGGTTAAAGTTTATTATACGTTCTAAAATGAAATAGTCTTTATATGTACTTATTATCAAGTTATTTTATACTTAAGACAAATATAATTGCTTAAATAATAATTTTTAAAAAATAATAATTGAAATAATAACTGCATAATGATATTAAAATTATATGCGACACATATATGTTTAGATGTTTGGCTACGCAAGCTGCAGTAAAACCATCCAGCGAAGAAAAACCGCAGGAAAAGCTTGCTACAAAAGAATCTCAATCCTTCACCATGAATCTCTTCCGTGGTCAATTACAATTGAATCAAGTGTTCCCATTTCCAGAACCTATGGATGAGGATCAAACTGATACGTTAAAAATGCTTATTGATCCTATAGAGAAGTTTTATGAGGTAACTATCTTTTCAAACAGTAAAATAAGCAAAATGTAAAACTATCTATGTATAAGATATATGCTTGTTTTTCTCTTCTATTAGGAAATAAATGATCCAGTTAAAAATGATCAAAACGCGTGTGTAGACGAGAAAACGGCAGCTGCTCTCTGGGAATTGGGAGGGTTTGCTCTGCAAGTGCCTCAAGAATTTGGCGGATTAGGATTGACAAATACTCAGTACAGTCGAGTTGTTGAAATATGTGGCTATCATGATTTGGGTCTTGGTATCATGCTTGGTGCACATCAAAGCATAGGTTTCAAGGTAAAATCTTCTTTCTTGATATGGTGTTTTCCTTTATTTTTCTTCATATTTATTTCACTTCTAACATATTTCTCAATAATCTGAGTATAATGTTTCCTTTTTCCTCTGTCTTTCTGTTTAATAAACTTTGTGCGCACGTCTATTTTAGGGCATACTTTTATATGGCACTCCGGAACAAAAAGCCAAATATCTACCTCGGGTTAGTAACGGTGAGTACGCCGCTTTTTGCTTGACGGAACCAGGTGCCGGTTCTGATGCCAGTTCGATACGTTCACGCGCGATCAAGTCTGCGGACGGATCGCACTATGTTCTCAATGGCAGCAAAATTTGGATATCGAACGGTGGTATCGCCAGTATCATGACCGTCTTCGCGCAAGTGCCTTTCAAGGATCCAAAAACGGGCGAAACGAAAGAGAAAATCACCGCTTTCGTCGTCGAGAGGGAATTCGGTGGTGTTACCAGCGGACCGCCTGAGAAAAAAATGGGCATTAAATGTAGCAATACGGCAGAAGTTTTCTTTGAGGACGTCAAAATTCCGGCGGAAAATGTTCTCGGCAAGGAGGGTGAAGGTTTTAAGGTAACAATTCGTAAATCGAACTTTTCATATTCGTGACATTATAAATTGTTAAAAAGAAAATTAAAAAACATTTACAACTTATTTATATTATATTTATATTATATTTTTATACACACACACACGTGTGTGTGTGTGTGTTATATATATATATATATATATATATATATATATATATATAAGTAATCTATATTATATTTTTACAATATATATATAAATAAAATTATAAAATATATATTTAATATAATTTCTAAAATTTTCTTTTATTTTTGAGCTTGTTTTTGATGCTTTGTGAATTATTTTTATTTGTAAATTTAAATGCTGCACAACGATTGCAATATTAGCTTTAATTCCAGGTTGCAATGAATATCCTAAACAATGGAAGATTTGGTATGTCCGCGTGCCTTTCCGGTACCATGCGTTATTGCATCAACAAGGCTGTAAGTCATGCAACGCAACGCAAGCAATTTGGTCGTACGTTAAACAATTATGGTACTATACAAGAAAAGTTGGCGCGCATGGTTATGCTACATTATATCACCGAGTCTCTCGCATACGCACTTTCTGGAAACATGGACCTTGGAAGCCAAGATTATCATCTAGAAGCAGCTATTTCAAAAGTAATTTTCCTGTCATTCGATTAATTTAATTTATCAAATCAATATATCATAAAGAAAAATCACAAAGATTTATAAAATTACAGTAACTTTATAGAGAAAGATACACTAACAGTAATCAGGATTCTATAAAGTTTTATAAAGTAATTTTGATAGTATCTTCATTTGATAGTGAGAAAAAGCTTGTTAGAAGAATAAAAAGTTTGTACCTGTCTCTTTATTATCTTATCTAGCCAGTTTTTTTCTCATACAATAGTTATTTATTTTATGATACGAAAACTTGTACTATGTAGAAACGATATACATAGATATCTACATAGAAACGAAAATCTAATTCTAATGTTAACAAATCGCAAATTTACTATATTCGTCGTTCATATTATATATTACATAGTCTCTTTATATTGTAGTGTTTCGCATCCGAATCTGCGTGGTTGGTTTGCGATGAAAGTATTCAAATCTTAGGAGGTATGGGCTTCATGTCTGAAACTGGTTTGGAGCGTGTGATGCGCGATCTACGCATATTCAGAATCTTTGAAGGGACAAACGACATTTTGCGTTTATTTGTGGCGCTCACCGGGATTCAGTATGCCGGTAGCCATTTGAAGGAACTGCAGAAAGCTTTTAAAAATCCCACGGCGAATTTAGGGCTAATCTTCGAGGAAGCTACTAAACGGGCGACCAGAGCGATCGGTTTAAGATCGCTGCCTACCTTTGGGGATTCAGTTCATCCGAGATTGGCTGAAAGTGCTGCACTTTGTTCAAAGGTAAAAATAAACAATAAATTAAAATCTTATGTAACATAAGTTTGTATAAAAAGAATATTGCAATTGCAGAGTGTAGAAACCTTTGGTCAAGTGATAGAAAATACTCTTATTAAATATGGACGAGGAGTTGTAGAGGAACAGTTTATCCTCAACAGGATTGCACAAGCTGCTTTTGATGCATGTACAATGGCGATTGTGCTGAGCAGGGCGACTACGTCGCTGAATAAGAATCTTCCTAGTGCAGAACATGAATTGTTAATGACGGAAACTTGGTGTATGGAGGTATGAATATATTTATTCTCTTTACTGTAACAGGATCAAAAACTGTTATCTAAACTATTTGCTTATAATATTTCATTATAATTTTTTTTTCTAATTTAGTGAGTAAATTTTATTATTAATATAAGGATCATTTAGAGAGTCTAATGTTAAAAAAATATTTTTTTCAGTTGAATAGTAACAATTGATTGAATATTTTTTCATCTTATGTTTTGAATGTTATTTGATCCTACTAGTGGTTATGCAAATAACGATTTATTTTATAATTATCAAACACTTTAATATATTACATTAATTGCATTACTTGGTGTAGGCATCCAGCCGCATTGCATATAATCTGCAGCAGGTCAATACTGGTAAGCACTTGGACATTTTTAGTAAATTAAATAAAATTTCGAGAAATGTATGCGACGTCGGCGGGTGCGTACAATTCAATCCTCTGGGCTTTTAAGGTTTTATTGTAAATTTAATATTGTAAATTTTTTTTTCTGTAAGAAACGACTTATCTGATTTTTCTATGCTCCATATAAAAGAATAAGATTTGCCCTTTGTGTGATGAGAAAAAAATATCTATTTCATACTGTTTCTTCATAATTCATAATTCAATTTTTACATGAATTTAGTTGATTAAGTAAAATAAGTTAATTTATAAGTCTCAAAAATTTGTATTTAATTAATATGCATCGTAAATTTTAAATAGGACAGGAAATAAATATATTTTTTTAAATTTTTTGAATTAAAATTAAGTAAAAGTCAAAAAATATAAAAAAATTGTGATTAACAAACTCTGTTTAAAAATTGTTTATGCATATATAATTTTGTAGCAATGAATAATGCAACTAGTAATCTTATAAGGTGTAAAGTATAAGGTATATCATGTACATATAAAATTATGTATTTTTAATATTCTCTTTATACCTTTACACGAAATAATGATTTTAAATAAATACTCATACAAACATCTATTTCACGTTTCCTTTTTTAGATGCTGTTTATTTATATATATCCATTACTTTTGTAAAATAATAAAAATAATCATTTAATATAGATCACACGATGTATTAAGTCGTCTTTTACATAATAAATTAAATGAAAGACTTTAAATGGGAGAAGTGTGTCGTGTTACAGTATATACATATACATACATGTATATATATACATATTATATATACATGTATACTATATATATGTATATTTTATAAATTTAAAAATATATATAATTTAATATTATATCGTAGCTGCTCTCTTTTCCCACTCAAAGAAATTCTTTATCGCATAAGACATATGAAAGAAATGTATCGAACAGGAAGCTACAAGAATTATTAATTATAATCAATCGCTCGTTTTTCTTTAATCGTTAAATGCATAATTTAACAATATCACAATTATGCGAATATTAAGATGCACAATTTTCCCATCGTACTTTATCCGTAATAAGTGGAAGCACACTGTGTATGTGTGTGTATATGTGTGTATCTATATATATACTTATATATATAGATCTTGTATCTTTTTTTTTTTTCAAGATGTGTAACATCCGTGTACATGAGATTAATACTTTACGTAAAACGAAAGTGAGGCGAAAAGACATGAAGCTGCACGCACAATCCGCACAATACGATCGCATATCACTTAAAGTTTGAGAATCAAATTAATGTTGTTATTTTCGATTTCTCACAGTCTATGAGAAATATATTATGTAAAACAAATTTTTTGAATGTGATGTTTCTTTAGCCGTAACTTAACAAAATAAAATTCTTTATTATTAGACAAAATAAAATAAAATAATGTAGAGTCAATAATTTTTTTCCAATTTTTTTTCCATTAAAGAGCCAACAAGTGAAAATTGCGAATTCGTCGAGTTTCAATAAGGTTTGAAATCTCGCTCAATTTTCATAGTGGCAGTGCTTTGCTCAAATTTTCGCGACGACATCCGCTATAAAAGCTTTAGATTCGAAAAGTTTTTGATTCTCAAACTTAAAGTCAATTTTAACACATGATAAGTGTTCGAATAAATTAGTCAATTTTACTTCAAACTGACTTATACATAATATGAAACTAATGCGAAAGGTGAGGATTATTTTTTTACATGCAAAGAAGGCAACATGTCGGGTGAGGGAGCCGGGGATTTACCTACGAACGTTGATAGACATCATAACAATGGCTGCAATTTTTGTAACCTCTGAGAAAAATAGAACATCTGAGAAATTATTCTCTTTATACATATATGTTCGTTACTCCAGGTATGTTAATTTACTCGTTGAAGGGATGAAAAATCACCCATACAGTCTCTATGAATCTACGTAGTTATTCGGCAGAATGCGCGTTTGCGTTCATATCTTAAATCTAATAAATTACCGTTGTTTACATAACATTAAAAGTATAGGAAAAAAATGCTCGAAACAGGGTAAGAGATGATTATAGAAATATATTTGTTATAATAATTTAGCTAATCGAAATATAGGATATTTTTTAACATAATATAAAATTTTTATTTAATTATATTTTTATTTAATAGTATTTTTATTTAATAATATTTTTTTTAAATATTTTTTTAATATTTATTTAATGTTTTAATAAAAAAATCCAAATAAAAAGATGTAAAGAAAATTGAAACAAAAGAATAAGCATCTGGAATATTGTGCGCACCTGATCAAGATTAAATATTGATATCTAAAATAAAAAGATATTTTAGATATTTTATCTTCATAAAATTTATCATTTTCGATTTGAGGATTTTTTTTTAATTTATGCAAAATTTTTTTGCGAGATTAAATTTATTTGAACTTGGGAATTAAGTTTACAAAAAATTTATTTATTCGTCGAAAAATTTGAAAAAAAATTTTGTTCAATATTTTTTATAATTTTTTATTTTTATTTTATTATTAAAAATATTTTTTTAAAAGAAAACATTTGTTGAAATAAAAATTTAGATGTTAAAAAATATCCTATTTCTCAATTCGCTAGATTCCTATAATCCCTGGACAAAACTGGAAAGTCACCGTCGTTTATGTCTGTGAGGCGTGATCGCCAAAATCACATGTGCGCACTATTACACGCTATACAATATCACTATAATGCAATTATTCCAATCCAGTAGGCCGTCAAACTCCAGGAAAACAATCAAGTCCTTTATTAATGCTCGACAAACGATCTCGGCAATAACGCTTCACTTCATCGCGTAAACGACGATAAAATTCGAGCTCTGCTTGTTAGAGCACTTGATATCTATATAAAAAAGATGATTTGAATGTGTCTCGTAAGAGCTTATAATATCTCCTCGTATTATCCTTAGATTGAATACACATGCGTAACCCTGATATTCCTCAATATGAAAATAAATCTTTGTGACCTTTGATCCTTCACACTATCGTTCTATGACTTGCTTAAATGTAACGTACATACTTGGTATTGGTGTTGAGAAAAGAAGCGGAGCAGCTATATTGTGCCAGCATATGCGATTTCCGTATCATAAAATCAATTGGTCGGATTTTTATCGAAGAACATCGGCACGCAGTTTTTATATTCGCAATAAAGGTAATTAATACAGAAAATAAAATTCGACATCTACGAGTGTAGAAATGAAAATAATTAAAAAGATACATTGCCGATTTTTTAATTAAGGCTGATGTTCGCGATGCGATCCACTCGCAAGAGTAATTAAGTACTTGCTCGATTGCTTAAAATCTTACTTTCGTTGTGCACACTTTTGTTTTTATTATCTTAAATAATCAATCACATCGCGCGTTTCACAGGCCACGCATCTGTACGAAACTAATCGCTCATAACACGTTTATATATCGTAATATTAATCGCGATTTATTTCTCACGACTCAATGTGATTCGTAATCTCTAATATACTTAATATACTCAAAGATCGTATCGCGCATACGAAATAATGTTACATCACTTCTCCTTTGAATTCTCGTGTATTAAAACTTTCAAAGGGTTGGAGTTTTATGTACGAATGTTTCAGAAAAATACAGTTTTATATTTGCAATGAAAGATATATTCAAAATATAGAATCTAGATAAAAAATCATTATACTTTCTAGATATTTTCCTTTTTCTTTACATTTTTTCTCCTTGCACAATAAGAATACATTTATCGTTTTTATGCGAAATATGTAAAACTGTGCAGATAAAAGAAACAGATTTAGCTTCTATAATATTATCCTTTGCAACTAACAAAATCTAAAACTTTCATATTAAAATGAGATTATAGTCGGATAATAAGCGAAATAGTGACAGAAAAATGTAATGAGCGTTGAATGATTGATCTCCTCGCGATGGTATATCTCATAATATAATAAATTACTCTGCGCAGTATTAACGCGCTATTTGGCCGCACACACACAATTATATAACACAACAGCAATCTACATTAATTATATAATATCGACCGTACCTTTACATATCAGAAAAATCTGAAGCGAGACATGATCGATCTTTTGCAGAGATAAGGTCGTTATTCATCATACACAAAATTCGAAGGTACGTCGAATGTAAATTAAGATGACTGGAAATCTGCGAAAGGACATCAAAACGACTTTATCCGGTCATTGTTGGCGTATTAGCTAGTCATATCTCACGCAACATCGAGAATCGCTTTACAAGCAGTCTCGTTTTACAGCAGTCATTAAAAAATATTATATTCATGACGCTTTTAGTGGAGGACAAGGAATATACTCGAAGAATATACAAAAATTATTATAGCAAACTGTTTGAAAGATGGAAAAGATAAAAGTTTCAATTCGAATCTTATCGAATAATCAGAATATAAGCGTAATTTAAAAATCATTAATCTCCTGCTGTCAGTTGGGGTATTACAAGTAATTCATAAGAACTTGCCGAGTTAGGGATTATATGATGTCATTACCTGGAGTAACTCGCAAGATAGACACAGAGAGGAAGAGTTAGATGATGATCTAACCCTGTGCTATAGACAGATTTTTGAATGTTTGTCCGTTCCAAGCGATGGCGATACAATAATGCTGAAGTAGCTGAATGAGGAGTTCTCGTTCGTCCAACAGCTCTATATGCTCGATTCGATTACGATCCATTACAGGCAGTGAATCATAAACCTCCACCATCGTCCATGCGCTCGTGCCTTCCCAATTATTTATGGTAAAGCTGCAACAAAATTAGAAAAATAAATTATCGCCTCGTCGACCATCGTTGAACAGAGATAAAAAGTGTAAAGGATGTAGTTACCGCCTTTGTTGAGTCTCCAACGATTCGCAGTCTTCCACGCCTGCCAATAAGCATCCGCGACTACGGAGATTTGACAGCATAACTTGGCCAAATTTGTCCTTCATGTTCACCTGTTCGTAGCTGACGAAGAGGCTATTGGAAAACTTGCCCGCTAGCCATTTCAACAACGATGAGGTCGCGCTAGCATCTACATACACTAGAACACATTCTGCGAGGAACATGGTGGGTAAATTAAAATTGACTTCGGCTTGGGTCAACTTATTATTCAACTCCGCTATGTGTCGCAGATCTGTACCGACTAGATGATAATTCGCGGCGTGCAGCTCTGTGGTCGAAAATCGGATCTCTCCGTCTGAAAACAATTATGTGGAACGTGTATACAGAAAGTATAAGCAACTTTTAGATAACGAGAGAGTATAATAACGCGTGTTCCGATACCTTCGGTGTTTAGCATATCGATTAATTGCTTGTGTTTCTTGATGTGATAACATTTCTTCGCAGTTATGCTGGGAAAGTCGAGCTCTACAAAGTTCGCAGAGCTATTCCCCGCCTCCCTGAGCCTCCAGTAGAGTGTGTCAAAACCACAACCCAAGTTTATGATCTGCCCCTTACCGCCAGACAACTGCACAGACGTGAAAAGAATCACATTCCATTAAGACTAATGATATGAATTATAGTTTAATTATATATTATATATTATGGTATACATTTTCTTATATATTATTATTATATATATTTTCTTTCTCTTTCAATTTCTTATTACACATACTTTATGTGTGTAATAAGCACAAGATATCTATATTTCAATAATATTAATCACTAATATTTATATTAATAATTGTATAAATTAATCTTTCCTGAAATTACAAAATTATTCGTCTTATTATTGATTAATTGTTTTAATTAACAAAAAATAAAAACCATTATTTTAATTTTGAATTATTTGTTAATGCTGGTTTTTTAATTATTTTATTAATTATAATCAATATATCGAAAAACTCTTTGCTTTTCTTAGGTATTTATGAAACGAGACTATCAACTTTAAAACAGAATTTTCCAATTCGTGGCAACATTTTCATATTAAAAAGGTTAACATAAATTATGAATTTCATAAAAAAGTTAATTTTATTTAATATTAAACTGCCATTATACTGCCTTAGGACAGATTAAAAGGACTTTTTATTCGCATTATAAAAAACGATTGATTTTTCGTTTTTATCCTCATAATTCTTTATAAATAAGTGTGCACGCACGCGCGCGCTTGAGTGTGTGTGTGTGTGTACATATCCGATACTCTCCGTATATTTGAATTTCGGATTAACGGATATTTGGGGTAAAATAACTTCGAAGTCGAAAACAAATATTTGTTTATATACAATGATGGAAAATTTTTATTCCGCTATATATATGTATACATTTGCGTCTACCGCCGGTTCGCCGGTGCCAAGTCGGAAATGAGACACGAGGAACTGCTGCACGCGCTGCAGCGCGTTTTTCATTGACCTATATATCGGCTGACGGTCGCGAGAAAAGCGGGGAACCTCACGGGAATTGGGACAGGGCCTCGGCCGTCAGCGGGTCAAGGTTTCCGCCGCTGCACGTCCCTGCCGCCCGGATCAGCTGTATCTCGCCCCTCCCGTCGTCCCGCCCCGCCCCGCTCGTGCCTTTTCATTCCGCTCCCCCGTCCCCGCTCATCCCGATTGTTTTCTATTCACGTTTCTAGGTTCTAGGTTATATTTCGCCGAGACTCCCGTCGTCCTACATCATCCACGTCCGCGATAAAAGATCGCGCTTATCTTGGCATGAACTTTTTATCTTCGACAACGAAACGATATATCCGAGATACGCGGCGCAGAAACAAACGGATAAAGTCTCTCGGAAGGGAAGAACCGCAAAAAGTGCAGAAGGTGCAATTGCAGGAAACGAACTCGGTATCGCGTTCGAGAAACCGTTCTTTTCAAATGGACCATCTACGTCTGCCACTTCAGCGCTCGAGACGAGATAAATAAACAAGTCTGGTAAAGAGCGACGTGGAAAAAAAGTGTAGACGGCTGTGTATATCGAAACGCATTGATGCTCACCTTGAGGAATTTGTCGACGAAGAGCTCGATGCCCTTGACTCTGGCGTAATATCCGCGATTGATCTCGGGCGCCTTCCGGGCGGTCTGCTTGACGAACAGGCTGATGAACGGGTCGCACCAGTAGCCGAGCTGCACCGCGTAACGCTTGCACTCGCTGGCGTCGTCGTTGGTGGCCTGTATGGCCTCATCGTCCGCCATATCCTTGATCATCACACCGGTGCCGGGGATAGTGGCGGGTTGCTGCACGGGTTCGCTCTCTCCCTATCTTTACCTCTCTCACTTACTCTCTTTCTCTCTCTCTCTCCTTCTTCCGTTCACTTTCTCTCACGCACTCTCTTGCTCTTTCTTCTCCCTCTCGTTCGTTCACTCAGATAGAAACGATCATTCTACCACTCGGAGTTTCGCGCGGCGCGCGCGGACACCCCGGAGATGGATGCGGCGGTCAAGCGGACGATCGTGTATCTGTCACTTGCGGCGCACTACTACGCCACCGCCGGCCATACTGCCCCCGCGGTGCTGCTGCTGCTGCACCGCGAGTCTACACCTGCGCGCATGCGCAGACGTTCCACGGCAGGAGCGGTGCCGCGAGACCGGGCGCCTTTGCTTTATTTCACATGCCGATAAAAATCTTCAATTTTTATCTAAAAAATTAAATTCTTTTAATTAAACGAGAATTAAACATTTAATCGATATATATATATATATATATATATATACATGTTCGGATTTTTATGGGAAAGCGAGACTATAATTTCAGACAAACAAGTCTGTCGAGAACAGATCTTGTAAAAGTGTCGGCAAAATGCCAATGGTGGTTTTTAACTGCTCTGCTGCTAATCTGTGCTCATCATATTTCTATTAACGGATCATAGTAAATTTCTCTTGCTAGCATTTTGCTGGCAAAATCTGCCCTCGCGAACAGATTCGTTGTCTGGGATGATAATAAATTTCTCATTGACGATACACATTTTATTAATGATAAGTCTTGTTACAAATCTTGCACTATATAGCTCTTTGGATTTCTTATCAAACATTTAGATCGATAACAAAATTACATTATTACATATATATATATAAGTCTTCTCTTTTTTTAATTATCATTAAAAAGCTTGCAGTATTATCTTGTATTACTATATTGCAGAGAATTCTCTTGAGGAAATAGTGATGTGCGCATTTAAAAAAAATTATTTGCTTGCTTAAATCTAAATTAAAGTAAGAAATTTGTACAGATATATATCTATGTATATATATATATATATATCGCGAAAATAGATGGATATTTCTTCCAAATATCAACAAAACAGAGTAAAAATACACACTGAAATATATAATTTAATATATATAAGTATATAAAAAAATGAACGGTTAAGATTTCTCGCCTAATATCTCATTGTTGTCATTTTCGCAACGCGTTGTATTATTTTCATAAGTATAACATAAGTTAGCGTGCTTTTCCTCTCTTCTCGTTTCTCAATGAAATCATAATTCATTAATTGGAGGATTTTTCTTTAATTTTCACTCGATTAACATAAATAAGCGATGATAAAACTCATGCTATTACAATGCATGTGCATGCACAAGTGTACTGGAATAAAACCGAGACACTTTATTAACGTGTTTCCGAGCACGTTAACAAAACTTATCGCTTTCGCTCCGAAACACCCTGTATAAATTGCATAATATAAAACGTAAGTTCTTTTGCGATAATTTTACAAATGATGAGTGACGCGAACAGATTGCTAGGTCACGATGTTATACAAGGCTGACATTGTTCGATTCGCGTAAATTTGAAACATGATTCAACAGGACTGATCAATCACAGCTAGTTTTCTCTTCTTTTCGCGATCTATCAGATGTACTAAAGCAAATAAGCAGATATAAAATGCTCGCTCACGATAAGATATTCAAGCTCGCGTTGCTCGCGTTGGGCAAGGCACAGCAATTGCATCGTAATTCGTACATATTCGGAGTATATCATATGCCCGCTTGAGTAACGTCAAACTTGAAAAACTGTTACATTACACAAGTGCGATATATAAAAAGATAAAGGACAATGTATATAAAGAAAAAACGAGAGTATCATTAATAAAAAAAAAGAAAAAATATAAAGACAAATATGGAGTAACGCAGGGGCTATAAATACGAATTATTGCAGCATCGATTAAACTCTCGGTATCGCTCGATACTTTCGGCGGATATCTTCGGCGGTATCAAGCTCAACGGTGATATAGAAACATTCTCTCGCGAGATATATTAAAAATATCAAAAAACTGTAACAGACTAGCAAGTATAATCTTCTATTGCCAAATGTTCTTTAACCCTTCCGAGACGATGTTCGACTGTGTGTTGCGACAATTTTTATCACTATCTTTTTTTATATATTATTGAGTCTCAATTGCTAATCGAGCCGTTACTCAGCGAAATTTCAAATCTTAAAAAAACTTAGAAAAAAAATTTAAGCGCAAAATGTTTAGTCTTTCAGGAACGCGAAATCTTGAAAGGGTTAAAGGTTCTGGACTTTGATATATCTTCGTCCATTAACGTTTAAAGGATCTCTCTCCGGTCTCTCGGACTTCCGCATGATTAGGTATCATCATTGTCGATTGGGATCACTCTTCTGTTTCGGACTTCTTGCCGGTCGTTCCTTTCGCATTGGTACTCTTCGTCTTTCGCTTGGGAGGAACAGGTACGTCAGAGGTGACAGCAGCTGGTGGAGATGACGGCGGTGGCGGTGTCTCCGGTACACTCGTGTCGGTTTCTAGAGTCTTTGCGCCCGTCTTCTTCGTGATTTTTACGGTTTTCTTCACCTTGCTCTGAGAACCGTCCCCGACGGTTGCGCCGTCCGCTGTGGTCGACGGAGTTGCCTCCTCAGATTTCGTCTTCGGTTTCTTCGTCACTTTCTTCACCGTTTTTTTCGCTTTCTTGTCCGCACTTTCTCCATCCGCACCTCCTCCCTCCACGTCCGCCGAATCGGACTTCTTTAGGCTCTTCTTCCCAGCTTGCTTCTCTTCCGCTTCTTGCGTGCTTTCTACAGACGGACTGGTTGGCGGTGTAGCCTCGATCACCGTCGGCGTCGATGGGATATTAAGCTCTTTCGCTTCAGTAGATTCTTCTGCCGAACTTGGCTCGACAATCTCTGACGTTTCTGAAATTTCACTAGACGATTTCGCTGCCACTTCCGTTATCTCGGCTTCGTTAGCTTGCTCGGCAGGTTCTGTCGTTTCCGTCTTTACAATCTGTTCCGCGGATTCCGTTAATTCTTCCACCTTTGATGGTGTTTCTGGAGATGTCTCGCTGCTTACGGATTCTACATTTTCTATAGTAGCCGATGGTGCTTCTAAAACATCTGTTGTGATAACTAAGTCACTCGCAGGTTCTGTTACCTTCTGAATAGAAATGTCAGAACTTTCCGATGATTCGGCAACTGCAGTTGCGATGATGTCATCGGGTTTCTCACAAACCGATCCGTTCAATTGTACCGGTTCCACTGCGATCGATGCGGAAGCGATATCCGTGGATTCGTGTACAGCCGTGACCGTCGTAGCGATTGCTTGATCGGCTGCAGTCGCATCTGATACAGACTCTTTGGGTTCCGCCTGGAGAACCGATTCTGCTACTTGGATAGGAACGGGACTTATAGTAGAAATTTCAGAAGCTGCCAACAATACATCTGCGTGCTGCTCACTCGGATCTATCGTAAGAGGCTGCATTACATCGGACTGGATAACATCTTTCGCGGTTTCTTTCAGTGATGCTTCACTCGTTTCAGAAGGAGCAGTGATGCTTTGTGGACTATCTACGCTAAGAGTGGTTGTAAGCTCCGTTGCGTCTTGAGTAGCGGAAACTGGTGTTTCTAATTTCGTTTCAGTAGGCGTTGGCTCGCTCTCAATCTGCGTAACAGGCGTAATTACTTCCTTCTTACAGACGGCATCTGCCAAAAGACACGTTGATGCTTCTGAATCAGTTTGCTGCGCTTCAACAGGAAGACTTTCGCTTTTGCTTTGAGGCGTCAATTCTTGAGAAGATTGTTCAGTACTTGTTTCGGATAATTTTGTATCTGTTGGTTTCGCGCTTTCTATTGCGTCTGGTTGTGACAGCTCACTTGATACCTTTATTGCAGCAGATTGTACCGTGATACTGTCTTCGGAAGATAACGCAGGTGCTTCCTGCTCAGAGGATGGCGCGATAGTAACGCTTTCGTCACTGATCTCACATGTAGTTTGTGCCGCCGAAAGCTTCTCCTCAGAAGCTTCGCATACTAGAGATTGCGTTAAATCTTTGTCCGCCTCAACTGGATGAAGGGAAAAGACAACATGACAGATATATAAATACAATCAAACAAATATTATTTATACAGAGAAAACTATTCTAATAAAAAATTGCATTATGCAAAAAAATCGTGCAAAGTCTACACGATAAATATTGTTTTTTTTAATTAATTTGAATAGAAACAAAAATATCGATTAATGCGAGAAACGACATATTTACAGATGTTGCATTTTATAATTTTAGGCAAGATAGGCAATGATAATCGTGATTCTATTCCCACATTAAAATGCGAGTTTAAACAGTGCAATGTGCTCAAATGAGATCATGAATACTACGAATTCACTACGAATAAATGAATGAATTGACAATATATACGATTTTAATATACATGTGAAACATAAATAATGTTCATGTGCTCGTTATGTAAAGTAAAGCATATAAAGCATTATCGATGAAGCTTAACATTTTGTAACTAATGCATGGTAACTTCAAAGCATATAATGAAGATTATTTTGCAGCAAGTTAAAAAAGCAATATTCCACAAACTGTTTAATTAGTGAATAACTGAAATAAATAATCTATAAAAAAGACATGCTATTATATTTTTCAATTATGTTTATATATGTAAAAGCATAAAGTATTTTCTAAATATTCGAATTAAATTGTATTTCACACGTCTTGTTCATATATACATTTAATTTTATATACATGTTTATAAAAAAATTTAAATTGCGTTGCAAGTGCAAACAGTTGATTTAACGATATGATATTTCTAAAGTATTTCATATTGTGCAAAAAGCGAGATAAAATTCAATATATAGAAATAAAGATATGATTGCATTTATATATTTTGTGAAAAATACAAATAACTAAATTTAAAAAAAATATCTAATCTAAGATTAATAAACAATGTGATAAAAATGATATAATTTTGAAAGGTGTCACGATCTTACATAACTTTATCATCTGAAGTAAGGATAATAAAAAAAAGGATGGATAAAGGACTGATAAAATGATGTTTTGTGTGAGCGCATAAAATATTTACCCCATTAAAGCAAAACGACAATACAAGACGCAGCAATGCTATGGCGCCAGGATCTGTTAGTTGCTGTCCTCTGTTCCTGTTTCAAACACTCAAATCAATAGATCAATTGTATCAACAAGAGATATTATTTTATTTTTATTCTTCGGAATATCGCAACAAATCAAACATCGCGTACCAATATAAGCATCTTGATTTTCAATCGTTTCCTCACTTATACATCTTCAATTCGAAACTATGGAAGTGAATACCGCATGCTGTATTAAGTGAAACGAAAAAAACAAACAAAAACGCAAAGCATACTCGAGGAAACAGTTAATGGCTTTTTGCATTGTGAGAGCACATTGAATTATCTTAAATATCTCGCAGATCTCTTATTATTTTAACTCATAAATAATGCTCGTCGAGCTAGATATAGTGTCGTTATCTCAGTTTCTGGTATGTACACAAGATATTTTTTTAATTTAAAATACATGAGATTACCTGTAGTTCGGTTCATTTCATGAATGCGCTTGAAATATTTGTTACGATTTTATTTAGAATATATGTTTTCTCAATTATGTATATAAGAGAGAAACGTACCAACTGGTTCTTTCACTTCGACATCTATAGGTGTAACAGTCTTTAGCTCAACGGATTCAACAGTAGCAGCGCTTTCCTTTGGCTCAGCAGCATCCTACAAGTATTCATCATATGAATTATTCATTATTAGAACTCGATCTTTATCCTGACTTACACAACTATTGAAGAATCTGACTATTACTTATCGATTTCAACTATTACAATTCAGCTATGATAATTAAGTTTTGCTAATTTGCATATATAAATATGTCATTTAATATTAAACTACCTCTTTAGGTGGAGATGACTGACGTTGCGGCGCAAGAGAAAGTGTCTCACAGATCTTCTTCCATATATTGTCAAAGCTATCGCGACCCATATAGTCGATCTGGCCTTGTTCCCAGCTCTGCTTCCTCATATGCTCCTCAAAGGCTATTTGCTCGACGCTTCTCGCTTCGCCCAATGTCAACTGAGCCAAGGCACCAGCGATGCCCGTCTGTATAATTAATACAAGTATTCCTTCATTTTAAACTATTTGCGATATCAAGGAAGGTCAGCTAATGCAAAAATGACAGCGTATAGACTATGATAAACACACGGACAGTAATGCTTTCATCTCTTCTGTATTCCTCAGGACAAACCACGTTTATAATACAAAACTGGCTACTTACACTTTAAAGCACACGACGCACGAGAGTATCAAATATACAATGTGGAAATAATATGGGTTAGTGCACATAAAGACGAATTGAAAAATCTTTTTTTTTTCAAAGGATAACGTAATTATCTATCTTATTTCTGATGAAAATGTGTATGTAATAATAATAATAAGTAAATGACAAACAAAATGATTTCAGGCATACTCTGTATTACTACATACATCAAATGAATATTCCCAATAAAAGTGCAAGTAATGTCCCAAGCATTATCGAAACAAATAATGAATATATATGATACAATACACACATTTAATCGCAAAAAATTCTTTTATAATAGTAAGATGACAATTCTATTATATTTGTAAACTTTCGTTTTTAGTAAAGCAAATATATTTTAAAATGTGTACATAAGTGTACAATTACAAAAATGTATTTAACGCGAATTTAGAAAAAAAGATGCGGGAACAATTACTTACATTTGCATTGTCTAGATGTTCCGTTATATTCGGGTCAGATCGCATGGCTACATTGCGGAGATCTGTATAAGGTGCAGGAGAGGAAGGATGGAAATCGATTCTCCGCGTTTCTATCTGCTTATTCGCAGTTTCCGAGAATTGTTCGCTATTTTTCTCGTTACTTTGACGATAATGAGATGTAAAATTATCTTGAGCATTATTTTGGATATGATGCTGCGGATGAGAATCATTATGAGAAACAGTATGATCTCGATAATCTCGATGGCTAGTTTGATCACTAGTATGTTGCGTATGATTTTCGTGCCACGTTTCGGTAGAATGTTGTTCGTGAACCGATTGATGGTGGACATGATGAGGATCCATTTTATAATAATCATGTTGTTGAGATTGTTCAGAATGCTGATGATGCTCGCTATGTTGTTTCTGTTCGTTATAATGGCGTGGCACATGATGTCTTTCTTCATAATGATGTTGCTGATATTGTTCATTATGCTGTTTTTGCTCTTCGTGCCAATGCTCAGGATAGTGTCTCTGTTCACTCGGCTGAAATTGATGTCTTTGATCACTATATTGTTGCCAATGATACTCAGTGTGTTGTACGGGTTGTCTTTGACTATGATTTTCTTCAGAATGAAAAGTTGCATGTTCTCGGTGTTGATTATGTTCATTATTTGTAGAAAGATTATGTTGTGTTTGTATAGGCACACAAGAATATTGCTCGCAATGAAATTGTTGATTATGTTCATTATTTGTAGAAGAATTATGTTGTGTTTGTATAGGCACACAAAAATATTGCTCGCAATGAAATTGTTGATTGCGTTCAAATTGAGATGTATTGTGATCATTTTGACCAACATCCGCAGCCTCTTTCTCATATCCTGCTCCACCATAATAATTATCATTCTTGTCATTCAGTGCACTACTGTTATCGGTTGGAAACGAATCGTTCTGCGGAGAATATTCTTCCCAAGGATCTTTAAATTCCGAGAAATCTGGTGCTCGAGAATAAACGTTACCATCGTCTATTGCATCGGAGTAAGTGGAAATATTGGAAACGGAAGGTACGTAAAACGAGGGAGCAAATACGTGCCAAATTGGAGCCAATGTGCTGGTGGCCTATGCAAGCATCATGCCAAAACAGAAAAATGCACACTCGATGGGTTAGTAATGAACTAAGTATTGGCAGTGTCCATTTTTCTTATATATAAGGCCATGTTTTTTATATTATATACATATTTGATATTATACAATTTTATATACATATTTGATATTATACAATTTTGATTATGTAAAACGTTATTTTTTACGATAAGAATGCGTTGGTATTGTATCAATAGTTTCTCAAAATGCAATATGCATAACATTCATGCTCGATCCATTTATTACAAACATTACGAATAATGTAATTAAGCATTAATACATAATAACCGATTTAAATTTTTATACGAATTACAAGTGAATGAGCTAGAAAAAACAAAGAGAAAAATCAAAGAAAAAAAATAGACACTGATAGAATCATAGAAAAATCCGTTATATTAATAGCTGCATTAATAATGGAATTTCTATTAAATAAAATAGTATACATAAATATTAGCTTTTTAAATTATATTATTTAATTACAAAAGTATGTTTCCGATATAAAATTATATTGAAAAAAATGTAGCTATTAATATACATTATTTACAATATATACAAAGAAAAGGCAAATTAAAAATATACCTTGAACCTCATGACTTAAATACAATAATTAAGTAATTTTGTCTATCTAAAGAATATAGGGTTCAAAATATATTCAAAGTGCAGAAAAAAATGTGTGCACTTTTATATCATATAAAGACGCAGCAAAAAAGACCTAGTTATGATTAAAATTCTCAAATGCTACCACTTATTATGCAAGCTTTCATACAGCATTAAAAAAATCATTAAATAATGCAAGCAATTTGAAAAGATTTCAGATTTGCCTGGCCATATTTGTAAAAAAAAAACCCGTAAATGCAACTCGATGTAACTCTGATATACACAAGTGAAAATTTTGTAATGAAATCAATCAATCGATAAAAATAATTTCAGAATTACATCGTGATGCTACGTCTTATTTGTAAAATATGCGCGCGATACATTAAAACATCATATATTATAAATCATATTTGTTTGAAATGCTAAAGTAAAAGTTTCTAAAGCAAAATTCGCACACAGAAATTAATTTATTACAAAACAACTATATGAGCATTAAGAGACATAATAGAAAATCTTACCCCTATCATTTTTATAATTGAATATAATTGCTCACTGTTTTGCTTGTAAAATAAATGCGTAAGTATAAGAAAAATGTTGCAATTTTTTATTTTTCCGAAAATTTAATCAAAAAACGCTCTAATTAAATAATATAATAAAAAATATTTATATTACATTTATATTATTAGAAATATTATTTATATCATTAATGTATGCAAGAGGAATCTTTTTATTAAAAATTAAATTTAAAAATAAAAATATAAAAATATGTTTGGAGCGTGACTTAGAAATATTACTCATTATTTTAGCGTATTAAACACACACTATTCTCAAATAGATTAATAGAGCTTACCATAGAGGGCGATAACTGTGGATGCACTTGCTCGCAAAATATGTTCCACCACAATTGCAACAGCGGTTGCAAATGCATAGATCCTGACGGTGGTTGAACGACACCGGTTAAGGTATCGAAATACTGTAGCCAGGGTTTCGTTATGCCAATAAAGTGTATTATTCGCACATCGTCGCCGAATCTAAAAAAAATATACATATACATATAAATAAATAAATTAGCAACTAAAAAATTTAATTATGGTGAGTAAAAAATCGCGATTGCTTACTGCTTAAATGCGGGCAGATACGAGTACGTCGCCGTGGAACACATGTTGTAAATAAATGGTAGATGTTTGGAGATATCCTTAGAAGCCCAATCACTGAAGTACATGTTTAATAAGCCTTGATCGCCGCCGTCGAACGATCCTTTGGCTGCAGCAAATGCGGTGATTGACGCAAATGTTTGTTGAGATGGTCTGAACACAAATACTCCGGAATTGAAGCAATCGGGCCAACCAACATCGGGCGCAGCTGATAATTCCTCGCGCTCGAATAGCTCATCGCAATTTCGTACCACCTAGAAATAAATATATTAATGGCTGTATCATTATAAATATCAAAACTCTAATTCTATTTCATTTTTTAATTGTACGATTAATTTTTATAAATTAATAATTAATATATATAATAATTAATATATATAATTAATATATATAATAATTAATATATATAATTCGCTTTTCATACATAACAGAAAAATAAAGTTATATAACAGAAAATGAATAGTATAAAATTGTTTTTTAACTTTAATTCTCTAGTTTTATAGTTCAGCTTTAATTTTAATTTTAAAGAAATATAATATAATATAAGAATATAATGTAAAATATATAGTAAATTTAAAAAAATTGCATTACTCACAAGCGCATCTGCATCGACGAATACACATTTCTCGTATTGAGTTAGTCTCCAACAATGTAATTTAGTAAAAGTGATGCCCAATTCTGGTCTAGCCAGTAAAGCCAAATTTGCCTCGTCCTTCGAATCGAGGACATTAACTTCCTGCACCAAGGAGAATACAGCCGCCAATTTTTCTCTAAGACAAGGAGAATGCTGGTTAATTGAGTTGTGTCACAGCATTTTATATAATTAAAACCTGATCAATGTTATTATATAGACGAAATAATTTATATAATCAACCATAAACTAATATAGTATGTATTGATAGATTCATTATTCTTTATATTTTTATAATTTTATGTGACTCACAATAATAATACATTATCTAAGAGACAGAAATTTGTAATAAATTAATTCTGTTAAGAAAAGAATAAGAATCTTTCGTTTCAATTGCAATCAACTGCAAATAACTGCGAAATGAGAAATTTGTTGACATTTTTCTCGACATGATTTGATATGTCGTTAAATTACATTCTGATAATGCACTTGAACTTGGATAAGAACGATACCTCATCGCTGCTGTAACTCCAGGAGTGACGAGACAAGCCAGCTCATATTTGGTGCCAACTCGACGTAGGGAGTGCGCCAAGACCAATGCTCCCAAAGAATAGGCATCGTTTGTAGCCAGTGTAACCCATGCATACCCTAAAAAATGAAAGAAAACGTACAATAGAACGCTTGGTATGTTCGCTTTTATTAGACGGTATCCAAGTCGAGTCTATTTTCGACTCCTGGCAAAATCCACGCATATTATTGCATCCAGTGGATATGTCCAGAACGCGTGCATAAAACGCATGCGATAGAATTGATGGCAATATCATCATCCAAATTCGCCACCGTTTCAATTTCATTCCAATATATTCATCACCATTTCAATTTCACGTCCAAAAGTTTATATAGACATTTAACTTGAAAATTCAATTTTAACATTTTTATTCATATTCTAAGAAAAACATGTAAGATATAAGAAAATAATTAAAACAGAATTAAGTTTCGAAGTAATTAAATTTTAATGAAATGCGGAGATGCTGATTTCAATGGAAGTGTAAAGATATGCTAATATCTATTCTAATAAGTCATGAAAAAATAGATTTTAAAATAGGTTTTCGAAATACATAAATAGTATAATTAGTATGTAAATACTTTGTTTTTACCGGACGTTTTTCACGACTCAATTCCGCAACAATACGAGGAAGACTATGTGTAAAAACAATTATAATTTCGCGCGCTGATAAGCTCAGCTAATGCAATGTTAAGCAGATTTCAACGATTCTTAAATTAACTGTGATCTTACGTAAGCGCAATAAAGATAGGCGTTTGAATTATGCCAACGAACTCCATGAAGTTCAAATGTTATCGATCATTCCGAACGCAAATGTGCACTTCTACGAATATCGCTATCTCCAACTCGAAAAAAATTTGATATGTCGTTAAAATTGTAAGTATTCGGCCGATTTAAGAAATGTACCTACAGTTTTTTACAAAGAACAAATAAAAATGATTTTTGTCTCGTGCGAAGAATATAGAATATAAATTAAAGTTATCGATTGAATATTTGTAAAAACTACTCGTGCATTCGCTCTTTGGTGCATCGATTCGTGTTCTTTCACGAAAACGCAGAGCAATAAAAACAGAGCACTAAACGAAAAGAAAAGCTGCAAAACGAAAGTGACGTTGGCAATCTGCCAACTCCGGATGTATAATTAGATCTCTCTCGTATTGACCTCACTTCCTCTCGACTCGGTAGAAGGCTCCAATTGTACGTAATTATCTTTCACGATGCGTTTATATGTTCATTGCTGTGTTATACAACACATAGTAGATAGACCGATCATGCATATCTTTAAAGAAACAAAATTTCCAATGATTACTAGATCATACATATATATTTTTGGTAAGAAATTATATGAAATAAAATAATAATAATAAAAGTATGTAATTTTCATAAAATTTTCATAGAGATATTTTAAAATAAATTCTAAATCTTTCAAATCTCTGTTTGGCACGAATCTGTGACAAAGTGATAATTCAAATAAACTCAAACGCATTTTATAGTATGACGTATTATGCAAATCCTCATTTGATACGCGACAACCAACTGGTGTTAAGACGCGCAAAATCTAGCACGTGCAAAAATTTTTACCTACGCAATGGAAACTTGGCAGCTTGGAGAGGTGCAGATCGCGAATATTGCGCGTTACTTTCTTGCAAGTGCAAAATTCATCGCATATTTATTTATAATGGATACTATTTCTATTTCGCGTGATATCGCTCCGCGCGTAGGTATCAAATTTTGGCTGCGGTCTATTTTTCCCCTGGATAAAACACGCGTCATCTATTCTTAGACGGATCTACTCGAACGCACGCTGCACAATCGTCTTCTAAAGAGACGGGAAAAGAGGAGTTTCCAAAATCACATGAAATACGCCGATGCTGCAACTTAGAATTTTGCTGCATAATCTTTAAATTCACTTATCATGTTTGAAAAGAGATGAAATATCTTGCTGATTATACATAGTAATTATATACATAATTATATTACATAATTATACTCTCCAAGCATACTAAATTTAACATATTATTATCAATTCTCTTTCTCTCTCTCTTATAATTCAATAATAGATAATAATAAATAAAAAAACATTGCATGACGCGACATGGACAAATAACGTATAACGCATGTTACTGCAAGTGCAAAGTTCATTTATCCGAGAGGATTATTAGACAATATTTACCAGTAAGTGTGGACAATATTTATTAAAATATTAAGAAACTGATGATGAAATTGTTATATAAAATGTGAAATATATTGAAAGATAGTGAATAATCTATATTGGATATTTCAAATTAATTGAATATTTCAAATTGGATATTAATTGGATATTTTAAATTAATTTTTAAATTAATTTTAAATTAATTTATACAATATCTTAGGAAGAGGTTTTTGACAAACATGTTGAAAAGAAAGAGAGAGAACATATCAATTGCTTTATTTCTTGATAAAATTGTCATTGTTACGATATTTCAGCGTATTTTGGAATCTTTTTTTGCGTCAAAATCTACTTATGCTCGAAACTGTTACGTATGATGCGAATTAGGGACTTGCCAAATAACGCGAAGCGTTACAAGATAACCTTGGACGAGAAAGAATGTCATCATGTGTACACGTGATTGAAGACATCTATCGATCGCACCATACATTGTACATGATAAATTACATGATTCTTTAATTCTCCTTAGTTCCTCAATACGTTACGGTTCTTGATTCGTAATGAGATCACTTGACGAGACGTTGTCATGACGTTATGCTCGCGCGAAGTATGGGGGTGTATGTTAGAATGTAGAGCGGATAAATGTTGAAGACGAATAATAATGAGTCACGAGAGATAGAGAGAGAAAGAGAGCACACCGGAAAAAGAGCGACGAGAGAAAGAGAACCGGAGGACTCGAGAATGAGGATCGGATTTCTGGCTACCGGTGTTCTCAATAACATTTAAAGCCTTGTTGTTCTTTCTACTGTTTGTATTTAATTTTACATATTTCTGAGAAGTATGTGTCGTGTCTAACCAGATTTATCGCACAAAATATATTTGGTTGTCCACCTACCTCTCCCATTTGCCAGAAATTAAATTTGTTTGTGTACGAATCAAACTAACATGGAACATGAAAGAATGTATTAAAATAAAAAAATAATAGAATAGAAATAATATCAGAATAAAAAAATATAAAAATAATTAGTTTTTATAATTTAATTAATCTAGAAAGAGAGAGAGAGAGAGAGACAGATATTTAAAATTAAAGAATATATTAGTTAGTGAAATATTTAAAATTAAAAATAAATGTGATATTTTCGTAATAGATTGTAAAAAAATTACGTGGCAAAACAAAAAATTCTGTGTTAATTCTTCTATCTAATTTTGAAGAGGAATAATTCGTCTACTCGGAAGTGGGAAATATCTTTCGTGCATAAATTACGGGAGATGAGAGACGATTTTAGGACCCCCGCTATATTTAATGTCGCGCTCTGGCGAGAGTTAATCTTCTCTTTGAGAAACGCAGAGGTGAAGTCTTCTACGTATAACATTATGGCGCGAGAGTATCCGAAACCCGAGGAGGCAGAATACCGACATAGGTTTATATTTATACAAACCGCTTTCCAGCTCTTATAATAGCGAGACGGCGCTCACATTCGCGGTGAAATGCATTCATACATCTTGTCTTAGGTCAAGCGCTTATGTGTCTCGAGGAACTGAATCACATACATCTCTATTTCCTTATAAAATTTGTGCATGTACAGAAATCATTATTCAAGCAATAGTGATGCGGATATTCGATTTTTTCATATATTGAAAAAATATTAATTGCAGACAAAGTCAAACTATTGATACTCGAAAATTTCTGCAAATTAATAAAATTACTTTATTATTATAGTTTATTATAATATTATTTTACTTTTATTATTATTATTTCCAAGTTAATTTCCAAGTTAAAATTTCTTCATTCGAGAAGTAAAAGAAAAGACAAATATAAAATTATCAGTTGTGAAAAATGTTAACAATAATAAAATTCATAATATAATTGCATCGCAATCTAGTATTTTTTCTAATTTAGATGCTAATCATTTTCTTTTTTACTAATTTAGACATGATTGCGATTCTCTTTGCACACATTGTTCTCACAAGAACGCCAATCTCGCCAGACTTGCAATACCGAAGCCCAAATTCTTGATCCAAAGCAGACGAGGTCAAGATTGAGATCGTATAAAAATAGTATAGCTATCAATAAAGGTCCAATGAACCTGTCTAAGTTACTTGTGCCAAATTTCTTACACATTGATTTTTTAAATATATGATGATAATTATATCGAGTACTTTATTTGTAATACGTTTCGTAAACTTGAAGACGTTTAAATGTAACAATTTTCCAAGAAAAATGTTCGTTTAAAATCAGTTTTATATTCACTTAAAATAAAATTTTAATAAGTAAATAGATCAATTAGAATTGTTTTTCTATAAAATTCTTTTAATTAAAATCTATTCATGTATTTTGAAAAATGTTAATAATTGTATAAATATCTTAATATATTCTATAATAGAAAAGTATCGAAATTGAAATTTTTTGTTTCAAAATCGTGAAATATATTATTTATATTAAACATATTTCTATAAAAATGTTCCAATCCAATATTTAACAAGAATTTGCTTAAAGTGAAAAAATTATAAATCGCATTTTTCTTGGTATTAATAATTTCTTAATTATTGATATTTAATTTCTTGCAAAAATAAATATTTTTTTTATTATCAAGGTAGTTTGCGGCAATCGATAAGCGTAGTGTTCTTATCATAAATTCTCAATTAGATATGTTATAATGGCATCTCTCGAGACACTCGACACCAGTAACGTGCTAACAATTGTAATGAGAACAATCGAGATTTCTCACACATAATGAAATATTCCACATAAATTATTTAATTTTCGATACAGCCAAATATTTCAAGATGACAAATGCAATTACATGAAATGCAAGAATTAATCGGATAGTATTTTTTATATGAAAATCAAAAATCAAAATTCTTATTTTCAGTTGCTTGTAATTCAAGTCGAATTACAAACAATTATATTTATATGAAATTTACTTTTAATCGATGTTTTATTTTCCTTCCACGAGAATATATTAATGAATCTGTATTCTAAACAAAGTTGTCATCACGATGTGAGAAAATCGCATATGTATGCATGTGTGTGTATGTAATTGAATAAATGTGTGTTTAATTTGGACGACATCCCAAATACATCGACAAGCGTCGTAAGTCGCTCTGATGAATTCCTTCTGGCAGATATTCAAATTAATCGCCACCTGCGCGAACAATCGGACAACGACGACAGATTATTACATGCAACAGCAACAAAATCATTTTTTTTGTCTAGAGTACGCAGAAACGAATCGCTGTCAAAGAATAAAAATAAGTGGCCGCGCTCTCCGAACGTTTGGCAAGAAGCCGCCGAATTTCTCTCCCTCTCGACAACGGCCAGAAATAAACTTTAGAGATACCGCCGACGACGGTAACTTATCTTATTTTGTGCGTAAGGAATCCAACGTCTCTCGGTAAAAAGAAAAGGATGCGGAGCGCAGTTAAATTTTCCTCGCTGCCTCGACGAACTTTTACGTCTCGAGAGATCTTCCCTCTTTCTTAAATGCCGATTGTATGATCAATTAGCATGATAGTATATGAGAAAGTGACAATTCTACAAGAATTGGCTTTTTCTTTAAACGATAATATGCATTTTAAAATATTAATATCCCCAAAATTATTTGTAAAAATAAACATGACACATTTTTAAATAAAAATAAATTTATAATAATAAACAAATTTAACATGACACATTTTTATCTAAAAATAAATTTATAATAATAAATAAATTCAATAGACAATTTATTTCTTTCGAAAATAAACTTCCTCTTTCTTTTTCTCCAAATTCGAGATTACTTATTTTCTTTTTAAATGCATCGAATGTTTTTAGATCTTCCTGTCTTGTTCGGAATGAATTTTTAAATTGCCGCCATAATTCTTCGGCGCAGGCGCGTCAACTCTCGAAACCGGGCGCGAATCTCGTCGACGAAAAAAATGAAAACAGCCGTGTAAAAAAAAAGCGCGATACACGTTACCGGTTTACACGGACGAATGATAAGTTCTCGCGAGCTTACGGTCCGTTATTCGAAAAATCGATCGCGCGTGATCGCTAATCGAGCCAGAAGGAGAGGTTAATGCACGTCGACACCATGCAAATCCGAACGACACGAAGGTCATTGGGTCAAGACCGGCGAGCAACGTTATCGGCCGACTAACTCGGCGCCGGCGTTAAAATATATCCGCTATCTTAATCACGCGATCGCAACCGGGCATGTCTAACATAAGCGAGGCTTACCTCCCATGACTGGTGTTTACTTAATTAGAGAGCTCGTGCGTCTATTTGCGCGTCGGGAGGTCCAACGAGATCCGTATGTACACACCCACTACTTGCCGGCACTGACTAATGGACAACAGGAACGACCGTCTTCACTCTGCCAGCGCCACAACACGAGTGACACGACTTGACTCGACCCGCTCGACCGCGGCTGCTGCTTCGAGATCTTCCCCCTCTCCGGACTCCTTCCTCCTCTCCCGCGACCGTTGAAGGAACGAACAGCACTCCATTTTATCGACGAGCTGCTCCGAATTTAAACCGACTTTGTCCGCCTTTCGTGTTAGGATATTGTCAAATATGGGAATTTCTTTTGCCGAAATTGAAGTGAAAGTTAAAGGAAAGAAAAAGGTCACTCAGAAAATAATATTCTTTCTATAATGATACAGATTTTAAATAATAATCCAGATATTTGTAAAAGAAGAAAAATGTTATTATCGAAAGGTTGATCAAGATGCGGTCGAATGCCAAAAGGTAGCAGCACTAATATTATTGTGGTCGCTTTACTATATATTTGATGTACAAAGAACACACTTAAAATCTTGGAGTCTCGACTATATCATGTGAAATTGGAATCTGAGAGATTTAACGGTGTTAAAGTAGGTATGCAAATTTAATCGTAATTTTAATCGATATTATTTAAATCAGACGATTTTAAAGTTTTACTTGGGAGTAAATATTGTTTGCAATAAGTAGTGTTCAGAATGTTGAACAAAATATCAGAATATTATCATAAATATGCAAAAATATGCGTCGATAATATTTAAATGTGTGGAATATATTTATCAAACTTTGTTTCGAATATTATCGAGTGTATTACATGATAAAATTATCGCAAAAAATATCGTCCGTAAGCAGGTGTGTAATATCGAGAAAAATATCGTTTTTTACGCGAAAATGTGGTATATATCGTGTCAATATTTTGAAAACAATTCCGTCAAATAAACGTCACGTGACTTAAAAGAAAAAAGCATCGTACGTCGAGCATCGTATCAATATAACAAAATTCATTTTCGAAACTTATTATTTTCAAAAAATTCCTTCCTCGATTTCTCTCATGAATGCGGCGCAAAAATCTGTTCGAGGTACACGCGTGAAATATACACATAATGTAAATTGCGAAAGAATCGGAATATATCGCTCTTTTATTGAATTTTCAACCTTTTTTTCTCATTATTTCAGAAACCTGCAATCTTCCTATATCTTTCAACCCTGGCAATAACGATAAGTATTATTACCGGGCTGATCAACGCCCTTGCGGTCTGACTCTTTCCCCCTCCCTCCCGCTCTCATACCTTTCGCTCACACCGAGTGATGAAGCGGCGGTGGAAGAAGGGGGTGGGGAGGGGTCAAGTGACACCGCGCTGGTCGAGCGGCGCAGCTTATGCGACACCTGCCGCGAAAACGCTGCGGCAGCGCGCGCGCGGTATGTCATTTCAGTTTTGGCGTTTCCCGAGCTACGCGTCTCGCGTCTCCCGTAAACGCGGCGATAGCGGAACGTTGCGGCGAGGCGACGGAGAGACATGCGGCTTACTGCGAGACGAGGTGCGTCAGGGGCCGGGCAGCGGTCGCGCGGTTAACCCGGGGAGCAATTGACGTAACGCGTGTCCGGGACCGATCGAGTGCGTTGGACCGGACCGGGGACGCTCTACGATGTAGTCCTGTCATCCTAACCGCGCGGTTCCATCCGTTTATCTGTCTACTTATCTCTCCCTCTCTCTCTCTTTCTCTCTCTTCCTCTCTTTCTCTCTCTCTCGCCGACGTCGCCGTCCGGGCCGGTGTCGCATACGCGTATTAGTCCGGTAAAATCGATCTCGCACGTGCGTCGGGATCGCGCGTGTTATCGTCGCGCGACCGATTGTTTAACGCGCGCCGGAAAGATGGCCAGCTCGCCCACCAGCATCGAGAACCAGATCGACAGCTTCCTGGAGCAGTTCAAGCGTAGCGCCTCGCGGGCGATGGAGGAGACCGGGGCTCACCGTTCCAGCAGCTACAACGCCTGCAGCAGCAGCATCAGCCGCAGTCGTAGCGGTAACCTGGACCTGGAGCTGCTCGAGGCGGGTAAGTTTGTTCGATTCGATCGTCCGGGGCGCGGGAGGGGGGGTTTCGAGAATTTTATATCCGTGCTACGGAGGAGGAGAATTTACCCGGATTAATTTGTCAGTCCGGAAGCGCGAGGTTACCGCGACCGGTTCCGAGAGAGACGCGCTTTACTCGGTTGCACTCGATTAGTAATGCACTGCCAGGCGCATCGAAAGAGATTCCAAGAGTTTCGAGATCTGCACAGTCTAAATGCGCAGTTTGAATTTACGTCATTTCCTGTAAAGCGTATCCTGCACGGAGTATAAGTTACTCCTATACATTTTCCTCTTCCATTGACGTGAGTAGAAGTGTATGTGTGGATTTCGATTTAATTCCGCTCTAAGACCGGCAATACATTGCCCAGCTGAGGTGCTTTATTATTTACTTATTGTGTATACGAGACGTAGAGGTGTTTTCGACTGATTAGAAACTCGATATATATTTATTGGAATGATCGCTCGACCAGGTCTTCGTATTTTATTTTCCAAATCGTGTGTGACGTTTATCGATTTTTACGTATTATTGCTCCAGAGTTTCACGACCGAAACAGAACGCAAGAGATAAAAAATGTTGCTTTAGGAAAAACAAAATAATTTCGAAAACATTGATACTTCTTGATATAAAAAACCATATATTAAAATTAATTGTTTTGAGAAAATTTCAATTTAATAAACGCACACAATAAATATATTTAATAATATATCTAAATCAAAATTTTTCTATGAATTTTTCCTCTTTTTCATATCATACATATATATATCATTTACTTTTATTTACAAATTTTTTTGACATTTTATATAAATAATTATGACGTAAGAGGAAAATGACGCACGTTATTCGCTTCATTTAAGGTGAATAATTAATTTTCGTTCACTCGTCAATCTCTCTGCTGATTCGAGTGATTCCTACATTTTTTCTGCTTTTTATCTTCAATCAAGATACGACTGACATATAATGGATCGGCGGAATTCACATGCATAGTCATTATTGATTCGTAAACAATCGAACTCACGATTCTTTTGTTCCCATATCACCAATTAAATCAACGATATATTCTATTTAATGATCCATTAATCCGTAATGTTTCATCGACATCTCATTCAAGTTTTCTTTCATAAAATATTGAAATTCTCATTGAAGCTAATCTTCGCGTTCTCGAAAAATGATAGTGATCAGTAGTCAAGTCTTGATCAAATTATAAAGTGTCGTTTGTCAATTTTTTCTCTGGCGTGCGAATTATAGCAGCCGTTTGACGATGACGATAAATCAATTTCTCACCTGATGGAGTGAATAATTGAGTAACGTCATCCCGTAAAATACTCTCCATCGTAAACGCTTCCACATTCTGCATTTGCTTTGTAATTACTTGCAGAACAGCGTCTTATTTGATGATGACGTCAATCAACGCACGTTTCTTAATTCTTTCATGCAAGTTTATTTAGATTTCCAATTTGTGCACGTTTAATGAACTGATTGTTATATACGTGGACTCTATTTTATTTAGAGCGCTCTTTCCTCATTTGAATGTATCTTACCTTACATATTTTATTTCTAGGACGCGTCGATTATTCTTTGCTTTCTATTTTAGAGATATATTTTAGAAATAGCTTTATTCAGTACATATGTATATATATTTTTTTATTTATTATTTATATTTTATACATATATATTTTTTTTATTCATAAATCAATCTATAAATTTTTATATTATATAAATATTAATACTATAATTTGAGAGAGAAAGTCTAACAAAGTATTCTATGAACTTTTGAAAAGTCAAAGTAATCTCAATTTCACTTTTCATAAATTTCTTAATTTTAATACTACACACGTAAAGCACTAATCATATGTTCTGATATTAAAGAATCTGATATTCAAGAAATTTGCGAAAAGTAGAACTGATCAATTTGAATAGGCTCATATATAATTAAATTTGTAATTTAATGTATGTTTCGTGACATGAACGAGTTTATGGTTGCCACGCGAAGCTATATTCTCCTTTATTCATTGCCTATTATACATTGCTGGAATTAATTTGTTTGTATCGCGTAACAATTTCTTGTTACGCACTATTTCAATATAAAGAATTTATTATACAAAATTTATTTATCTACATTCAAATTTCAACGGAAAGAAACCATCGGGAATAATAATAATTCGCAAGGAATAAGACTGTCCGATTTTGACAGCGCGACACGCCGCTAGTCACGTGCGCTCGTCCCCTCCCCGTCGACTCGGCTCGCTCGCCATTGGTGGCTCTCCCTTACCCTCTGCCTCCCGACCCTCCACCGCCTCTCAGGATCGTAACTAGAATAACTTTTAACTCTCGGCACGTCAGGAAACGATACAAAATTATCAAAATCCAATTTAACGACGCGAGATGACATCGTGATATCGATGATGACCCTAATGAATGAAAATTTTTCTCCGTTTTTTTCATCATCCCCCTCGTGAGTCAATCATTCCCAGGATCCAAGGAGGATCCAATTCGTCCCTGCAACGACGCCGCCCGCCAGCAGCTCCGTCGCGACGCATCGCCGGCGAGTTGCGACGACGACGTCGTGCATAGTTCCTCTCGTTTCGTACGTTTCTCCGACTCGCAGGAATCGTCTCGAGCGAATACGCCTGGAAAAGATACGACCGATCGTAGATTAACACCGTTTCTTCTCGCGTGAAACGCGCGGCGTGGGTGCATCGAGGGCGGGAGGGGGGTTGCCGGCGACTCCTGTGGCGGCTGCGGCGTGTTGTGCGATTCTATCGATCATACGCGGAGCGTCAACGGGTGTGTGCGTCTCCTCTTCGTCCGCGTGTCGCCATCGAAAATTTTCGCCCTCGAAAAGCGCGCGCGAACGCGGTGCTTCCGCTCTTTTAATTCCGCTGGTTCCACCCGCAAACGAACGGTGTATGTGTACGTGTGCGTATATATACGATGATAATATTCGCGCGACGATGGAGTTATTGGCTTAGAAGCCCGAGGTTATAGTCGACGAAAATAGACGCGCGGGTAGCGTCAAGTGCGAGTCAAGTGGATCGCGGGCATTGTTGCGATTTACTATAGTAAGGTCGCGGCGCGGATTTTGCAAAAAAAATTCTGTCGGGAGGCGACGTGTGCGTGGCATGTGTGACCGTATCGGATTTAATGGGAGCGTGTGGTGTAATCTGACAGCACGCGGGATTTCGTGGGAAGGTGTCACGGAAGCAAACCTGCGTAATTGGTATTAGGTACAAGAAAAGATCGTAATCAATGGAAATCATACGCGAAAGAATCATTCTCACGTCATATATTTGCCGTATTATATTTGCGAATTTTTTTTATATAATAATCATCTGGGGAAAGAAACCATCGGATAATATGTGGAATTGTAACAGTTTTCGGATTAACACTCTGTGGTACAGGTTTTAGAGAAAAAATACTATTAAAAAATTTTTGAGATTTTAATTTTATATCATGTATGTAATAAGTTATTAATTAATTAATTAAAAAATCATGCATATAGAAATATAATTGTATGTATAATACTAGATTTCGATTTTTGTGTCGAGTAATACGTATAATGTAACCGGTATCAAAGGATAGAAGGATAAATTGGTATATTTTTCAGCTAATAAATATTGAGATTTAAAGGAAAATTATAAATAAAAAATTATAATTGAAATTATAATAATTATAATTAAAACATTAAAATTTAGATTAGCTACATAAAATTTCAAGCAAATAATATTTATTCATTATATTTCTTATCGAAATTTTTTAAACATGCATATCTACGTGATAACTTTATCAATTCGTCAATTGTGAAACGAACTATACCATTGTCGGTAAACTCGTTTCTAGGTATTGACTACCAAACATCGTTTTGTAGTCAATACCTAGAAACGAGTTTAGGTTGATAGCACGACGACTTATCAAGTATATGCATATATATATGCATATATATATATATATATATATATATATATATATATATATGGAACATGAGACAGGAACACAAAGACCAACCCTATATATACATACACACACACATACACATAACATGAGAGCAAAATGTCCCGCGTGACGCGAGTGGTATGTATATCGTGCAAATGAACGGTTGTGCTAAATTTGCGTGATTATTACAGGCCGTGGCGAATTATTCAGCGGACTAATAATTCTCGTGAAGTAAATCGACCGTCAAATCTCTCAAGCGTGATAAAAGTTAACCGGCGAAGTCTCCTGGGTGTGATAAGAGCGAAATATCACGAGCAGGGCAAAGGGATGGCCGGAAATATCGCGGTAAACGCGACGTATGTTTGTAATATTCTATATTTCGAGTCTCTATCTGAAAAACCGATTGTTCTTCTGTAATAAATCCCCCAAAATAATACAATTAGAGTGTTTTTAAGTATTTTGATTTTTTTATTTTTTCTTACGAATGTTCATTAAATTGATTTGTCAATAATTAATTCAATGATTAAATTGATTTGTTTAATTAATTCAATAATATTATTTAATTATTAGTCTAAAGTTATTTGATATAACTGCTCTCTAAACAACAAAGGGTTATTGATGCGTAGGCGTCCCTTCGCGAAAGGGTTGCTGGACGCGAGTACATTGGTATCGATCAAAAAGACCCTCGTGCAACTTTGATAAAGCTCTCCTACAGCGCATATAGCAACCGCGTGCAACCGTGTGCAACGTGGCTGATATATCCCCGAGCGTGAAGCGACGTGAGTTCGTCTTGTGTTGTCGAGATAGAGACGTAATTGACTGTAAATAGAGAGCGACGATAAAGTGCCCTATTGTCTCATCGGCGCCAGAAATTTCGAATATACTACGCCAACGATATATTAATATCGCTAAATAATAGCACATATGATAAGATATATAATTATATAATATATTATACAATTATAATATATTATATAACATGTTATATGTATATAATTAGACTTATATATAAAATTTGAAGAAATAGCGATTCTACATTGCAAAAACTTGACTAAATATTGTCAACTAATTATTTTTTTAATTGAGATATTTAAGTATTTAAAGTAAATAGATGTCATGTTAGATTTAATATGTCGTTAATTTAAATACTTAAATAATTCAAGTAAAAAATAATATATTTAGTTGAAAATATTTTTAGTCAAGTTTATTTAATTTTTTTCTCAGTATATAAATTATAATTGATATAATATATTGTGTCTATATCTATTAAATCAATATTTTAAAGAAATATTTTTTATCTTATTAAAATTTCATTAAAAGAGAATATATAAAATTTAAATCTTCTTTGCATATTTTTAAGTTTAGTATTATTCTATTAAATAATTATTTATTGGAAGAAAAATATTATCTTATAATATTTTTTATTGTTTTAGAAGATAAAACATTAAATATTAATCGCGCATTTTTTTGTTCATGTACGCTATGTTCGAATAATACATTTCGAGGACATTGCTGACAATGAATTGTCATAATGACACATTTAAATAGAAGATAAAAAGCGTGTGTCGCAAATGCTAATTGATGATATAGCAAATTAATTATTCTTACCGGTATGCAAGGTGAAGCTCGAGACTTTATCTCAAAAACAAAGAACGCGTTTAATCCGAGAGAGTTTACATTTCCAAGAAGAATTTTTGCGTTCGGTCAGAATTGAAAATGCCTCTTAAGAGAAGTTCTCAATCCACTTGCATAGCTTGCATCGGTCGGAATAACTGATATTATCGTGCAACGTTTAATTACGACGCGGCAATAATTCCACGAACGAACTTTTGCTACTAGCAAATTTGTTCGTCGTATCGATCGTTAGTTACTTGCAATATCGTGTACCAATTTTCATTGCATAACGTTGCAATAATGTACAGAATAGTTCAAACAACAACTTTTCGAAAACTTGAAATGCAAAGATTTTACGATAAATTGAAATATAAAGTGTAAATTTTAATTATGTAATTATGTTTTTTATTAAATCATTTTTAATATTTTTTAAAAATTTTATTTTTATATTATTTCTATAACTTTTTTTATATAATGGTTTAATAATTTATATAATTTCTATCGAATAATTATCAAAATCAAATTGAAGTAGGATTGCAAAATTATTATTAATGCATAGTTCTTGTCAAATTATTTGAAATCCAGGGCAAAAACTAAATTAGCTAATTACATTGAAGAGAAATTGGATATTCCATCAAATAATTTCATGAAAATAAAGCAAATACTCTTACAATTTAACTTGTGTGTTACAATGTGGCGTGTAACGCGTTAAAGACACAAGGAGGAAAGTTTAAACGGACGAGATGGACAATGATTTAAGTCGGCTTGTGGAGTGAGCTGTAGCCTGAGCGACGAGCCTATTCGTGTGTTGATTGTACAGCGTTCTATTGTAACAAGTTGCAACGTTCCGTGATAATACGATAAGTGTCGGACCAACCGAGGCGGCAGGCAAACCAAGATGATTCTCCGTCGAAAGTCGCTGCATAGCTGCAATTGTCCCTGCCATCAACATTGCTCCACCAAGTGCACAGGTTTGACATGCATTCATCATACATACAATTTTCATATTGTTGTTGTTTTTTTAACATAATACTGTATCGCAACTAAATATCGTTTACATTTTAAACTTATTAAATAATTTTTAATATTTAAAAAATTTTTAATATTTTTTTTAATGATCGAAATATCGTCTTTAGCACATTGATCATTTTTTATTATTTTTTTCTACGCGTCTATCACAACTGAATATCATTTACATTTTAAACTTATTAAATAATGTTTAATAGTTTTTAAATTTTTAATATTTTTTTTAATTATCGAAATATCGTTTTTAACACATTGATCATTTATTATTTCTTTTCTAACCAATATATTATTTTTCATAGTTAATAGAATATGTGGTAATGAAGAGAGAAAAGTATGTATTATGTTTATATTGTAATATTGATTATAATTATTCAGGAACACAAATATTTTCGATGTTAAACATAATGACTGCGTCGAAATATCGTCCTAGAAAAACAGCTTTAGTTATTCTCATTTAAAAAGTACAAGTACGTATTTGAAAAAACGTCCGCACACACACATTCGCCGTTTTTAATTTAAGGCGAATTGTGTCTCGTGACGTAAAAGAAACGATCGCAAGTGCGGAACATTACACGTTTTATACGACGTTTGCGATAAGTTACGGTATAACGGAGTCACGGATTCGTTCCCGCTACATTTTTATGATCTTAACGAATAAGGAGATTTACGATAAAGCCGTCTATAGAGCGGCCTTGGGGTTTGCTTCCCTCAGCATTAATCACGTTTATTTCGACGCGAAATTTCCCCATCCCCGATCTGATCCGCGCAAAACTTTAGATAGAAGATTCTCTGTCTAAATCATCTAATTAAAAAATTACAGGAGATTTTAATCTCTCTCCGGTTGACTTAAACGCCTTCACCAGCGGCGCTCCTCGCGTGCAGTGCGCGATGTTGTGTTATTTGGAGCGTATTCGTCGTCGCGGCATCGACGTGTGTGCTTTGTACTTGTACGAGGTTTCTCCCCTCGCTCGCTCCTCGTTCACCTCGGGGGGGAGAGCGCCAGGGCTGTATCCGCGCCCTTCCCATCAATCAATAATCCGCATCGGACACGAGCGGAGAGGGAGAATCCGGAAGTTCTTTTTTTCCCGATACGCCGAAGTTGTCGAATTTTTTTTTCGACGAGTAAATCGTGTATTTTGCATTAATAATTCTCGTTGAATGAATATCGATGTTACATACGTATTTTATATGCAATGTTAATGCATCTTTTATTTTATTAATTTTCTCGCGTACATCCTTCTAAAATTTAAAATTTTCCAATTAATGATAAAGCGTAATTTCTCATTCTCTCGCGTTTATCGAGTAAATAAAATATGCATATGGATTTTATTCGTCTGTATTAAATTTTCTTATATAAATATAAAACTGTTTATAAGATAAAAGAATTGAAAATTAATTTTATTGTTGATTATATTGATTAAATTTTCCATTTTGACAACTGTCATTTAACTGTCATGGATAAAATTCTTCGGCGCATTTTTATATGATAAAAAACGAAGGGTTTCATTATACGATTCACGAAATTTCTAAATGCAAATAGACATAACTAGACATATTTATCGAGACAAATCCGAAGAGAGCCGTGTCCTCTTCGGAAAGGCAGGGCGCCCTTTTGCGCTACGTCCCTGGAAGAGTTTGGCGGCCCCTCTACATACAATAACACGAACTAGTCGTTCGCCATATCATCGGGAGTGTTGGCTGGTGAATAGAGTGCGATTTATCGCGACCAGCGACAAGATCGGGCCTACGAGGGTGTCGTCTTGTCGACGTGACGTCCGTCGAACCACGAGGCGACTAGCCCAGGCTGGGAAGCTGGCGTTAGTCGATCAAACAACAGTGAGTAGGATCGTTAACACTATGGCTCTTAGAGACGAAAGTTGGTGACCGAGGGGCGCGATCAGCGATTTTCGACCTTAGGTCCTCGGATTCCTCTCGGCTGCACTTTCTGTACGATGTTTCTCTTTCCTCCTCTTCTTCTGCCTCTCGAATGTTACACTTATTTCTCGTCCTGGATACGAAAGAAACAGATGTAAAAGTAAAGGATTAAACATATGTTTGCTACCAATAACTACGTTTATTTACACGCCTTCTTTATTCAAAAGAAGCGAATGTATGTTCTTGTTTCTTGGAGAGAGAAAAGAAACGGAAGCAAAGTGCAGAAAGTGCAAGTAAAACGCGGTACAATTGAAAAAGAACTGAACTTAAAAAAAAAGAAAAGTGCATCTGCAAAGATACATTTAAATTTTACACCCGCATCTTTTGAATCTACTTAATTTTTAAAATTTATTGCTATTGTAATTGTGTGTTGAATAATTATTGTAAGATAATTATATTTTGAAATATTATAAGAACTATATCTTGTTCTAACAGGATGACAGAAAAGCTATGTGCTGTATGAATTGAGACACAACATGGAGCCAATATTAGAAGAAAAATGTGAAATGAAAGTATTAGCAATATCTAATACGCAAACTGTTATTGCTGATAAAAATAAAATAATAAAGGAATCAGAAGCAACAAATGCAGAAAAAAAGGTAAAATTCTGTCATGTATTTCTTACAAATTTTACATTATGTATATGTTGTATACATATATGTGTATTTACATTTTTACAAATATTTTATTTATTTTTTTAAATAAAAATTATATGAAATATTTATATATGATATTAATATTTTATTGATTTATTATTGATATCAATAATATATCTTTTACAATTCTATACAACTTTTTAACTATTAGCTTTAACAATCTATACAACTTTTATATATTTATTTATGTATTTGTGAAAATGCAAATGTACACTTTATATTACATTAAATAATTTTCTATGATTTTAACAATTCATTGGATTGTTTTTATTACAGAAACATGAAGAACGCAAGAATGTGTCCAATGTCAAGTCAAAAAGACCTGTCGCAAAAGTCAAATCGAAAAAAGCTCGAAATGTAGGTCAGTCGAGTTATGATCCCACAAAACTAGAGGATAGTCCAGCACAGGTATTGGAACGCTTCAAGAGAGGCTGCGAGTGTGTCGACGATCAGTGCTTCAAGGATTTAAATACTGAGGTGGTTTATCGGCATAGACTGAATATCGCAGAGTTGACCAAGGCTGAGCATGACATGTATTTAATGGGCGTAACTATGGCATGCTTGACGGATCCTTATCAAACTGCCCGACATACAGAACGACGTAGATTACGCGCACAATACGTTTATCAGGGTCGAAGAGTGTGTTTAGATGCATTTTTATACCTGGAGAATTGCACGCATTATCAGATCAAACGGATCCGAAAGCATCTAATGACACACGGCGTAACGCCACGCGTACATGGCAATCACGGCAAGATCCCGCACAACACATTCTCGCTGGATATATATAAGATTGCGACGGAATTTCTGAAGAACTTTGTTGAGGTGCAGGAGGCCAAGCAGAAAACCAAACTCGCTAAGAACGCGCCGCTGCATCTGTCACCGGACATCACGCGAAAAACAGTGCACGATCTATACACGCAATATTGCAAAAAAATATCACCTGACATTAAGAGCATGGGCTATTCGACGTTTCGGCGATTCATGAAGGTGCAGTTCCCGCAGGTGAAGTTCGCCAAGTTGGAGTTTATTGTGAGAAATCAAACCACCCAAAGTCACTGTCAGACGGAACCCGATGCGAAAGATGATACGGGTCAGCAAAAGTCATCCAAACCAGAGTTACAGACGGAAAGTGGCACGTTATTGCCGCTTGTGATAACTCATGATTTAGGGCAGAACGAGACCTATGTGCTAACGCCTATCAGTAAATTACAGGACGGCGTGAGTTATCAAGTTACTACGCGCGGGTTGGTAGTTAACAGTCCCACTATCACATTGTCGAAAACGAACGCGGTATAAACTAGAAGATTGCATGTGAGAAAATATAATAGATATATATATTATATGATAGCAAATTGTACGTATATATGTATGTATATGTGTGAATGTGACATATGCGCCTATGCTGTAAGGCTCTAATTCTTTAGTAATTTTTTCCAATATCTCGCGCCTTAACCGAAAGAGAGAGTACAGTAATATATTGCACACACGTTAGATAATTGTTATTATTCGGAAAAATCTCAATAAGAATATTTTATAAATCTGTATAAGAATAATATATACACGATAATTTCCAAAAATACAGAAAGAAACAAAATTATTATATAAAATCTTAGATTAGTAGATATACGCTTATTGAAGTATATCTTATGTTGCTCAATTACACAGTGAATTGAGTAAAGTTATAATGCCTTTAAAGTTTTGTTATAATAATAATTGCAAAATAAATTTATAAATTTCTTATATTAATTAATAAAAAGTATTTAGTCAAATAGACATAGATTCTTGTAAAAGTAACGAGAGAAAATTAATATTGTACAAATTATATTTATCGAAAAAATAATTTTGATTTTATTTTAAATAATAACAAATTCTCTGGAAATTTTATTTCTTTACATTTTAACTCTTTAATTCTTTTTTTTTTATTAAAACTTGTAAAAGATTCACAGTAACAATGGGAAAATGTATTAAATTACATATATATTTATAAAATAAAAAGAAAAATTTTGCAACTGAAATTACAAAATATTTTGTTATATTTTTCTAAAATTAATTTTAAATATTTAAAAATGGAACGTAGAAATTCTACAGCTGTTGATTAGCTGTTTTATATAATAAAAAAATATTTTTTTAATATAATAAGGCATGTACACAAAAAAACTACATATTTTTTTACATCCCGTACTTTTTTTAAGCAGAATTCAATAACTTGATGTCAGAAACCAAAGAATTTCAATATTTCTTATCTTCCTTGAATTCCAGACACGGAAATCACAAGTAACTATAGTAGCAGCAACAGTGCTTCTCAATACAAACGCTTTCTATATGATTGTAATGCATAAATATTATATATCTTTTATTTGTAGCATGTATATGTAAATAAGAGAGAGAGTATATATATATGTTTAATCCTTATTCTTATAAAAAAATAAAATAAATTTCACATCGGAGAAGTCTATTATAAAATAATTATTATAAAATTAAGATAAAATTTAAAATTTAATGTTGGGAATAACTTATACAAAATTTCATTAAATATAAATCATTTATTTGTTCAAAAATATTAATACTAAAAAATAATATATGATGAATTTATCTTTCTCTCTCTTATGTTTTCTTCTATAATAATATCTATAAAAAATTTTATTTCTAATGTAACAAGCATGAGAGAGAAATATGTTAAAGAGAAATATGTATTGTAAGAGATTGGAAGCTTTTTAGAATATATCGACCATTAGTAATTAATAATCTTGTACAAGATTCTTGGTATTAATTAAAATCATATTTTCCCGTTTGAGAGCCTCTTGATTTACAGTTATATCAGCAATATTGTGGGTACTGCAGGGAACTGTTTCAGTCGGTGGCATCAGCAAGGTCATGTGAGTGCAACCTCTGATCAGGTACTTGCATTTAGTACACCAGTGAAACTTGAACTGTACGTTCACAGCAAATATTGCATAAGAGGTTGTCAAATAAAATCGTTAGATCATTAAAATTTTTAAATTAAATAATATTGTGATATATATATCTTAATTATTATTTTTCTAAATAATTCAAGCAGTGCAATCTGTAGTATTTTAATCTCCAAAAATGAAATATATGATAAATAAAATTGTACTATTAATTAAATTAAAAGTATACCAAAGAATTTTTTTAATATATTATAATTGTATGTATATATGCATATAATGTCTGTATGTATTGTGTTGTGTAAACATTTAAATAGAATAATGATAACAATAAATAGAGATTCTTGATTAATGTCTAATTGTGCAAGTGTCTATTTTAATATTAAAATATATATTATTGATTTAATTTTAATATTAATAAGTTATGTTATAATTTTTTAAGCAATATGTAAACAAAAATTATTTTAAGAAATATTGATGTATATATAATGATAAAAAATAATATTTTGCATTACAGAAGATGTAGAGAGTATGACAGGGGAGATAGAAAATGGAGACCTGGCAGTTCGAGACGTTGCAGATCTTCTCCAGGCACAATATGCTATTATTGCAGGTAAATATTTAATCTTGCAAATTATATTTGGATTTATTTTTAATAAAATATAAATTTTTAAATTGTTTTCTTTATACATTTTTTGTAGGAGGAAAAACGCAAGAAGGATGTCCTATAATTATATTTCCAGATAATGGCAATTTTCATAATTTGACAGACTTGGACTATCAACGTCTTATGTTATATCTTACTTCTGTGCCAACGTAAGTATATAAGTAATCCCAATATAATTATCACTTAATATATCTCTTTTTATGCAATATAATATATATATATTTTTTTTTGTATTAAATTATATATTATATTGATGTTTAGGTTGCAAGAAGCTGATCTTGGATTTCATTTGATAATTGATCGAAGGAATGATAAGTGGAACTCGGTGAAAACAGTGCTTTTGAAAATTTCTGTAAGTGAATTTAATACATGTGTAATAATTACAGTCACTATTATCATTTTATAAATCTATACCTAATTATATATATTTTTATATATATAATTTAATCTATATATAACACACACACATATATATATATATATGTATGTATGTATGTATGTATGTATATATATATATATATATATATATATATATAATAATTAGTTAATATATAAAAAATAATTGTTACCATAAATTCTATATTTTTTATTTTAGGCATTTTTCCCTGGTCTAGTGCATGTAGTATATGTGTTGCGACCCGCCGGATTTTTTCAAAAAGCCATTTCAGAAGTATCGAATAAGTTGTTTCGAGAGGATTTCAAGTTTAGGGTTATATTCTTGGCTAACATTATTGAGCTTCACGAATTTATAGAAAAAGATCAACTCACTGAGCCGCTCAGCGGCAATTTACCGTATTGTCATCATACTTGGATACAAAATAGAATTGTAAATATATCAAAATATAATTTAATAATATTAGTCAATACATGACATTAACTTTTCTATTCTTTAATAAATGTTTTTTACCTTTCTATGCAGAGTCTGGAAAAATTTTCATCAATGACACAGGACGTGTCCCTCGCGTTGGATTCTTTCACGCGACGTTTGGCTGAAGTGGAATTTCCTAACAATACTATTGCTACAACTACACTATTGTCACAGCAACAAGCTGAATATAACGAATTAAAAGAAGAGATACTTAGTGCTGCCAGACATGGAGAAGCTCTTTTAGATAGCGTACGGCAACTAACTGGAAAAGGAACAGCTGATAGATTGGGAAATGTTGCAGCAGTAGAAAGGTAACACAAGAATTTTATAATTGATCATATAAACGTGTATAATAATAAAATTAATCTTATTATACACGTCATCTTATCATACTCTGGTCAAAATTATTCACAATTCATTAATGTAAGATATTAGATATAAGAAATTTGTCATATATTTGCTTCATATAATTTTTAATGCTTTAATTCAATTTTAGGCTACTTGTTCAGTTGGAGGAAACCGAACGAACCTTTGACTTGTTTTGGTCACATCATAGCTCACGTTTGAGACATTGTTTGGCTCTGAGGCAATTCGAGCAAGATTTCCGGGAATTACAAGCGACATTAGATCAACATTTAAAGACAGTGGAAGAAATGACAGAGGTTGGCGAGACGCAAGCACGAGTGGAACAATTGCTGCACGACACATCGGCGTTTCAACGAATATGCAGAGTATGTGGCACTTTTAAATAATAAATTTGACAAAATATGACATTATGTATTCGTACCTTAAGATATTCGATTATTTTTCTGATAAATTATCTAGCCAAAGTTGATCGGGAGTAGTTTACAGATAACATGTAAAATTACACAGGTGAAAATTATTAATTGTGATAGATTATATACAGAGAAGAATTATTCCTGAAACGTAAAATTATAGACCCGTTGTATAAAAATCATTTTTTTATATGATCAATTAGTGAAAATAACTTGATAACATTATTAATTTTGAGTTTGAGAATGTACGGGTTGCACTAAAAAAGTGTCAAAATATATTATTTAAATCAGTATAATTTTATTCAAGAAACTATATAAACTTTGCAATAAAATAAACGTACTATTATTGATCATATTAAGAATATGTATAAATGCAACTTAAATATTCTATCATGTTCATATATATATAAAATCTGGTTTTTGAATGTGATCACAAGCAATAACATATATAATGCACATCATGCACAAATGTTACTTTGCACCGCTTTCCTCATTTTGTCGATAGTCCTATTTGTTGCATACCATGTGGATTTGGGTCTTGGTAAGCAATCCACTTAACAAAATACATATATATATTCTGTGATAGAATTTACAATTTTAAGACACAATAATTTTGAGATATTATTTTAGCATTTACATGTACATATCTCAATCTTATATTTATCGTCTTGGAGGCAAATAGAAAACATTACGTTTCAACAAGTTTTTGTAGGCGCTATATTTAAATTAAAATTCTCTTTTATACATTGTTATACTATTTAAGCTAATATGCTATTTTTCTTTTTTCTTTACTTCTTTTAATTGAAATGCACGCACATGTCATCGGAAAATTGCTGGAGATTGATTCATATCCGATAATGGCATGGTGAATTTTTGCGAATGATTATCATTATGATTTTTCGCTCTCTCTCTCTGCATTGCACGCATAATAGTGTATTTCTTTACGAGGTTTTCTTTCTAGATGATTTAATAAGACTATGAGAACAAAAAATGTCATGATTGTTTGTAGCATCTTCATTCATTTATATACCTATTTGATCGCGTTATTGTGCATAAATATAATTGCGTATGTTTATAGGGAGACATAGATCGCGCGGAAGAGGTGATATCCGCTGGTCAACAACTATTGTCCGGCAGGCATCAGTGTCCGACAGACGTTGTGGAACCTAAATGCGTGGAGCTACAAAGAATCTGTACCATCCTCAGTCAGAGATTGGAGAGACGATTGCATATGTTGACTAAATGCCGGGAACTTATGGAGCGTATAGATAAGGTACACTCGTTGTGTCTCTCAAATTTATCTCTATTCTTCTTCCACTGATTAGAAAGTTAATTTTTTATTTTATTAATAATTAATCAGGCCAATACTTGGTGCACACGAGGGATAGAATTGTTGGCGTCGCAAAACAGTACCACGCCGCCGGATCAAGCGCTTCAAGAGCTGCAGCAATTGATCGAAGCCGCGGAGGAATTCCATCATCCCCGATGTATCTTTCAAGATTCCGTAATGCCGGAGACTAAAGCGCTTATTACGCAAGTGTGTATTTTTGAAACATATTAATCCATGAAACATTTTAATCCGAAATATAACGAAATATAAATTTGTAGGTCTTGCAAAGGATAGAAGATGTATCCTTGATGTGCGACAAGAGAATAATGGCACTAAAGCAGCAATTGATCAAACCAACTAGACCAGTACAAACTGTCACTCCAGAACCAGTCAAACCCTTGCAATCACTGCCTCAAACTGTAAAGCCCAGCAGAGTTCTCAAAAAAGCCAACACTATGCCAAAGGTAATGCTATATATTAAGCGGTATTTTTGAAAGAAATTTCAAAATGATGCATGATGTCTTTAACTACTTTAATGAAAATATAAATGAATAAATTTTCTAGACAAATTTTTTTAATTTAAGATGGAAATGAGTCCTATAGAGGGAGAGTCCTCATCACCAGAAAGCGAACCTCGAGACATCGAAGCTTTACGTTTAAAACGCGGTCATGTCTTGGCGGAACTTGTGGAAACTGAGCGAATTTACGTTACCGAACTTGGTTCGATTGTTAAAGGTTACAAGATGGAAATGACGAACGAAGCGATGGTTCATTTGATACCAACTGCACTGGTGGGCAAAGCGGATGTATTGTTTGGAAATTTAGAAGATATTTATATTTTTCATGGTGAAACATTTCTAAGAGATCTGGAGAACTGCATTTCGAATACTGAACTGGTAGCTTTGTGCTTTGTTCAAAGAGTAAGCGTTTATATTATTATTATATATTATTTCCGAATACATATCACATATTTGTTTGAAAACGCTAATTTAATGTACATTTTTAGCGCGAGATATTCTTTAGATTGTATAGTTATTATTGTCAAAATATTCCGCGATCCGAGAAATTGCGTGAACAAATACAGGCCGAACCGCAATTTCTCGCAGCCTGCCAGCAAAAACTTGGTCACAAGCTGCCGCTCGCTGCCTACCTTCTTAAACCCGTTCAGCGGATTACCAAATATCAGTTGTTATTAAAAGATTTATTAAAATATAGTGACGAACCTTCATGCTGCACTGAATTACAAGAGGCGCTTGATTGCATGCTAGTCGTATTAAAATGTGTCAATGACAGCATGCATCAAACTGCAATAACAGGTTTTGGAGTAAGTATCTTCATCGATTTTCTTTCTATCTTTCTATCTAAATTATTACATCTTATCTTTTACTATATTATTTTTTTGTCTTTCTCTCTTTACTTACAGGGCGATCTAAGCGCACAGGGTGAATTATTGTTACAAGGCTCGTTTAGTGTTTGGAGTAGCAGTAAACGGGAGCGATTATTACGATTAAAACCATCACAACGGCATATCTTTTTATATGAAAAGGCTTTGATATTTTGTAAGCATAGCAAGCCTCAAGCTCACAACAAGGCCACGTACCATTTTAAAAGATATTTGAAGGTATACTTCAATATTCATATCTGTAAGAATAAGTCTTTTTTCCAATTTAAGTTTTATGATTCATGTGTGATCTTGTGTAATATATCGCAGATGTCTCAGATTGGTTTGACGGAGTCGGTGAAAGGTGACGCTAAACGGTTCGAGATATGGTTACAGGGCAGAGCTGAGGTGCATACAATACAAGCGCCCAGTATCGATGTTAAACAATCTTGGGTGCGTCAGATCAAGGGTGTTTTGATGTCTCAGTTAGCCGAACTCAAAGGAAAACAAAATTCGGCTCTTGGAAAATCCAATCATAAGTACGTGAAGAATCGTTGTTAAAGAATGATGCGCGTATTTCATCAATCTTTTTGATATATTTCATTACTTCTTTTATCCCGAAAGGCCGTTGCGACAAACAATCTCATGGGAAGCACAAAGTATATCGGGATCTTTGCGAACACTATCTGTCGACGGTAACAGCGTCATCTCGCATATGACCGATGTCTCACAATCAACGGAGGAAGACGCAGCATGGAGTTCAGAAAATAGCAATACAGATGAGGAAGACGCTTTTGGCGACAATCCAGGACCGGCACCGGTAAATTCTTTTTTACGTTCTCGAATTTAAGCATTGAGAATAAGTTGTAGATAAAATAGCAATTTTAGAGAATAATTAAGAGATAGATTTAAAAAATCTATAATTTTATTTTTGTCGATTTTAATGCATTTAATCAATTTTAAGTTTACAAATTCGATGCACACCCATCATTTTCCTTCTATCTGACAATAAGGTTATTATTGCATTTCTTATATTTTTAGTTTCTAAATTGATTATGATATGTATAATTGTGTATATTTTACAATAATAAAGACACTTATTTATAGGGAGGAAGATACGTAGCATTGGCAGATTATTGCGCGGTAGGTCAGTCGGAAGTCACGATGCGTGAGGGTGATACCTTGGAGCTTCTCAAAGTCGGTTGTGCTGGCTGGTGGTTTGTCAAACTGATTGGCACTGGCATGGAAGGCTGGGCGCCCGCAGCGTACTTAGAACCAATTAGTCGCAAAACGTCACGCAGTTCGCAGTCGGTCAACAGTCAAGAGGCTATATGAAATAGGCGATTAACACACTAGAGAGCCTACTAGTGTGTTAGATCTTTGCTTATCTCAAGCTTGAGATCGCTAGTTATTGAAAAACATTTACTGTTGAAAACGGTAAACATTTTCTAAATGGCGACAAGATCGGTTTTTGGAAATCTTTTACAGCATTTAAACATGATGATGAGTTGCATCATTTTTCTTGTACAATACAAGTATGCAATGCTTGATGTTGAGTGACGCCTTTGTATTCGCAATACGAAGAACGTTGAGTTAAACGGGTGATAAGATTTTTACGTTTACGAGAATTTTATACTAATGCATATTAAGAAGAAAAGATGGAATGGAATGATAAACTTCATCGTTCCACAACGATTGTAAACAGTCAAGAACTTTGTTCGCGTTGTAACGTCAGATGAAGCCGTTCGCGAGTATAGAATGGAATTTATTGAATTGTACAAAACGTAGCATTTTGAATTAAGTCGGGATATATATGTGCATGCGCGCACCATGAAGGCATAATTGTGATTTTGCATCGATCACAATTTCTGTAACAATAGTGCATACACTGTAATCAACAAGAAAAAGAATGCTGCGTTGAAAAAAACGTATCGTTCGATTACTTCGTTAAACATGAAGAAGTACCTAATCTATGAATGAGATGTAGTTTTTACTTACGATCCGGGTAATCAAATATTGGCTATGTACGCGATTATTCCAAAGTTTAATATCGTAAGATCATTATAAGAGACCCGCGACATATTTTCGTCCATAACGTTTTATTGACGATCCGAGAAATAATCTTATCCTTGCTTGGTGTAACCTTGCGGTGTCGCGACTAAGTCGATCGCGTCATTTATGTATTATCATACGTTGGCTTAGAGTAGGGTAGAGTCTAGATGCATTGTCATCACAATCGAAAATAGTACAATTTAGCGTTTCGCGGGCTTTTGAGAGTATTTTAGATGTTCTGTTTGCGAAGTTTGAGGTGTTTTTGCTTTCCCGGTTGAATTTAAAATATTTGCAAAGACTATCGAAAATATATAGATCCCCTCGAGCCTTCAAAAATGAGAAATGTGTGATAAAACGTTAGAAATCGATGCTTCTGCAGATTAATAATTGTAAACAGATGCAGAAAGAAACAAATGTTTAATTAATATATCGCCATTCTTAGAAAGTTAGATATATATTGTTGATGAGTCATTACGACCAAATAAGCTTGAGATATTATGAATTTGATTATGAGGTGAACCATTCGTTTTGAAAGAATAACGCGGTGATAGAAGAGTAGGAGGGAGATAAGTGGAGAAAGGGAATTAAAGAATCATATACAACGTGTAAAATTTTCTAGGAAGCTAAACGGTTAACACCAACAGTAATATGCAATATCTGATACCAATAAATCTTAATACATCTAATACTTTAGGACTATAATAAGCTATCTCAGTTCTCTCTAGCAGATTTCGTAACCCACCAATTTCATAAGTCTACTATGATATATAGCAATGTATGATAGCATCATTTGTACCGAAACATTTGTATGGATAACATAATTTTTAAGGGATAATCTCGATTGTTATGATTTTTTTTTGCCAACGTCGTATATGCGTTATAATTATGTCTGCTCCTATACACACAAGGACATACATTCGTCGCAATTTTTGATATAGCCTACATGAGTCTTGCTTTTGTTATTTATAATTCGAGTATTATTTTATTTATTATAAAGAGAGCACGGTTTTACATGATTTTTTATTAGATATTTATTAGATAGATTTATTAGATATATTTATAAAATATAGAGAATTATTTAATATTGCGATGCATATATATTATATATATATATATATAAGTTGCAGCAATCAGATTGGTCCATGCTGGTCCAGACTGATTTACAGTAAATGCAATATAACGCATTAAGAGCTGTATGATCCCGGCAATTTTATAATTATAAACGAGTTAGAAACAAATATACACGAATTCGTTTCTTACCGGGATGCTGCGTTTTTATACACTCCAATTATGTACAGATACATTTATATTTTTTTTGTGTTGTAACTTTTACTTTCTACACCTCTTTAAGGTCTATGCACATTATACGTAACATTATCATCATCAACGTAATGTGAAAATTTTTGAAACATTACAATATTTATTTTCTTTATAACATTCTAAGCAATTTTGCTTCTTTTCGTCCAGACTGCAGTTACTATAAAATTCATTTAAATTTTATTTCGAAAACATTTTAGTGAGAATGCAGTTAAAAGTAAGAATGCAATCACATTTAGATTAGAACTAATCGAGATAGAGGCCGGTAACTGTCACTGTTAATTATTAAGATAATTAACAGGATGGTAATATTGCATTTCATATAGTGTGCACAGACTCACACTTGGAGTTGTAATATATTCTCGTGTATTAATCCATTTATATGCCGTCCTTATATTAACCGTAAGATTTCAATCAAATACATGAGCAATATTAGTTTAAAAGATCGTTTTCTCGGCGCATTTCTTTATGTTGCGATAATATTATTAAAGTTGTGTAAAAGTTGGAAACGTGAATGCGAAACGTTGGCCTTTCCGCGATTTATTTCATAGTAAATTCTATGCAAAAAAAGAGAGAAAATATATTAATAACGCTGCTCACATCATATACTCTCTTTACGAAGATTTTCACAAATAATTATATGATTATTTTATCGTTCGTATTGTCGATCGAGCGACTCCTCATCCGTGTAAAATCGCGATTAAGCGACCAAGTATAAGTGATACCTATAAACATGCAGGGCGCGTTTTTGTAGAAATTACAAATATATATACATATACATAGACAATAATTATACCCGCTGTTGAAGGATATATGACAACGCGTTCATTCGAAGATAACAATTCACGATAAATATATAATTCCCGAAGCGATACTTCCCTCCGTGATTAACGGAGCAAATAGAAGCAGGTTTCTGCGAGTGTGAATCTCTCTCACCCCGTAGATATGGAATTATAATAATATTAATAGGAATTTTATTGTGTATAAACGCACTTTTGCGTACGCAATCTCTAAAAAAAAAAAACAAGCACTCATGTGAGAGAGGAATTCGACGTTCAACGACCGCAATCTTTTTACGGATGGTTCCTTTCGTCGTTCCTCGTCGGCAAAAGAGAGATAGTAAAGTCTATTTTTGCATATAACGTGATAAAGAGGCTGCCGAAATCTCTTCTATTTGCATATGTATTAGCGCGATCATTTCTCATCAATAAGAATCATTGGCGCTCTTTCTTTATTTAATTGACATATGCTCTGTTACATTCGGAGCATGAAATTCTTTGAGCTTCTCTTTCAGTATAATTTGTAATTATAAATTGTAAATTATTTTAATCTTCATAGAGGAGAAAAAAACTCTACTCGGATCTCAAAAATAATATTTTTATATAGGATGCAAAAAATTGCTCAAGCTTAAGTTAATTATGTTATTAAACGATCTTTGAAACATGTATTATAAATTTTTTCTAATTACGTTAGATAAAATGAAATGCATTAGAATGAATGCGTTTTGATCATGTTTCGATTGCTTTTCGTGTGTGTGTGTACATTTACACGAAAAGATAGATGTGATGCGAGTATTGAATAACGAGAAATGATCATTTTTAATTGTTACATCATCTTATCGACTTCATGAAGGGAATGGATTACTGTAATTTGTATGTGCAATGTATACTCAAGCGCGTACAAGAATTTTGTTAACTTGTCCGAATCTTGCGTACAATCAGTTGTCAAATCTTGTATATGAGAGATCTGCAATATTAAACGGGAACATTAAACGCGAGAAACAACAGAGCAGCAAAAAGTCAGTTCTTGTTCTTATCGCGATTAACAAACCCATAATCATATGATTGCATTTTTAATAATTGTTCATACATACCTTATTATATTAATACCTTATTATTAAATTTCTTATTTGATTTTATTAGTCTTGCTATAGATTTTTTCTCCAAATTTAGAATTGATTTTTCTCGCGAAAAATTTTGCGAAGAAATATTGAACAATTTTTAACAGAGTATGTTAAAGCAATATATACAAAAGAACGTCTAAGTATCGTTATAACTATATTTTATATTGTATTTTAATCGATTCGACATAATCATATTCCTATATTATTATTTATTTAATTAGTACTTTATAGTTTAAAATTATAGTTTATAGTTTGAAATGTAGACCACTGAAAAGAATTACTTTATTATTTAATCAATTTTTTTATATTATTATCTCGATTGTATAATCGTATATAATTTTTAATCACATAAATATGAATAATGCTTTAATATTATATATTTATATGTGACACATGGACAATATCTCATATGTATCTTTTTTTCTATTTTTGTAGCATGTACTCATTCTGAACCTTGTGATTTGGAAGTCTATCTATTCCAATACTCTTCTAATCAACTTTATTGATACATATTGTTGTCTTTAAATGTTCATGTGTGTGTGTGTGTGTGTGTGTGTGTGTAAATTTTGCTATAATAGTGTGTGTATGTATAAAATTATAACATGATGATACATCTGTTCGTACTCATATGTATGTGTATACATAACATTTCCCGCGAGATAATTTAAATCGACGTGAATTGAATTGCTTCACGAGGCGGTCGACAGATGAGGCAAAGCGCGGTTCGGTCAAAGATCAAATTTTCACCGATTGCTGATGACGTGCTGACGAACACATTCGTGCGACTCACAACGCGAGGATGTTCCAACAGCACGTCGCGCGCGTTTATTATCCGTGACACACGGTGTTTCGCGACCTTGATAATAATAGTGACTGAGAAACAAGCCGTTTTTCGCGGAGCTCGACGAATTTTTCCTTTTCGACTCGTTAAGAAAACATGCCGCCGCAAACGGACCCAGCCCCGAAGCTCGAGACACCGTCGAGCGGAGTCAATGCCGTTCTATTGGGTCCACCTGGTAGCGGCAAAGGCACTCAGGTATTTTCTTATCGCACGTATATACTTGACTGTTATTCTTGAAAGCTGAGCTAGCTATTCGTTTTGACCTATCATGTTTTTCATACATAAGTTAATTTTGATTGATTAAATGAGGCGGTTTTAAATGATAAAATTATTAAATTATTTTGTAGCACAATATAAACCTGTTTTACATACATTAGTAAATTGACCTTTCCTGTATTTCTAATGAGTAATTAAACTGTATAAATAGATTAGAACTGTAAAAGATAGATTCATCTTTAGATTTTATGCGATTAAAATGTTTTGACTTTATAAACCTTGAAATATTTAATTGAAGATTTTTCATTAATCATGACAATGATTAATTCTAACTGCAAAGATTAGTTGAATGCATTTGTTTCAGGCGGTGTTATTCAAAGAGAGGTACTGCGTATGTCATTTATCTACAGGTGATATGCTAAGAGCTGAAGTCGATTCCGGTTCTACTCTGGGAATTCAATTCAAAAAGATAATGGACGAAGGTAAATTGGTCAGTGATGATTTGGTAGTTAACATGATTGAGAACAATTTAAACAAACCTGAATGCAAGCGTGGCTTTTTACTGGATGGATTCCCAAGAAGTGTACCTCAAGCAGAAAAAGTAAGAAATGTTTAAAAGAAATTTTATACATCTCATAATGAAACACTTGAATCTCTGTATTTCACAATTCTTTTCTATATAGCTCGATGAAATGCTCAAGAAGAGGAAAACAAAGCTTGATGCTGTGATTGAGTTTGGAATCGATGACAAATTATTGATCAGTAGAATTACAGGTAGATTAATACATCCAGCTAGTGGTAGATCTTACCATGAGACACTTGCTCCTCCTAAAGTCTCTATGAAAGATGATGTAAGTAATAAAATAATTATAGCAAAAAATTTCAAATTTTTCATATAATTTGGAGAAAAAGAGAATTTTACACTAGAGAATTGTTCACAATACACCTAGTTGTATTTGCAAAGTGCAGTTAAATTCAATGACATGCTAATTCTGATTTGACTTATGTAATATGTTTTCGCTGAAGATTATATATAATAACATTTATTTTTACAAACAATTATATATAGACATAAAAATGTTATATAATGACATAAGTTCAAATAAAACTTGAGATGAAAAGTTTAAAATGCTTAATCTCTTTTGATAGATCACTGGGGAACCTTTAATTAAGAGATCTGATGACAATGAGGAGGCTCTGAAAAAACGATTAGCGACATATCACACACAAACTTTACCACTCGTCGACTATTACGCTCTACAAGGAATTCATTATTACATTAATGCTGCCCAATCTGCCGAAAGAGTCTTCAAAGATATCGACCAAATCTTTCTGAGATCCACTAAAAAGAAGGGATTCTTCAGTAGATTTTTTTAAAACATCGCCAATAGAAATAGAAATCTCTAAAACATTCTTTTATTCTTTCTTTTTATAGCAATTTATTTTTAGAATCTTTTTCTTCTTTAAAAGAAGTTACAGAAATAATCGTAAATGTATTAAGACAAGATAGTAATGCTGCAAAAATAACAATTTAGGTGTATTTAATGCTTGTTTTAACTAAGAGTAATTTCGAAATCTTAGTAATATAGTTGCATTTAGAAGAATTACTGTAAACGGTATATTTTGTAGCAATATCAAAAAAGGCATGCAATGGTATTTGATAAAACATCATAATTTTTTAGAGAGATGAGAAATTATGATTTGCAAATAGAATGCACACAATTTATCAATGCTCTAAAAATGGGTGTAACATATATATGTAAAATGCGAATCATATAACTTTAATAGAGAAAAAGATATATTTGTATATAGCTGCTAAAAGAAATTTTGCATTGTTACTGCACTTTTTGTGCAATGTTTATACATTGTACTTAAAGCACATTTATTAAGAAAAATTTTTTTATCTATTTTGATTTATTTTTAATTTTTTCTATAGCGAACATTTATCATTATAAAACATGCGAAATATTAAGAACATGCGAAGAATTAAGTATAGAGAGCGTTCACACCAATCATATACGCACATTTTTTGAATTCTACAACTATATCGTTTTTAAAAAAAAAGACTAAATGTGACCATCTCAATTGATTTTTCTCATAAAGATTGAATAATATAAATATTAAAAATGTAAAATGTATTTTTAATTTTATATATTCAATAATGAATGAGTTATGTCGAAAACGAGAAGATAATATTCTAATTATAATAATTTCGAGTTAATTATAATTATAATATTTGAATTAATTATAATTATGAGAATAAATTGATATTTGATTGTCGCATTTAACATTCAGTTTGACTACTTACAATTATACGTTTATCACTTTTTAATTGCGGCTATGAAAACAATACTATTAAACTGTATAAAAACACAAAAATAGCAATGCTACATTGCTGTATATCATTTTCGAAGACACAATTTTACGAAAGTATGAATGATGCAGATCAAAGACTATTTTACATAAAAAGAAGCAAATACATATATTCTATATAATACTATTTCATGTATGTACACAACTTTTAAAACCCTCCGATATTTTCTGAAAGAAATACGAATGTGAATTTAGATAAAAATAAATCACTTGTAAAAGTCTTATTCTTAATAATTTTGGCGATTTTAGAGATGTTGGAAAAGATGCGTCTTGTATCTCTCTTTCAATATCTTTAATTATATTCATATCCTTGAATTATAAATCTAATGAAAACCTTGGCAAATATCTTGTATTGACAATTTACTTACTATTTTTCTTCAGAATTTTCTTTTATTAGTGAAATATGTGTAAAAATTTCTCAAGAATGAAAAAGATAAATATGTTTAATTTTTTTAATTTTAAATAAAATATATAATTATAATATATTCTTTTTTTTAGTTTATTGTTACATATGAATTGTAGCACAGACACGAACCATGTATCGTTACCGAGCATAACGGGCATAGTTTCCACTTTCTCATCCACTTTCTTAGGCGGCGCATCAGGACAATATGCCCGTTAAAGCAAGGTGGCCGCTCTCAGGTTCTGTCTGGTTTTAATTATGTATTTTTTAATGTAAAATATGTGGATAAATTCTTAATTTACATATAATTGTTATATTTTCAGGAGGTAATAACTATGAACCATTACCAAGTACATCTACCCACAATGCTATGGAAGACGAAAATGAAAAAATGACAGAAGAATTAAAGCACAAAATTCATGCTTTAAAATCTTTGTCTATTGACATTGGTACAGAAGTAAAATATCAAGATAAATTCTTGAGAAACATGGTTAGTTGATTAGTTCTTTTAAAGACAAATATATAATTTCGTTTTAATTTTATCTAAAAAATAAAGTTTATTTTAGGATGATGATTTTGAAAAAACAAGTGGGTCCTTATCAGGTTCCGTTGCACGTGTTTTGCGTCTAGCAAAAGCAGGTCACAATTATTATATCCTATACTTATTTCTTTTTTCTATAGCAGTATTTTTTATATTGTGGACAGTTTTGAAATTTAAATGATTATTTGTAAAATTTATAACTACGGTGAAATGTATATAAGGTATAATTAAGTCAAAATTTTAAATCAGTAAAATAGCAGATTTATCTTTGTGAATTACATGAAAAAATTTATTTTAATTTTGTTAAGATTGCATTGTCATATATGTATAAAAATATAAGTTATTCTATATCTACGTAGAGAGAGAAAGAGAGATAAATATGATATACGTTGCAAATAAATATATTTTTTTTTTATTTATTGTAATTCTTATTTTATTTTTTTTCTTTAAATTCTGTTCAATCAACAAATCTTGTCAATGATACAAAGGTGTATTTGACTTGTTGCTATGAACCAAAAAACTGACCAAAATACTGATCTCTTACAATTAAGAGCAGTAGTGCATTGAGACAATTGTTTAATTTTTCTATAAATCTTATATTTACACAAAAATTATATACATATGTATATAATTTTTAAATAGTAAAATTCTACTGAAAATATCAATTTCTATGTTAATAAAACAGAAAATAATGTTAATAAAATCTGGAACAGAAGTTTTTATTAATAATAATATCAAATATTAATCTTTAGAAGATGAGAAGTCTATTTTTAAACATCAAGTTGTTTATGTGTTAAGATATAAAGATTTTTTTTTTACAGTTGACAGCTGTTAATATATTGTCAACTTAGGAAAAATGTACTTTTTTAGTAAAAATACGCTCTAAGCTTTTTAAGATCACTGAATACTCATTTGATATTAGAATTCAGATTTGACAGTTGATAGCTATGTATGTCAATAGTGTCAACTTCTATATAAATCAGAATACATAGTTCCGGAGTTCTAAGAATACAAATCCGATATCAGAATTCAGATTTGATAGCTATCAAAAAGTTCTTTTGATCAATTTTGTTTGAATTTTTATTTCTGATTTTCAAGATATATTTTTATAATGAGAGATTTTGTAAAATTTCTTTTTTGTCATTCGAAACTAAACATAAATATAAATGAATAAAATATAAACTAAATATAAATAATTTTTGTGAAATTTGTATTTATTTATATGATTGTTTTATGCAATTTTTTCATTTTGATTACTACGAAAAGCCTATTTTTAGGCTTTATTTATTTTATCTAGGATAGGACGAAACGACGAATCATTTTCCGCGTACAGTTGGAGAATCGTGCTGAAAGATCGAACTGGATCGAACCATCGAACTGACGAAACGCCCCTATTCGTGCACCTAGGTTAGATTTATTTTATGCCCCGAAAGTGGGGACTGGCGAGGACGTTTCATCCAGTTATGGCGGAAAATGTTTTCGTTCTATGATAGGCACTGAGCCGCGATTACATCGGTTTATCGACTCGGCTGATCGCTGACTTGACAACGCTGAGTCTCATTTGATCCGGTGAAAATTCAGAGTAATCACATCCCATAATCATGGATACGCGTGGCATTGAGGTCACGAATCAACTTCGAGTAAGTATTCGGGGACTAGCATGCACAGTATGAAATTTGCACGATCTAAACGAATAGATATATCTCATTCTATTGTATACATTTAATGCAAGCATAACATTTAATTTGATGTCTTCATTATTGCCTAATTATCTAGAAGACTGTACAATTATATTAAATTCTTTAGGGAAGGATGTAAAAGTTTCATGTGATACAAGACAATTCTTGCCTTTCATTCATCAGATCTACAATCTAAGCATTCTAAAATTTATTTATTTGTATAGCATATAAATCTAAGAGTATAAAAATGATTGAGAATTTATCTTTTCCAAAGAAAGAAAAAATGTTTTTTAAAGAATTGATTATATTTTTTAAATAATATGTGATATCTGTAATAAATTGTATTATTTAATGAAATATCGAATTAGATTTTAATGATCAACTATATGAAAAATATGCAGATGTATTCTATCATTTTTTATTTTTGCTAAATAAATTTATTCTGTCTTTTCAGAGTGCCATTCGTGCGAAGCTTAACGAATTAGGTGTACGATACGATGAGGAACTACCAGATTACATATTGGTGATGGTTGTCAATAAAAAATCCCGTCAACAAATGCATGATGATCTAAATTTGTTTCTAGAAGACTGCACAACTATATTTGTAGACTGGCTGCACGATCAAGTGCTGAAGAAATTGCAGAAAGTCACTGTGGCAAAAAAGAAATCATCCCGCGAGTTTGTACCCACGGTAGTAGTGAAGCAGGAGGAGGAAAGGAAGAAACGAAAGATATCCGCAACTTCGTTTCTGGAAGATCAGACGGCAGAACAATCGGTTGTCGACAAGTCTTTGGATAAAAATACAAAGAATGATAAACAACAACCTGTGCAAAAGCAACAAACGATAAAGCCTTGTGTATCTAATCAAAACTCGGAACAGAGTTATAGTAAAAGCGCGGAGAAAAACACAAAGAATGTGCAAAGTAACAAAAGCAGAACAGATGAGGGGTCGACACATAGTAGCGAGTCCTGTCAGGAATCTGCGTCACAGAATTTCACGCGTGATGAAAACGCGACAAGAGATAATATTACGTCGGAAAATTCTGCCGCAAAGACTGCGGATACGATTCGTGATCAGAAATCGAACGAAGTGGTGCAGAGTAGTAAAAGCTTGAAGAGATCACTGGAGACGTCAAGTAGTCATTATGACAGCGTCGAAAAAAGAGATAACGAAGTGAAACGATCGAAACCTTCCGAGGAAGAGGAGAAGGTGGACGCGACCACATCGCCTGACACAGTTTCGAAGAAGCTCAAGTCCTGCGTGAACAAACCAAAGATCACATCGGTCGTATCGGTGAAGAATCGGCTCGGTATAGCATCGCCGCGGAAGAAGTTTGAAGTCTACAGAGAAAAGGAAGGTATCGGTCGCTCTCGACCATTGGAGAAGCGATTTGACAAGTCACATCGTTACGACAACGATCGTAGCAAGAGCAGAACCTTTGATACAGATGATCGAAATTCGAGACGTAATCGCGATGGCGAGTCCTCGCGTCATCATGACCAGGTAAACAGACTCAATGATGTGAGAAGTCGAATAGAGAGTAATAAGAGTGAGAGACTGAATAAAAACGCGGCAGAGTCTAGGGAGAGAATCCTAAATTCCGGTTCCAAAACGGACATATCTACTAAAAAGTCCATGTGTACCGTTAAAGATCGCTTAGGCATCGCGGGTATCAATAACAAAACGCAGAAGCAGCCCATAAAATCACAAGAGACGATGGATTACCGAAACAACTCGAGGAGTTTAGATCAACTTAGCAACAGTACTAAGAATATCAAGGACAGATTAGGTCCGGTGAGAAATAATTTCAGACCAATGAAAAGACAGTCTCGCGATAATGAAGACGATGGACCCATGATGCCTGTAAATCTTGGTGCCAAAGAAAAAGAGCAAGAACAGGAGGAAGATGATGAACTAGATAATGATAATCATTCTCTGAGCGGTCCCGTCAAGTCGCGCATAGTCGCTGTGAACAGATCTGCATCCTCCGTCGTCGCAAAAACCGAGAGAAAACGCTCCAAAACCACAAACCAAGCTCCGTTCAATGCGACTCAACATTCCGGTTATGGAAGCGCGAAATCACAGTCGGATAAGATTGGAAAAGAAGCGTCCAGTGATGTAGATGACATAAACATCGAAGACACAAGGCTGCCAAGTAAAGTGATTGTTACACCGAGGCCTTTGAAGCCACTACAACCGACGCAAAAACGCGCTACGCAGTCACTTTTGTTGAGAGCAGTCGCGGAAGCGAATCAATCGGTCGTCACGCAAAAAAATCCAGAACCGTCCCTGTTGGTGAGTTTTATTGATAAATTGTAAATGCGTGTAAATTATTTAAATCTGGAACAATATATCTTTGTAATTGAATAAATATATATTGTGATAAAGAAAGTCTCTACGCCATATTTTTCTTAATATCTACGCCATATTTTCATTATCAAAGTTTTTAATATCTGCGATGCGTTTTTCAATAAATTTCAAATATCGAAAATAAGATAAAGTTTTGCTTTTATCAAGGGTTCCATTTTTTTAGGACAAGAAGCCGGTCTTAAAGCGTCTTAAGCCTACTCCAGCTCGTGATGTAAGTCAAAACTTGTCGGTACATTTTAATTCTAATAAGAGACTGGTCATGGAAAAGATTCAAGTCGAATTAAACACGGTAGATAATCTGGATACGGAAGACGTCGAACCTTGTAAGTTTTACTTCTGCGAAAATAGAGAGTTTTTGTATCAGAATTTGAAAGAGTTACGGAACCTTTCCGTGTCCAACTACCATCAATTTCATTGGAATCTTAATTTTTATTAATCTTCCCTTAATATAATCCTTAATATATAACTTCCATAAATATTTCACAAACGTAGTCAAAATCTCTTAAAATAAAGCTTCCAATAAGAATCTCTTCGTGATACAAAGATTAACTCTTTCATCTGACTAATTTCAATATTACTTTTATTATCGGGATTCGTTCATATATTGTGGCACATATTCCATAGACGTACCTCAAGCGGTAACGGACGAGCATATGGGAGTTGTGATGTCATTGTTTCAAAGAAGCGACGATAATCAAAAGTTCTTGGTCACTCTGAATGGATATAACAACAATCTCATGAAAGAGAAGGTGGGCTCAGAGGATGACGAGGAGCGACTAGAAATGGAGGTAATTTTCTTCCGTCTGTAAAGTGCCGTCCCTCGGAATTTTAATCCTCGCGCGCATTCTAGACGCCCGATGTTCCTCCTCATGCTCGCAGGTGAACGAGGACGACGAGTTCGCGCTGTTGACAACGCATAGTGAGACATATGCGGCAACGACGACGACATCGGCGCCATCATCGACGCCAGTTGACTTGGAAGCAGGTGCGTTCAGAATAACAACGGATGGAACGGAAGACGACACGGAAGACATCAGTCCGAAAGAGGCGAGCGGAGAAGAGAACAATGAAAATTGCAATACGGAGAACATGGATAAGACTGACGAAGCGCCGCGAAAACGGAGAAAATTGAGTCCTATAATATACAACAGATCTCATTCGCCGAGTCCCACACGATTGAAATCTACCGCGTCATTATTGCCAACGCTAGTCCCCAAACGTATGAATTAAATTCTCTTCTTACTTATACTTGTCTTAAGCGTAATACGTATCGTTATATTGGTGTATTCTTTTTGTCTTTTAGTTACGGATAAGAGACCGGAAAGTATAGGTATAACTGTATCAGATAAATCTAGAGAAAATTGTAGATACTGGCCCAATTGTACATTAGGAAACAAATGCGCATACTTTCATCCTCCTGTTATGTGCAGGTTAGTTATATTTGATATAAACTTTCATTATTTATATATTCATTATATATATATATATATATATATATATATATATATATATATATTTGGGACTACGTCATTATTTGATAGCGCAATTTTAGATATATATGTCTATATTTGGGATTGTAATATCATTGAAATATATAGTTTCATTTATCTTAAATTATATAAGCAATATTTTATTTTTACAAATATATATGTGTGCCTAGAAGCTTTGCGATATTTCAATTTTTATGACTAATTTTTCCTCCACAGTGTCTTTCCGGCATGCAAGTTTGGAGACAAGTGCGCCTACAAGCATCCTAAGTGCAAGTTTGGTTTATCTTGCACAAAGTTGGGCTGCATGTTTTCTCATCCCTCGCAACAGTGCAAGTACCATCCGTTTTGCACGAAACCAGCGTGCCCATACTCTCATCCAGTTGTTTCCATTCCGGTAACAGAAGCGACGAATCAGCGGGCAAAATTTACTTGGCGGCGGCGAGATTGAGCGAATTGTCGTGGATATACAAGCTTCTCATGAGTACGTCATTCTTTGGGAAACAATCGAGTTTCAGACTGCAAAAGATTACTTTGTACAGATCGATGATAAAACGTACCTCACGCAAATTTCAAATAATGCTAATGTGAGATTATCACAGCAAAATTGACTTTGCTATTGAAGAATATATCTGAAAAAAAAATGAAGCTTTAGTCATGATTTATTACATCGGATCATAGTTCTTGCTTTCTTCTAATAATTGTATTTAGTGCACTAGAGAAGAATCTTAAATCTTTAAATAAAATAAATCGTTTAATTTGAATTGAACCAGATTAAAATGTTAAAGCTTTAATTTGTAATGTAATATGATACATTAAGTCGTTGACTTCTCTCTTGTTTATTTATTTAATAAGCTCGCGCGTGCATTGTCAATCCGTGCTGGACGATCTGCTGCCATTTTTAGATTATAGTTTTATGTATGCGCGAAAAGAAGGATGTAGATTAGTTTTAAACACGGTTAGCCGTGCGATGTCGATTCTATTAGCCTTGGGATGATTCTAAGACTTCTCTTATAATAGATAAGTGGCATCTCGCCGCAATAATCTCATTTATTACATGTATCATATAGCGAACAACGCAACATTACGTGAATATGCTCGAGAATGTGTCGCCAATTGTGCGCTTCTAAGTATATTGTCAGTATGTATACACACATGTACCACAATAAAATCTGAAGATAGAAAATGTGGGAAAGATACACAATGTTTTAGGAACAAAACTATAATTTACGAAAATAATCGAGTATTTGCTTCTGATAATGATACATTTAGATCTTATGCTCGACAGTTCGCTAACACTATGTTTTTCTCACATACCTCATATCTTCAAATTGTATTTTATACACACATATATACACTATATATTATATATATATATATATATATATACAGATCATAAATATATATCTAAATCAAACATTCGATCTCTAGAATAAAGATAATTAGTTGATGAGAAAACTGTTAAATAGAATCATTTTTGAGTATTCCTCTCTTCTTCTTTAAACAGTAATTTCAGTTTAAAAGTAATTACTATTGATTGAAACGAAAGGAGCATACTCAAAGATGTCTCTTGTTGCACAATTTCTCTATCAATATGATAACTTTGCAGTTCCTATAAGGAAACTATATGAATGTTTTTGTTTATATATATATCTATGAAAGATATACATATACAAATACATTTACTTTATAGATGAATAATATAATATAATATATATATATATATATATATATATTTATATTATATATAATTATGTATAAATATAAATAATGCACACACATGCATACATACATACATACATACATACATACATATACATACATATATATATATATATATATATATATATATATATATATATGCATAGTTAAACAGTCAAGAAAATGAAAATTGGATGTGTTCTTTCTTTCGCTTCTATTCGAAATCAGTTAAAGTGAATGCATTCTTTAAATAAACGAGAAAAATATAAAAGAATGCAGTTAGTAAAGACAGATCTATAATAATATTTCGCATAGAAAGCTACATAAAACGGCACATTGTAAAATGGGAACTCTTATATTGACGTTACAGCAGTTTACTTTATTCTTTTTTATGACGAATCCCTTTTCCTTCGAAAATATCTATAAATATAAGTATAAACCAATCATTTTTACTAGTAACTTAATCGGGATTCAAGAATGAATAAAGGCACGTGATTCTGTTGTATTTTCCGTTTTGCGTAAATTCCGCAGTCAAGAATAAACATCGTGAAAACCTTATACTTTGATATTTGATCACGTTTATGTAATTGAATTGTATAGAATCGTAAGAATGATTCTTGTGTTATTATTTACATAGTGCTAGTAAATTATTGCGCATCAGATGTATAATATTATTGACAGGTGTTATTATCAAAAGTAAAAATACATGATGATTTCTGTAAATTGTAATTCACAAAACATTCTATCTTTCAGTCTTACATTTCCTTCCTATCTTCAATTTTTAATAAAAAGAGAAAAACGTTAAAATTTATTTTTTACACAAGTATATTTATTAATATTTTTACACAAGTATATTTATTAATATTGATCGTCTATAATTCTACAATATAACAAAAGTCTCTAATGATGGCAAGTCTATAGAGATCTTCCAGAGAAAGATAAAATCTTTGATCACTCGGATTCTATAATAAATAAATATGTGTTGTTTATTTATAGAATATCCTGTTATGTAATGTGATGTCTTTTAATTTTACTTTAATGTTTTAATATTATTTATTATGGTCAATATTATTCATTATTTATTATATTAGAATAAAATATAAAATATTTTTTCTAACTTTAATATTTATTTTATAATTATTTATGAGCTTATTTTGATTTTGTGTACAATTTCTTCTATATATATATATATATATATATATATATATATATATATATTTTTTAGAAGATAAATCTTTGAACAAATTTGAATACCACATATTAATTTAGCAAATCTAGGTATGACTAGAAATCATTTTGATAACCATCTAAAAAAAGCGTCTCAATATTTTAATTAAATTTTAATTTTATCCGCTTGTATACACAAAGAAATACGCAGCCATCTTTTTCGAGAGATGAATAAAAGAGAAAAAGAGATTTAAGATTAAAATAAGTTGGAATATTAAGATTTGAGAAAAAGACGAGAAAATTCAAGAGACATGAATACTATGTGTGGAACAATAAAAGTCGTGAACGATTAACATTTTCGTTGTCGTTTTATTATTAAAGATGAGTTTTATTATTATTATTAAGATTTTATTAAAGATGAAATTATAGTTAATTGTGAAATTATTAAAAGTTATAGTACCGCCGGCATTAGCATTACCCAAGATGTACCACGTGGAGGTTGCACGGTCGGATTTACATCTCTGCCAGCAAACACAGAATATTGCGACAATATTACAACATTGCAGCAATATTGTTACAATAGTCTATGTTTGCTGGGCTGTGTGTGTGTGTGTGTGTGTGTGTGTGTGTGTGTGTGTGTTGTGTATATGTGTTGTCTATGTGTAAATAAAATATCACAGTACAATATCACAGCCTATCATCACGCTAGTTTTGCAATCCATATCCTTAATTAGCTGAAAAAAAAATTATCGTTTAAAAATTTTTCATTATTCAAGCAAGTTGCAACATTTAAAAAATTTTTAAATATATTTCTATTTACCTTATCAACGATCATCTCGTTTCATTAGAGAATTCCACTATTATATCGGAATTGTTCTCTTCGCAGATTTTCACGGATGCTCGTTGAGCTAAGTGACGATTTTTGGTGCAAAATCCAGTGTACTATAAAAAAAATAATGAAAATAAATATTGTATTTATATATTGTATATATGCAATATTTATTTATACTTAAATAAAATATATATTTTATATTTATAGTTAAATTTACCGTGGCTTTATTTCTGTAGAATATTTTTCCGTCCAATTCAAATGGCTCGAATTTTTGGAGAACAGTCTTTCCATCTATTCTCCAAATCAGAGGAGGATACTTCTCTTCCAAATTTGGTTTCTCCATGATAAACTCACCAGACTAAAAAATAAAAATAATTATTATTTTTTTAATTTAATGCTAATATTCAAATTATACAAAGATATTAATTTTGATAAGAAATTTACATATATTTTCGAAAATGTCAATTAAAATAAAATTGTAGCCAATGTTGCGTGTATAAAAAAATGTAATATAATAATGTATTTATATTTAATTTTTATAAGACATTCACATTTACATTCTTACAAAATATGAGTATTAATCGGTTTTAAATGCTAAAGCTAATAATAATCAGCAATACATAGATTTATTGCAATTCCTCTAATTAAAAAATTTGATAGAATTTTTATTTGTAATAAAACAATCCTTTTGAAAGTTATTTGCAAGATATGGCCAATATTAAATGCATTAAGTGTGATAAAGTATCACTTACCTCAAATGGCGAGATATCAATATTTGGATCCCTGATCGACGCTAGCAGCTTTGCGTCGATTGGACACGTGAAAGATTCCAAAATGGAAGATTGTGGAGATTTCTCATTTTCAGAATTAAAAGAATTTCTTGAAGCCATGTGACGTCTCGTCCTTGGAACAATGGTCCAAGTCGATTCTCCATTTTCCTTCAAAATTTTTTTAATTCTCAATATGGGAGATCTCACTTTCTTTTTTCTTCTTTTTCCTCCTTTCTTTGCGATATAATAAGGTCGCCATGTTGGATCGGAATCGGAATCGCACATTTTTTTATGGTACTATTCATATAATAAAAAATATATTAGAATAATAAAATATGATAAAAAATATATTAGAATGATAAAATATGATAAAATATATTAGAATGATTAAATATTAATATGATAATTAAATATACACGTCATAATATATATGTATAATATTAATTAAATCTCTCGAATCAAACTACGTGAATATTAACTATAAGCAAATAACACATTCAAAGTATAATGTAGCACGATGATTGCAACATAATGCCATGATTGATTAAACTTTAACCATAAATGCAATCTTCGAATGTGCTATTGGATAATCACTATTAAAACACTATTATTTTTTGCATTGCTACTGCGCATCCAAGTAACATCACGATTATATTAATATTACGAAAACGAAAATATTAATTCGAGATTCGAGATGCATTTTTTGAAATTTTCCGATTCATCTCTAATATATTTTTAAAATCGCAAGAAGGTGAGAACACTAAATATGAAAATCAAATCTGTACATACTTTCTTCGTATACACTATAATACTTGTGTGATTCCGATGGGTTCTTACTAGACCACAAACTAAACCAGAAACGATACTGTACTGCTCAAGGTTCGAAAACGACTACCGTTCCTTACTTCCTGGTTGAAGAGTGATTGGAAAGGCATTACCAATAAAGCTTTTCTCCTCCCACTTTTGCAAAATTTTTTGTATGTATATAAATATAAAGAAAAAGGGGAAAAGGTTGTAAATTCAATAGACAGGTAGTGAACACACATGGCACAGCGGGATACGATGTGAAAGCTGCGTAATTATTTTAAGAATTTTGACTATTGTTATAAGAAGTCATATCCTTAAGTTAAATCCTTGCTTTCTTTTGAGAAAATTCCTGGGCAAATATACCGAATAGAGGACTCAATTCCAATAACCCAACAATTTTTTTTTTTAACGAGAAAGGAGAAAATGCTGTTACTCACACTCCCTCCACCCCGGCATTGCGGAAGGGGTAGCGAAACTCGGCCCCTATCCGCTAAAAATTCCTCTCTATCGCGTCTTTTCTCGATTCGGTTGAACCAGAAGGCCGGTACCTGTTTCGTTACCTGGGCAATAACCTTGACCTTGACATATGTTGTCAAGGTCACTATCCTGAGTAACGTGCAGGAGGTTTTAGCCGTCGCTCGTTGTTTATTAAAAAGTTATTAACAAAAGAAGTTTTATAAATGGAACTTAATTTTCGAACACCATGTACGTTAAATCTGTACTTCTTGAGTGGAAATTAAGACGTATGTTGTACATATATATTCTACATAGAAATATTTGCATTGATATATGTGACATAATGTTTCTATTTTGATTTCTTTTCTCCAATTTTATAAACATAAGATTCGGAATAGGTATGTATTATTACTGTCTCGCACAGCTACTCAGTTTTCACAGTTACTTCTCGAGACAAACATCGAAACACAAAATTTAATAATGCATTTGTATGAATTTATTAACATAACATACAATTTTGATGATATACTTTGTTAGATGAAACGTATAGGTCAATAATATACGTTCATTAGTAAGTATATTGATTATAATAGAAATGTACAATAACTTAGCTGTTATA